TGTAGCTTTTTTCGTTTGCACCTCAGCAACGAAAAACTTATCAAGTGCTTAATTGCAGACAATACACATCATCATCGTTCGTAATCAGTCCAAGCTCGTTTACAGCTTGGCTCTTGAATGAACCGACGGCGACGTGCGCTAGGCGTTCGACCGGCGAATCGCTAACGTAAATCAATTAAAAATTATAACGGATCATCTCATCTAGCCGATATAATACACTTTTTTCGTGTGTTTTTTTCTTCCTTCTTCGTTCTTAAATGCTTCTTCTTAAACAGTCAAGCGGTGAAGAATGGGCGATATTGTCGATAACTGGTCCCGGCTTTACACTCTCGTCAAAGTCCCGGTATCGGCTTTGATCTCTTTCGATATTTACGTTTTACACCGGCGATTACGATTTGCTACCGAATTGGAATTCCAGCGAAAGATGCGAAGATTACTCCAAATAACGCTCGACTTTTTTTCGTGTTGATTAGGCCACGTTTTGTCCACCTGATTCGATTCCTAACTGTTGAAAGCCAATATCAAATCGAAATCCGAAATAAATGAGTTGGAACGATGCTTCATAATCAGTTAATTAACTAAACATGCTCGATGATGTTTGAGCTTTGACGCAAAAAGTTGCGATTAAAATTTTAACGACGGATTGAAATATCGTAAATCTAGTTTATCGCGTTATTGGTTTAATGTTAATTTTATATTGCAAAATGTTTGAGAAATTACAGAGATACAAATTTGCCCGAAAAGTTGTAAAAAATATTCGTTACAGTTATTTGAACTTGGTTGTTAATGATTATTTAACTTTTAGCTGAGAGTATTTAATATTTTCGAAACAAATTAGCTGTATCTACCGGAAATAGACGTTACAAATCTCTTAAACTATCCCCTATAACTAAATTACTAAATTACTCTAGCTGTGGGCAATTCTATTTGATGTTTTAGTGAATTTACAGTCGGTTTCAAACTCTAGTCAACCCTTTGAACATTTTCAACATTTGGAACGAGAAGAATTTTATGTTTCACGTGGGCGAGCGCAGCGTTAACACGTCCTGTATGTAGGTTAATACAAGTGGAACACATGCAAAAACAACGCAAATCCAATCTCAACATGAAGATCAACGTCACTTAAATAAATAAATAGAAGAAATGCCTAGAATCCTACGCGATATTCGTTTGAGTGGCGACTGGATTAAATTAATATTCAGTCGGCACATCGGCGATTAAACGCGATGAATAATACAATTGACGAGTACACTTATTACCGGGTTACCCCGATAAATGTGCGGCGACAGTGCACGCCATTACCACGATTACGACGACTAACGGGCTTGTAACAACGAAATTTTTGTGTGTTCTGGTTGAAAAGGTAGCAAAAGTCGCTGCGGAATTTCTTCGCCATGCCGACCCAAAACGACATTTCAATGTATTGTTTTTTGAATGTAGTTAACATGCGAAAAAAACTTGTCGTGTCAGGTTTACTGCATGCAACTGGAAACGAGTGGAAACTGATTCCCACAAAATTTTTGCAAATATGTGGCTTGGTGAGATTTCTATTGATTTTCATTCACACCGAGCAATTTCCTATTAATCCAACAATGCCCTCGCCTGCTGTTGATCTGATAGTAAGTGGAAAGCCTAAAAGCAATATAGATCACGTTGTTAACTGGATTTTCATCCCCTATGCAATGCAGTTGTGCATTCAATTTTGCTGCGCGCTGAATTCCGAAGAGATTTACTCTGAATTTCAATTTATCTCTATTCCAGCATGTAGGATATACGACAAATCATTTCTTTTCAAACATATAATTAAGATTAGCCCATGAATCATCGGTAAACTCAAATAAATAAAAGAAAAAACAAGCAAATAGGTCAAAATCGACTGAGGGTGGTGAGTGCGTCATTTGCAAGAGGGGCACGTCAAATTAGTGCGTGTTAGTGCGTTTGCAGAAGGTGGGACCAACTGCTTTTAGATATATCGGCATGTGTGCGTTCCAATTGACAAAAATGATGTATTGTTGGTCTTCCACCCGTCTACGTTCGCAAAAGTGTAATTTACTTGGCCTAGGCTTTAGGGGAAGGTCGTGTGTGTGTATATTCTCGCTTTTCATCCCTCGCTGGCATTGAATCCAAATACAAAAATCATCTGAGTTGGTTTTACTCTAAGGGTCACACCCTCGTAAATATATTGCACACATTGCACTAAATATAGGCAAAAAATTAAAATTTATTGCATGTTATAACATTGAACTTGATCTTCATGCTGAATGCCGAGAAGAAAAGAAAAATAAATAAGTCAAGTGCACACACAGTGCAAGAAACACTTTCACTTGGCTGCTCGCAGCGCGATGAGGTAACGCGCGACGCAAGTGAGCGTTACATTACGCTACACGTTACGTTGCGGTACGACAACTGCGTGCATTACTTTAACCCGATGTCGGAACACACCGGCGAAATAAAAGAAAAGATAGAGCGCGAGCGTTGAGCGCAAAACCGCTAGCATTGGCATTCAGACATTGACTTTGGCAATGTTTAGAGAGCGCTAGGCCGCAAGCTAGGCCAAGTTCGCCGTTTGGATCGAGTTCAAAGACGGCGAGAAGTGCGAGCGAAGAGAGGAAATGCTTTAAATGGAAATGGATTAAACCATCGGGCGATTATGAAATGCGCTCGATAATACCGCACGACATGTGGTTTTGGTTTTGCTTTCGCGCATCCTCTTAAGTCATGAACTTGGTTTGATTTCGTTTCAGTTCTTTTGCATTCCCCGAAGATTTTTTTTCGGTATTCTAACGTTTGAAATTCCATTCGAGATGTAGACATCGCATCATATGTAATGCAGTCATCCGTGAACTTCACTTGACGACACCGATACGAAAATAGAAAAAGCGACCATTTAACTTTGTTCAATTGACACGTACGCATGCATTTTTGTTGATTTCGACAGTTTTACTTTATAAATCACAAATTTTATTTTATAAATGTATGAGGTATGTGTGCATTAGTTGAGAATTTAGTTCCCTGTGGTGTGTATTCATCGATCGGGCAGCTTTGCTTTGGCAGAATCTCCAGCTTTCATGCCTCCCTCAACCACAACTGAGCCATTGACGAAAACTTGAATGGCGCACGAGCCACCGGCGCGTAATATTTCCCAAACTAAATCAAACAATGCGTTTGAGCAGAAGGCACACGTTTCCGTTCATTCTGAAAACATCTTTCGTCGCCTTTGAATTTTTTCTTTCTGGATTTTAGGTTGAATGAACATAAAAATCATCCGAGTATCAACATGATAAACGTCGGTTTAAGTTGCTGTTAGATTCGCAAGCAGTATTAAATTTCCATCACGTGTAAGCAAATTCACCAATGATAATCTAACCAACGCGTTAGTTATTAGTCAGAGCTGGTTGAAGATGCTAACATATTGTTTATTGCGCTATATTCTATGCTCACCGAAATTTATGAGGATTTTGAACTGTCGCAATGTGTAGGTGCTTTTCTCTGCACGCATTAAACCCGGGCCTATTAAATTTCATCCCGTTCCGAGTTCCAACTGAAAACTTCATCTCGGCGTCGGTTTATGCGCTGCGCGAGCATAATGTAACGCGTATAATGTTCACTGAAACATGCCGAAAGTGACTAGCGACGCTGGGAATATGACACTCCAGCCGAAAAGCTCCGCAGCGAGCTAGAGCGAGATAATTATCATCCCTTCGTGTCATGACAACACAATACGACACGGGACATTGTCAAAAATCGCATAAATTATAACCAGAAGCGTTTAAATTAAGCCGGCTTGTGGTTGTACAAATTAAGAACATGCCGACATACTGTGCTTCCCTTATGCCCAAATGTCTCCACAGTACACGCCCACATAACATACGACTTACATCTTACATCTTACATCATTTCCTTTAAAATATATTTTTAAACACTTTAAAAATTTATTTTTGAACAGAGGGGAAGTAAAATAAATGAATAATTTTTTTTCTTTCTAGGAGTACACTTAACACTCGGTATAAATGAAAGTTTTCATCTAAGAAAACCCGACAGGAAGCTGGCGCAGACGAAAGCCATGGGATCGCAATGTAGGGGTAGGTCGCCGTCGTCGAACCTGCACGAAGGTGGCGGCGAGAGTGGTGGTGGTGGCGCAGCTCCCCTTTGCAAAAAGGGCGAGCGCGCATTAGGGCGCGCCGGTCGTGCCCGACGGAGAAAAGCGGCGTCGAGACGCTCGGGCAGACACGGATGCCGCACACCCCCGCCCGCAACGCACGAGTGGTGCACGCGGATCGTCCGCAACGCAGCATCCTGCCAGCCGGCAATCGTTCACCGCACGTCGTCCTAGCAAGGTAAAATCTTTCTCGCATCCCTAACACAATAACCCCTAATTTTCATTCGCGTTTGATTTGTCTTTCTGTGACTGTGCGTTCGTAATTAACAACGTGAGTGTTAGGTTCGTGCTCTAATCGCACGTTGAAGTTTAAGCTTCTAATTATTTTAAATTATATTCGGGGTGGTTGAAAAAGAAAAATTAATTGGATTTACGCACACGAGATAATAGAAAAAAAAAGGTATGTGGAGATATTTATTTTTTATTTATTTTTTGTGATGATTTTTAAGTATTTTTTGTTGAAAGTTGTATTTATGTGAGAGAATTTTGATGTGATTTGCATATTTTGGGCTGATGCGCGATCGGCGGCGCGTGTGCATCTGATGAGCGCACGCCGCGGACTCCTGGATGCAGATCGTGGAGGCTGGTGCTGCCCGCTCGGCCTTTCCGCGCGCGTGTGCATTCCTCGCGAGCTCCAGCTTCAGCGCGATTTCTTCTTTACCCTCGGGCGAGCCAATCAGAGCCGGCTCTCCGCGTTGCGGCGCCGCGCGTCCCAGAGCACCTCCGCCGGCCGGCTGCTGCTGGGGCCGTTTCCCCCGCTCGGGCGGAGTATTTAAACTTGCCGCGCGGAGCTCCGCATGAGTTCACTTCTGGTCGAATGCGTTGTCTGTCTGGTCTTATTCGCGAAACGCACGCCGCCAGAGCCGTCGTGCTGGACACCACACACACACGCCGTGTGACTTCATATCGGCCCGTCCGTCGTCCGCGTCCGCCCGTGTGCGCCTTCTTCTTCCCGAAACGGCTCGCGCTCTCGCTCGCGGCTTCGTCGAGCAGCAGCCAGCCGCGGCGCGCACAGTTTCGTGCCGCACGCTTCGAGGTGAAGAAGCTGCCCACGGAGAGCTCTCCCGAGGCAGGCAATCCGAAGAGGCTGAAGGCAGCAGAGAGCCCATTTCAAGGAAGCGACGTTTATTATTTATCGAGTGCGCGAAACGAAAAATATTTAAAGGACTCTAATTAAATATTGTGCTCCATTAATTTAAGGAACACGATTTTCGGATAGATAGGTAAGTTCGCAGTGCGCTTGAGTGACTTAAGTTAACAAGTGTTGTTTACAAACAAATTTAACTGATAATATTCTGAATAATACGGGACACCGGCTGTCGACAAACCGCTAGATAAACAGATTTTTGCCCAAAAACTCGACCAACGCGAACGTAAACTTTTAACCGACTTAACTTTATTCGGCCATGGTCTTCCACTTACACGAAATAAAATGTCGAAATTAATGTCAACGCATTTGCATACCGAGATTAGAATTTTTGAACGAAAAAATATATAATTTATTGTCGTAAAGCCCTAAAATACTAAGCGACTTTTTAGATGCTCGTTATTACCGGTTGAAAATGGATTATTGCCTCATATTGCCTCACCACCAAGTGTGGGTAGTGATTTTTGTTTCCTCAAACTCTTCAAGTCAACAGCATGCAATTGTGGCGCACAAACACTCGGTGTATTTCGGTGTTAGGCGGCGCGCGGTTGTAAAATCAACTTAAGGAGGCTTAAGTAAACTGACCGTGTGGTCGCGCAAGTTATCGGGGTCCGTCTTTTAGGAACTAGACTTGCATGTTCCAAGCTCCGGAGAAGCCGGTGTTTGCCAATGTACTTTGCATCCCCATGCGAGAAACTCGCCTGTTCCCACGTTCCACACAGTCGCGCGAGAAGCAAAAATGCAACGAGAAGTCGCGCCGACGTTCGTCTTCCGTTTGCTTTTGGCGGTTGTGTTTCATTAGCCGGCCGCGCCGCCGCAGCGAGTATGAAAAGTGTGCCCGAAGAGTGTGCAATAAGCGCGAAACCAGCGGCCAGCGGAAAAAGTACGCATTGTCATTACATTGGCTTGGCGCGTTCTTTTCGCCAATATATTACCGCCTGCATTGCTCCGGCGAAGAAGTTCGCTGTGAGTGAACGATGTCGGCGAGGCGAGAAACAAACCAAAAGCAAAAAGCCGCGAAGCAATAAAACGCAACTCTGGACGCAGTACAAGAAAGACCTACGAAAGATAACCATAAACTCACAACTGCAAACTCTTTGTCATAATGCTCAAATATTACTCGAAAAACTTGCTAATTAAATGTGATAGTCCACTTAAAAAATAAACTAAGCCACATTTGTTAACATAACGCATCAAATCACCGTCAAGCTGGTTTTACATAAAAACTTGGTGACTTGAATAAGCAGCTTTTGTAGTAACCTTCTTAAGTTAAGCCGTACTTAAGTTACGTTTCGTGCATGAATATGCTCGGAACTTTTTCGGCTTCCAACCAAACTGACCTACACTAAAAACACCGCGCGCGGCGGCAAGTGAAACGAGCGCTCGAAATAAAAACGAGTACCGTTTTGATATGGTAATTTTCGGTTATAACATTTGTTCACATAATATCTACTTTAATCTAAATACGACCATATTAAAGCGTTAAAGAATTATTTCCATTTTTTACTGACTTAAGTCAATATATAAATAAGCTGCAATGCAAGTTTATGAAACAAATGACTCATCGGTGATTTTATTGGCTCATTATCACCATTAATTAATGCATCTCGTGAATGTGAGCAGTCGTGACTGAATTCCATATAAAAAAATAAAGGAAATTCCGGTTTCCATGAATGAATTCGCATTCTGTTTTTTTTTTATTTCTTGAAATCTTAAATTTTTCAATTTAATTACGATCGCTGATCACACATGTAACGCGTCATTTGGAGGTCGTTAATATCGTAGTGTTTTAAGTGTAAAATAATTATGAAACGCTTTGAGCGAAGCGCCGTCCAACATATTAATATGTTAATGCCAATGCCAACTAAACGACGTGTGCGCTTCATCAGCACGATGCAAGAAGCTAATCGCTATCAAATCAAGGAAAGAGCGCAAGAAACGAATAATAAAATGTGTAATATATAATGGCAATTAAATCCGAATTTACTCTCGCGTACAACTAGTCGATAAATTTGTGAGCCGTGTAATAAAATGGAATTAAATTTAGAAAAAACCTTGTCGGGCGTAGAAGTATTCTTTTCATCCGAGTTTTCGTAATGCTCGTGACACGAGTGTTAATGAAGAATGAAGATTCAGTTAGAAAAAAATCCGAATTTTGAAAAATGAAGAAAAAAAATTCAACGTTTCATTCATGCATCCGCGTGATGTCAAACATAACCATTAAACCTATTCACCAACATGCTTATAATTAGCTATTATTCTATTATTACCTTCATCATTCAATTGAACGTTTCGTAATATTCATATAATTACGTTGTTTTATTGATTTTACATCGCCGGCCTTTAAATCCTACCGGAAGAATCATCAAGTGTAAAAAATTCAATCTCGAAATTTTTAACAACTGCGTAAGACTTGAAAGACGAAGATTGAAAGTGTTTACGCGCCGAGCAATTAACAATAATGATAAAATAAACATACACACACATACATAGATGACGTATCATTAGCCGTGACCAATTTATTAAACACATCCATGTTCCGAGGCGATTAGAGATGCTGTTTGCACGTTTTTAAAAGAGTCTGCGATTCAAAGAAATAACGCGGATAATATAAATTGTTAGGTATCGGTTTTATTTTATATTTTATATATGTATTCCCAGCTTCCGAAACCATTAGGAGCGTTCGAATGTGATCGCGAACGATCTGTAAAGATGGTGCAAATTTCGCACATGTTATACACGCCCGTTTCACCACTCGCTGCGTTTATGGCCGTATTTTTATACTCGTTTTATTATTATGATTGCCATTCGAAGTTTTAGCACCCAGCCATCGGACGGTTTTAGTACGCGTGCTTCTGAAGGAATAAAAACAAATATATGCAGCATATTCTGATACTATGTATGTAAAATTTTATAAAATTTTCAGCGTATTGCTATTCCAAGCGTGTAGAATTGAAATTAGGTTAGGTTTTCGTTTAGGTTTTTTTGAGGTTAGCTATGTCGGCACATGAAAAAAGGCAATTAATGGAAAACAAAATGTAACATAAAGATAACGAAATGAAACTAATGCGCTTAAGCGTTAAGCAGTTAACTTAATTCTACACGGAGAATACTTTTACTTTCGGACCGACCAGAGCAGAGTAAAACGCTTTAGGTCGCGCCGTGTACTTGTTGTTTATCGCCGTGCTTAAACTTAACCTTCTTCACAACTTTTATTTCCATTTCGATGGAAGGCTTTTTTTCCTCTTGCCTTTTGCGTCCACCCGTAAATTTGTTATGGTGTGTGTAGGAAATACAATTTTAAGTTAGAAAAAACCACATCTTTGCGAATGACACAGACATTAAAATATTTTATTGCGAAACACACGGGCTGTGATTACACCGCGAGAAGAAAAGAAGTTGGTATTGATGCTTAATTACCAGTAGGCATCGCGTATTTCGATTGGTCCGCTTCATCAGTCGTCATCGTTCGGTGTACTGCTAGTGCCGAGTCATTAGCGACACAATTTTTATAACGTAATTACATCAAGGTTCCACGATTCACGAATAGTCAAAACGATATACACCTGGTAATTCATGCAATGCGGACAATAAATAACTGAATATTGAGGCGTCATCATCGTGAATTTAACAAACATTAAATAAAAAATTAAATTCGCACAGGTGTAAAATATAAAAAAATCAAAGAAATAAATTGATTTAATTGTAGTGTGTAGAAATTATATTTTTTAGTGTCACATTCAGTATTACATATAATTGTGTGTAATGTTAAGATTGATTGCATAGTTTTAATCAATAGCAATCAATTCTAATCGACACTTTAGTATTTAATTGTAATGTTTATAGTTTTTTTGGATTTTATTCTATTTCTCGTAAGTAATTAAAATATTAATAAAATATTTTCTTGAAGGATAATTATGTAATACTCAACCAAAGTTGCGAACTTTATAAGTATCTGCTCTTTACCAGTTTGAATTTTGAGCGTTTTGTGTTTGATAAACAAACAAAAACAAAACTCACCGAAAATAATAATCCGACTGCATGGATATGACGAGCACGCTTCGTTCAACGTGTTATTACAGCTTTTATTTCATTTGGCATTCCTGGCGATTCTAATTCGTGAATTACTCGTAAAATACGCTCAAAAAACGCGCCGCGCGAACAAACTATCATTATGTTTAATAAATAAATAAATAAGCGAGTGCAAAGCGCGAAGAAACGTAACACGAAAAAGACGCCGGTCGAAAATATCACGTTGTATTTCCTACATCGTTAAATGCGCGTTTCGTAATCTTCCAACGTCCATGTTTGCCGGCGTTTTCAATGTCTCAATGCTAAATCGCCTTAGCATTGGATTTTATTTATGAAATTATGATATTATAGAATTACACAAATGCGGAATTCGAATAATAACAATCAGTCAGGAAACAAATAACAAATAACGCACACGAACACACGAAGAAGCACAATATTTTAATTTTTATTATGAGTGTGAATCCGAAGATGAAGAATACAGTCATAAAATCGGGCGTTTTATTATAATTATTGCATGAGAACTAAAAATACAAGAAGATTAAACCTTGGTGTTAATAGAACATATTTGAATAAAATTACATCGTGCTGTAATACATCATTTAATTGATATTTAATTAGACAGATCTAGATGTTTGTCTCTACGATATCAATCAAAAGCTGGCAAATTAATGCCTCGGCAGACGTGATGATGAAGAAAATTTTTGCGCCGCCGGTGAAACGGTACCTGACTCGAGAGTAACAGTACGAAAGCACTAGACGTGCCACACACTGATGCAAAATGCGTAACATCTAACCACAACCATCTAAGGCGCAAAGTGAACTTTCGCGATGCGTTGCCTCGGCAGCTCGCACATTCTAGACGAAAGTATTACGTCGGAGCGGCGCAATACGATTAATGAAGTGAGTACGGTCGGCGGAGCTTTAGCAAGAGATTGAACTATTGCATTATTCTCTTAGGAGCGCGTGCGCGCGTGAGTAGACGAGCTTGTTTGGCGTTATAATATTGTTACTTGGAACATATTCCAACACACACATAGGTACATGAAGAAATAGCTCGCGTGGTCAGTGTCCACTCCGCACACAACTTGTGGAATGCCTGTGCATCACTCATCTGTACCTATGTCGAACGTTGAAGCCTTTTGTGGCCACCAAAGAATATTAATTGATTGGCATTCCATACAGAGCAGCGAGTGCCAAAAAGATGACTGGGAATATGAAAATGTGAAATTATTAATGTGAAGGAGTAGGATGACATTTGTATCGTATTACTTTCGATTAGTTATCGCGTGTAAAACGAACTTGAGCGTATGAAACATTGTCGAGGTTCATCGTGCGCAGGATCTCCATTTGTTAGGACCATTGTATGGGTACGCGTACATACCTACCTCCCGGTTGCAGTTGGAAGTTCGGATTCGGAGTCGATCGCTTCTTCGAACTGCCGGAGATTTCCACGTGCATAACAAAGTGCTAAAAGTCAACGCTCTTACCGTTCAAGCCGCACGCTCTCGCAGAGGAGAGTGTTTATGGCGTGCCGTACGCAGTGCATCGGTTATCCAGATATTGGTATTGGTGTATTGCTCAAATAGTTGCTTCTTTTACGACCGCCCGGTTACGTAAAACGCTCAATACCTACGCGCCTCGGAAGAAGAACTAAGGTGACATGAAATCATTTGATTTTCCAGACGGCTTGCATAATTGCATTACACGCGCTGTTTGCACTTTGAAAACCGTTGTGTTGTTTGATGATCAGACACACGCTAAATGTAATCTTCCTTTGCAGGAAGCGCAGAACCTTTTCTGGGGTCGCGCTATGTTTGTTTGTCAAATAAAGAAATTTTTAAATCGCATTCCTTGAGAACGGCCAGCCCAAGGAATGAATGATGTGGAAAAGATAATAATAACAGTAAACGAGCGCCGATGCGCATTACGACATATTACATTAGAATACAGCGAAGAATTAACAGCGTTTTATGAACATTAGTAAGTACGAACATAAACTGCACATGAAGATATAACAAAAATTAGACGAATAAGTGCAACGAGTCAACTCACTCACTGTAACGGTACTTGTTATTTGATTAGAGATGTGAGTGAACCACACTTTTCTTCTTAATTCTTTGCATGGAAAAAACATTCTACTTTGCGCATGTGACGTAAATGACATTACAAATATTGCGAAAAATATTTGTGGAATTTCGTGTTATTAATGTTTTGAGTCATCACCTTGTCCCATTAGATGATATAACTTATAACCAATTTGAATATGCGTATACTATGCCTAAAAATATTAAAAAAACTCAAGGTTTAGTCATCTTTAGATTAAATCTAGAAGCTTTATTTGTTTGTATTTGGCAAATAGCAAACAGTAAATCTGTTAGTTGGTGACTAAAGTATTCAGCCCTAACAAATTGCTATTTAAAGACCTTTTCAGGTCGAAACCTGCCGCCTTGTGTCCGATAATAGTTTTCATGACACCGCCGTTTCGGGTAGATCGGCGGCAGCTCGATAAGCCGGTCGCAAATTGAAATTTCCTTTCATGCGGCGCGTTTGCTGACTTCAATCAGCGCGTTGTCCACAACAATGCACACCAAGATTGAGATAGAACGCACTGATTATATTCAATATATTCATATTTAATGACTGATACATCATATTGACACGATATACATTTCAAAAAATAAAATGAAAAAACTATTGCATCAACCAGTTGTGCAATTGCGTGTTGTGTTGATTTATTGCATACAATTTCACTGTCTTTGAGTTTACTTTCATTTTCATCTTCATCATCATCATCATTCGCATAATATGTTTATGTTTTTTTCTTGCTATTGTCATCATGTTATATTAACAGATTAACAAATAAGCGAGAGTCTTTCATTTTATTGCGTTTGTACGACTATATGTTTAATGACACTATAATGTAACACGTAAAATGTGTAAAATTAAGAATATTGTGCCATATGATTAATTTCACTAGTCGCTAAAAAGATGCTGTGACTAAATAATGAATGACCATGACGTGAATAATTAAATTATTGCATTGTCTAATGTAGTTTTTGAGCAATCTGTTAAATTGTTTCAAATTACGTTTTAATTTTATTGTTTGCAATGTGTTTAGTAATAGTTTACTAAATGTTTTATGTGTCAATTATTCAATTTAACATTTTCACACGTAAGTTGCACGTTGCCACTTTACATAAAATTAATGTTTGCGACGTGGTCATGAATCCAAAGAAAGTGAAAACACTCGAAACTGGTAATGGACATTCCATAGCTTGATTGAACCACATTCTTGCAATGATTTCGTATACGCAAATTGATACTTGTATTATTTACGAATAAATTTAATGTCACTTAACACTCGTAATAAATCAGAGACTTGTTGAAATTCGTGGGTTTTAACAACGTCCGCATAAGTTTATATATAGGGAAGTGTATGATAAGGAATTCGGTAATAAGGATCCAAAGTTGAGGGCCTACTCAAACCGCGCAATGCGGTCTCGTTGATGCGATTAATCCGCTCGGTAAATTTAGCACGAGCGAGGAGCACAATCGCGCGGCGGCCAACAGTAAATCATAACAAATATCATGTTTCAACGGACGAATGAATGAAACACCCACGCGGACGTAAGCGCACAAGTGAGCGGGGACCTGTTGCGCTGAATGAGATTACTGTCGAGGGAATCCGTCGAAATTTATGCGCGTTCTCCTTACCTTCTCACACATTTGTAACACACGCGCAGATAAATGCCATAAATACCTAATAGTAATGCATGGCAATGAGTAACGCGACCGGAATGGGAACAACGCGAGAGAGTCCACGCTGTCCGACCCGAAACGATTAATAAATTTCCGTACGAGTATTTTTTTATTTGTAGTAGAACCGTATAACACCGTGTAACAAGTATTTGTGTTATGTAAAAATTAATTATTCATGTCGTTTGTCGCATGCTTCCATACAACGCGCGCATGTTAACATTGTGCATGGCTCGGATTACAAATCATAGCGCAAGAAAATCATGTCAATCACTTGGAAGCGAATATGATTTAAATTGCAAACGGTGCGAACTGTTAGCGAAATAAAATTTACGTCTGAGAGAACTTTTTTCAAGCGGATGTTTTTTTTGCTGTATACAAGTTATTTGTGTTCTGTTAATAATTTATTAAAACGCCAATTAATTGGGCGCTGCCGTCGCAATTTATTCTCTAATTCGTATAATTCGTAACGAGTTTAATTCTGCGTTTTTGTTACTGCGTGAACCACGTGCGTTCTATGAAGACGTTGGAAATAAGTTCACTTCAGAGTGGAATGACCCACGGATTGAATGCCTTCGATTTTCGTGTGTAATAATTTACTTCGCTCATTTCCACCACGAAATTAATTATATTTAAAATTTGCATTCGGTCAAGTTCGCCGAAAGGAAAAAACGAAGCCGGTTAATGCTTCATGTGTGTTTAAGAGTTACGTGTTTCAACCGGAAACGGTCATTAACGGCACATTTGAACGCCTTCACATATTGATTTATGTCGTTGAACAAAACACCTAATATTGATGTTTTATCAACCGGAGAACACGAATTAATTATCGTGGAGATGTTTCGTGCGAATGCTGCAAAAAAAAACTTGATAACATAAAAAAATTGTATAGATTTACATTTACAACTTGTTCATCACGAAGTGATATCCAGATGGAACACGCAAAACAGGAAGATGAGTCGGTAATAATTATTCGAAGGTCGTTGGAGTTCGCGATTTGTGCGAACGAAAAATCGACGGGTGTCAAAGAACTCGTCCGTTATTTAATTATCTCAAAAACAAAACGAACGAAAGTCGTCAGAAGCTCAGATTCGTGTCTCACCAGTGCGTACTTTTGTCAAGTCATCCCCAAAGATTGAACGGATAAAATAATCCGTGCGCAAATGTCATTGCCTTTAGGTTTTTAGCACTTTAATGATTCTTTTCGCAAATCTTATCTTAAATTTGCGCCAAGTATGTGAAATATTTTGTAAACGATTCCCGTTAGCGATAAACTAAACATATACATATTTATGTGCCTTTAATAGAAATGTTATTGCTTTTATAATAAATATCTCCATTATTACATTATGCTATGAAATGGCGTATAAATATTTATGCAATCGTTCGGCAATAAATAAAAGCATGTGCGGAGAGAGCGATGCGAAGCCCTCCGTCGCGATCGACGATATTTTACTTCTTGTCGGCTGTCATGTCTTCTGCGCATGCATTACTTATCGCTTATGGGCGTACATGACGTCCACCGCGACGGTGACGACGTCTCGTCTCCGCTACCTATTTCAAACCGGCCGACATTTTTGCATTTTATTTATTTATTGCGCTAGCCAGCATTGCGCGATGCATCCGACTAGTCAGGATTGCTCTATAATTATTTATGGATGCATCGGGGCGATCAGCCCGACGATCAGAACCCATCCGCGCCGTTCGTACATTTTTGATGAAAGGTTTGCGATGATGAAAATTGACTTGCAAATTCGGCTCCGACTAAAATCAAAAATATGCACAAAATGCATTTATGTATGCCCAGCCAGAGTTAAGAGAGAGAGGGTTTTTATGTATTTCTATTATGTGCGTGTCCTTTAGGTTGTGTATATATGGCCTGTGATACTAATTCTTCTCCTTTTTTGCTCTGTTGCAGAACGCGCCATGTCGGCGTGGAGTTCAGGGTCGCGGGCCCTGACGATGGCATTGCTCACAGTCATTCTCATCCTGCCGGCCGTCATTCACACTGGTAAGTTACACACACACACTTGAACACAGTAACCATGAAGACGCAATCGTCTCCACACTTCACGAGTCTCGCGAAGAAGAATATTGTTAATTTGATCAATTAACACCTGCTTACAAGTCCCTACCATATAATGCTCCAACGCGCCGAGAGTTCATGCCTTCACAAAAGCTCAGAATCCCCAATTCATTCCAATAAATTAACAAATTATCCTTCTATATTTTGATGATGATAAACACCAGCTCGCTTTACAACCAATCGCGCGTTAGCTATTGCATTACGTCTAACTGTTATAAGCCTAATTAAGTAACACCATCACCGATATAACAAGAAGCAGAAAAAATCTTTGCACACGTGGTTATCGCCTATATCGGGCTGAAAATAACGTTATGTTTCCCATGCTATGCTCTTTGTGTTCAGCAATGAATTGAATTACAAATTGAACAGCAGGCTCGAACAATTGGTGTTGGCAAACAATCTTCCCAAGTTGAAGACTCAAGTTGAAGTTCAAGTCGCGGCCGTGAATTAAAAGTAAAGCGAATTACATAACAGTTGCCTCATTTGGCAGGTGAAACAAATGCAATAAGATTCGTTCGCCGGTAGCTGGAATTATCAGCAAAACAACGGAATAAATGCATATTAATCTCGCCTCTCACACTCATAATTATAAGGATATACACTTGTAATTATAAGAAATTAATCTTGGCTTGATGATCTGCGTAATTTATACAAATAAACCGAGGTAAACAATGGCGCGAGCTTTCGTTGAAGTGGCTTTATTAACCGTACTTTGCTGATTTTTTTTTTCATGTTCACTAGCGCACAAGTGTGTTGTTATCGATGCATCGGATCGCGTTCGTGATTCACATTGTTTCCGAATGCAACCAACACACAATCGCAGTATGTGCGCAGGTGATACCAAGGCGAACGACGAGCACACACTATGGATGAAACGAAGGAGCAAAAGAGGAAATACGATAATTGTACACCTCGCTCGAAGGTTATGCGCCGCGTTATTTAGTGCAATTACCTAATTGATCGCCTCTTCGAAATTATACACCGTTCCAATGTGCGCAATGACAAATTGTTCTTTTCGAACCCAGTGTTTACCTTTTTCGGTAGGATTTTCTAACAACATGACTATTATTTTAATTCCCATGAATGTAAATTCGTAAAATTGGTTAATTCTAATATTACTAAAGCTTACATTATTTTAATTGCACAAAATTTAAATATTGTCATTTTTTCTTACAAAAACTTTGAAATTTCCTTATTTCTTTAATTTGTTATGGGAAAACAGGCGTTGTAATACCTTCCTATAATTTAACACCTTAAACAATTGCACACACGCATAAAACATACCATTTTACGATTACGATACGACCATAAGTACGTGTTTTACTGCACATTACTGCTTATATTACAAGCGATTGGCATACAAGCCAATACTGGTCGATGTGCAAGATGCAAAGATGGCGATAGCAGTAAAAACACGCATTTCGGTCAATGATTTTTCTTGACCAGGGTTCGGTACGTTCGGTTGGTGTCCTGACCCGCTTCCTCGGTCACCACATGTGCGCGCATCTCCCACGCCGATCATCATCTTTTTTTCTGCCTACCTTCAAGCGCATCCACGAATATCACCGCACAGTTTAATATACGAGTATGCACAATACGAAATGTTCATGCATATTTGCATTCGCAAATTACGACGCGCTGGCAAAGGAGGACATATTTTGCCAGCTCGAGTACATACACACACACACACCACATACAAGATTAGGTATGTCCGAAGAGACTGGTACTCGTACGCTTTAAGAGCGCACAATAAATATGCAGAAATATATTAAACTGGCGACCTGTACGTGTGTTACTACATGGATGCACATTATGCGTGTGGTGTGCACTTATGAAATAAGAAGAGGAAGGAAATCGTGCGCTTATGTAACATGAATTGTGACCGTTATTCGAATGAAACGACGTTGGTGCAAGTTCACGTTTCGACCGCGAAGACTCGGAATCAAATGCGCGCCTGCATGCAATTTTCGTGTGACTAGCAAAAGTCTCTTCAATATCGCGAAATTAATTTTAAGCTGATAATGTCGACAATCATCATAAATAAACTGGAATTTAGCTACCAGATTCCACTGGAAGCAGCTTCTAGTATCGGTCTCTTGTAAGCTTCGTTTGAAGGTACCTACAGGTACAGGTACACCTGGAAAGAGTCCTCTCGCGGGATATTAATTCAGCAGCATGTGTGTGCGAACAGAACGGTCATCGAACTAGTTGTGAAACGTACGAGTCTTGCCACACCGCCCGCCGGCAAGAATGTGTACGCAAGACGTGCATGGTGTGCATATGATGTACCTTCTTCGTGGTCTTCAAATTGCACGCCAAAAAACCAATCCAGACCCATGGAACACATCACTAATTATATATGCCACCCTAAATCTTTGCATCTGCTATTGGTATGCACATTGTATCGCTGCGGGGCTTTTTTCGGAAACGCAACTTAATTTTAGATTGTCTGGAGTGAGTCACGACGGGTTTATTGTGCATCGCGATTTAAAAATATCCAACGACCGGTCAAAACTGTTTATTATGCAAGACAATGTCGGGCATGGTCAAGTCTTTGACTGACCGTTCTCTCACAGCTAAAATCGTATGTATTGGCCTTGGTGAGCCAGTGACCTGCTCCTGGTGTGTCCCACGTTACGCTTCATTCATGTCTCTCCGCCATGTCATGTCCCAGTATCATACATTTGGTTGGAAATTTGGGCGAAACAGTCTGAATACTAGTCGAGACATAATGTTACCGTGTCAGTTATATTAACATAATAACGTTTGTTTTTTTTCTATTCTAGCGCCGGTGTCAGAACAACAAGGCGATTTGGAAACCTACTACCCTGGTAAATACGCTAAATCATGTACGGATTAACTTTTACTAACATATATGCATGTTTTTAAAGAGATATTCAACTATTAATACATTTAATACTATATTTATGTTTACATTCACTATCTCTTGACCGAAACATCCTTGATAATGTAAAATTTTGACATGCGATTTTGTTGTGTTTTTAGTTGCGGACGCAACCGGCTGTTATTACAATTTCCAGCATTACGACGAAGGTGATCGGATAATCACCAACGAACCATGCCTAAATTGCACATGCCACAATCGAATGCTGATGTGCTACTTGCGCGTCTGTCCGTTTATCAAAGCAATCGGAGAAAATTGCAAAGTGGAGAAGCGCAACGATCAATGCTGCCCAGTGATAACCTGTCCAGAAGGTAGTTTCATATTTGTGATTGTAAAATAATTGCATTATTGATCGTGTGTGTGTTTTTCTTATGTATCAGTACCTGTACAATTGTTGACGTCGACAACAACCGAGAGCGCAGTAGGCAAACCTGGATCTACTGACGTTGGTCATCTGGATACATATGGATGCTCCATTGATAGATTGTTCTACAGTGATGGTGCGAGAGTACCTTCGGAACCGAATAAACCTTGCGAATTGTGCTACTGTATCAGGAATAAGACCGCGTGTGTTATGCAAGAGTGCACACTTCACATTCAAGGATGCAAGCCTATTTACCAGGAGGGAGTTTGTTGTCCAGTGCGATATGATTGCGGTAAGATTAAAATTTCTTCTTTCAATCCAAACAAAATTTTCAATGTTGTATTTATAGATCATCCAGATGAAGAACTTCCGGCTCTTACGTCTACAACCACGACAACGACGGAAGCTCCAACTACAACTCCAGGATTGATCTTCACCACGACAATGCAACCTGGTGGCACCACTGACTGTACATTCGACGGTGAAATTTATGCTGATGGTGCTTTAGTTAAGAAGGATGTTGCTTGCGAGCATTGTTATTGTATGAAGGGTGATATTGTCTGTGCGGTTCAAGAATGCGCGCCTACACCATTGGATAAGGTTAATTGTACCGCTATGCCTCCACGTGAGGGTCAATGTTGTCCAGATACGTATGACTGCGAGTACGTAAGTCAAGAAGAGTTGACCACTGCCGTTTATGAGTTCTCCACAACAACGGTGCCTTCAATTGCCGAGGAAGAAAATATCATTCCTGAACATGATGATCACACTCTTCCACCTGTTTCTGCTACCGAAGCTGCTGGTACCGAGGTTCCAAGCAAGGCTGAAGAAGTACCCAAAGAAGGTGAAGTTCCGGAAACAAGTGAGAAGCCTGAGGAACCAACTGAGGTTGAAAAGACTGAAAAACCAGAAGTTCCTGAACCTACAGAAGAAGATCACAAGGATATCTTGGAAACACCTACAGAAGAAGAGGGAGTGACGGAAAGTGAAGAAGTACCTGCTCACGTTTCAGAAATTGTGCCTGAAGTAACTACAGAACACAAAGAACCGGTATCTGAAACAGAAAAACCGACAGAGCAAATAGATGAAGAAAAGCCAGTTCATGTTCCAGGTGAAGGTCTTACTGAAACTCCTGAAGAAGAACCAAGTGTCACTGAGCATGAGGAACCGGTTGAACATGAAAAGGAATCTGAAGCTCCAACTAAGGCTGAAACGGAAACAGAGAAGCCGATCGAGGAAGAGGTTCCGCATGTTCCTGAAGAAGAACAAGTAACTGAAGGTGAAGTTTCTGAAGTTACTACTGAAGCTGCTCCACATAAACCTGATGAAGAGGTAACCGGTGATGTTACTGAAGAGACTCCGATTGTAACTGCCGATGAAAAGGAATATGACCATACTCCAGCACATATTCCAGGCGAACAGGTCACAGAAGGCGAAGAGATCCATGTTACCGAGGCGCCAGTTGTGCCACCAGTACCGGTGGTTCCAGCAGTCACTGAAGCAGAAGGACAGGTAACAGAAGAAATTCCAGAGGAACATACTGAAGCGCATATTCCTGAAACTGCAACACAGGCGGAAGAAGAAGTTATGCAAGTGACTGAAGGCCACAAACCCATTGACACAGAGCATATTACGGAAGGTGAAGCGCAGGTTACAGAAGGTGAAGCTCAGGTTACAGAAGGTGAAGCTCAGGTTACAGAAGGTGAAGCTCAAGTCACTGAAGAAGAAGGACATGTTCAAGTGACGGAAGACGAAGGACACGTTCAAGTAACAGAGGACGAAGGACACGTTCAAGTCACAGAAGATGAAGGACATGCTCAAGTAACAGAAGAGGAAGGACACGTTCAAGTCACAGAAGATGAAGGACACGTTCAGGTTACAGAAGGTATTTTACCGGTATCTGAAGGACCACAACCCACTACTGAGGGATTACCATCGGTTACTGAAGCAGAAGAACACGTGCCCGAGAGGGATGACCACTCACCTGAAACAGAAATAACGCATCCAGCTGAGAGTGCTTCAGAACCCACACATGTGGAACCCGAGGATAAGGTAACTGAAGCTGTTTCTGCAGTGACTGATGTACCTGTTACGGAACATGAGGCACCTGCAACTGAGCATGTACCTGAAGAAGGAGAAGAACCTGTTACTGAAAAGAAGCAGGAACCTGAAATTACTCCTACTGAAGGTGAAGAACCTGTAACTGAAGTTAAGATTGAGGCAGAGACTAGTAAACCTGAGGAGGTTGAAGAAGAAAAGCCAACTGACGATGGTAAACCAACAGACGAACAAGCTGAAACCGAAGCACCTGAGGAAGTTAGTGAAGTGCCTGAAAGCACTGAGCCAACTAAGGAACAACCTGAAGGACCTGAAGAGCCTATTCAACCAGTAATTCCGGTGAAACCCGAAGAACCTGAACAGCCTGAGCAGCCTGAAACCACAACACTAAAATTGGCTGAAGAAACGGAGCAGCCGTCTCAAGAAATTGTTCCTGGCGAAGAAACCTCACAACCATCGACGGTTGAAACTACCGCAGGACACATTCCAGAAGTTAGTGAGGAAGCTACTCCGGTTTATGATGAAGAAGGTAAAACACCTGAGACACCAATTACTGAAGAAGTTCCTACTGCTACAGAGGGTGAGATTCCAGAGGTTAAACCTGGCGAAATTGAGCCACAAATTATCGAAAAACAACCTGAGGAAGAAGTGGATAGAACAGATAAACCCGCGTCTGAAGATATTACCGAACCAACTGAAATTAAACCGGAAGTACCCGAAGTTCCTGAAGTTAAGCCAACAGAGATTCCAGAAGAAATCGCGCCAACAACAGTTGTTACAGAAGTTACAGATGAAGAGAAACCGGAGACGCCCGAGATTTCAGACGAAGATATTGTGCATGAACCGGTTGAAGGCGAGGAAGAGCCGCATACTTCTGCCGCCGTTGTACCTGGTGAACAAGAACCAACAACCGAACACGTACCAGTTATTCCAGAAGTGACCGAGGGTAAGGATGAAGAGAAAGAAGTTGTGAAACCAGTAGAAGGTGAACCAATTGAACCAACAGAGGAAGCTATTACGGCAGCTCCAGAAAAACCAGTTGAAGTTCCGGTAGAAGATGAGCATACTCCGGAACCAGAAGTGATGGAGGTGACCGAGTCGGTAACAAAGATGCCCGAATCTGCAGAACATGCTACAGAACCAACAAAGGTACCAGCAGTACCAGAAACAACTGAAGCTAAACCAGAAATTACCACTGAACATGTTAAGGTAGAGGATGAAACAGAAATTCCATCTGTTGAAACCAAACCTGAAGAGGCGAAACCAACTGAAATTGCTGAACAAGAAAGTACTGAAGCTGTACCATCAGAAGGCGAAACTGAAACACCAAAAGAACCAGCTGTTGTTCCAGAAGTTACTGGAGAACCTGAGGTAACTGAAATCCCACATGTCACAGATGAAGAAGAAACAGAAGGTTCTGGTGAAGCTCAACCAGAAATCCCAGCAACCACAGTGAAACATGAGGAAGAAGTTGTAACCGAAAGTGTTCAACATGAACCAAGTGGCGAGGATGAGCATGTTGATGAAGAAACTGAAAGTCCCAAAGAGCACATCACCGAAAAACCGATTGAAGCTGTTGAGGCAGAAACGGAGGCTGAACCTTCAACCGAGGAGGAAGGCACTGAGTTCCCCATTCGTGAACATGTTATACCTGGTGAAGGCAGTTGCCTTGTGGACGGTCAAACTTATGCCAACAACACTAACGTGCCCACAATTAATCATTGTCAAGTATCATGTAAATGTATTAGCTCCATTTTACAATGCGAGAGCGTGACATGTTCTCCTGCTCCGTCGAACATGCAAAATTGCATGCCTGTGTACCATGGACCTGATAGCTGTTGCCCGACCTATAGTTGCAGTAAGTATAAACATTTGTGTTTTGTGTATAAATAATAATTTGAAGGTGCTCCAGGTCCGCAAGAAATGGAATCCGACAGCCACAAGATGGAAGATGAAACCACAGTGTCTGAAGAATTAACCACTCCTTCTGTTACTCCAAGCGCCGAGGTGAAACCAGATGAAGAAGGTTCAGGGGTCACCGAGCATGTTACAGAAGGTGTATTCAAACCTGAAGAAGAAACAGAGCCTTCTCTTCATGTTGAGCCTACAGAGGAACAGAAGACTGGTAAACCAATTGAAGAAGCTGTCACAGAACCGACTGGAGAAATTCCAGAGAAACCAGAAGAAGTTGAACATGAAGAGCCTGCCACAGCTGGGCCAGAAGTTACAGAGCCTGCAGAAGAAATTACCAAGAAACCAGAGGAAACTGTACCTGAGGAGCCTGCCACATCAGTTCCAGAAGTCACTGATCATGCCGAAGAAATCACAAAGAAACCCGAGGAGATTGAACCTGAAGAACCAGCCACGTCAGTGCCCGAAGTTACAGAGCATGCAGAAGAAACTTCAAAAGAACCTGCTACACCAGAGTCTGAAGTTATTCCCGAAGTCACAACTGCTGCTCCCGTTACAGATGAAGAGGAAACTGGTGCTCCTGAATATACTGAACCTGAAAGTGCAACTTCAGGAAAGCCAGAAGAAGTGGAACCAAGCATTGAGGAGGGTGCTAAACCAGAATCTACAGAGGTGCCAGATACTGAAATTCCAGCGAAACCAACAACTGAAGAGTCCGAAGTTGCTGTACCATCTGAAGGTACCACAGAACAAGAGCCCGAAGAAAAACCAGTTCATGTTCCGGTTGAAGCAGAAGAAGGAACAACACCAGCAGTTATTGCAGAAGTTGATCTTACGACTCCTAGTGTGGAAACTGACAAGAAAACTGAGAAACCAGAAGAGATTCAACCTGAACAGGATGAAGTTACAAGCACAGTTCCAGAAATTGAAGAAGGCGTTGCTACTACTCCTAAAATACCTGTGGTTCCATCGGGCGAAGAATCTACAGCTCATCCAGCTGAAGTTACGGAACGAGTGGATACGGGTGCTCCAATTGAAGGATGTGCTGAAGGCGAAGTCTGCGAACCAGCCGAACCTGCTGTGCCTTCCGAGACCGAAGTTCCTTGCCATGGTGAAGCTTGCGAAGGTGTTACCAGTGCACCTGTTATTCCAGATATTACAACACCTTGCAAGGAGGGTGAAGTATGCGAGGGCGAAGAAACACCACCGCAATATGTTCCAGTGCCAGTCCTTCCTTGTGCCGATGGTGAAGTGTGTGAATCACCTGAACCAGCGCAACCAAGTGAGATTCCGACGCAACCTGAACAACCAAGTGAAGCTCCAATTCAACCTTGTGCGGATGGCGAAACTTGTGAAGGAGAAACTACACCTCTTGCTCCTACTCATGTTGAACCTGTTAGTTGCGCTGAAGGCGAAGTATGCGAAGAAGTCACTCCAGCTGTACCCGTCCAGGGAGAAGCATGCAAAGAAGGTGAAGAATGTATACCAACAGATACTACTGTGTCACCAGTTCCTACCGAAGAATGTAAAGAAGGCGAAGTTTGTGAACCCAAGCCAGAAGTGCCAACAGCGGGAGAGCCAACTGAAGAATGTAAAGAGGGTGAATGTCCACCTGTTGAAGGTGTTACCGAAGAACCAATTACGTCAGAACAAGTGCCGCAGTGTGAGGGTGAGGTATGCAAACTGCCTGGAGCAGACAAAGAAGTGACCGAAAAACCGGAACAAGTACCTGAAGTGTCACCTTCCGAAGAGCCTTCGGTTGAAGTAACGACGTCCGTTATTGCACCATCTGAAGCTGAAACCGAATCTGATCAGAAGATCACACCCAGCGTAACCGAGCATATTGAACATGTCGAACCGGAAACTGAGCATGCAGAGGTTGAAACGGAAGAACCAGAAACCGAAACTGGTAAACCAGAAGAGGGTGAAACCAAGAAGCCATTGCAGCCAGAACCTAGCAAACCGGAAGAAGAAGAAACTACTGCGCCTGCAGAAACAGTGACTGCTGTCCCAGAGGAAGAAGAAACTAAACCTTCCGTTGTTGAACCTGCGGTTCCACATGAAACAGAAACCGAAATTCCTGTAGAGCCAGCAGTGTCTGAAAAAGAACCTGAAGAAGTCGAACCCGAAACCGAAGGTCCTGAAAAGGCCATTACACCTGAAATTAAACCAGAAGAACCAGCCACATCGGTTCCATCTGTTGAGCCTGTTGAAGCCGAGACAACCGCACCATCAGAGGAGCCTGAGCAAATTCCATCTGAAACTACACCACCTACCGATGAAGAGAAAGAAGAAACCCTTAAACCTGAAGCAACAGGCCCAAGTGTATTGGGAGAAAGTGAAACTGAAGTTACTCCAACTCTTCCTGCTCATGTTGAACCTGAACTACCAACTGAAAAGCCTGCAGTGGTTCCTGAAGATGAAATCAAACCAGAAATTACCACTATTTCCGAAGAACCAGAAATTGTTCATGTAACAGAAGAAATTCCATCTGCAACAGTTAAACCAATTGAAGCAGATGATCATGTTATGGAAACTACACCTAGCGTACCAATAGAGGAGATTCCAGAAAAAGAAACTGAGGTGCAACCAGAAAAACCAACAGAAACACCAGCTCACGAGGATGTTGAACCAGAAGAGGGTGGTGAGGTTACAAAGCCTACCGAAGTTGCTCCTGAGAAGGGCGAAGAAGAAGTCACGGAGGCAGTGCTTCCAGTTGAACCAATTAAACCCGATGAAGTAAAACCAACTGAAGCTGAATTCAAACCTACGGAAGCTGATGAAGGTGTAAAACCAACTGATACTCCAGTTAAACCAGATGAAGATGTAGAAAAATCGACTGAATCGGTCACTTCCGCGAAACCAACGGAATTGGAAGTTGAAGAGGCCAAGCCGACAGACTTGCCAGCCGTACCAGAGGCTACTGAAACTGAAGAAGTTAAACCTACTGAAAGCCCAGCCGAGGAAGAAGGCAAGCCAGTTGAGAGTGAAACTACTGCACCAGTAGAAAGCGATGAAACTGGAATAACTCAAGCTCCACCTGAAATCAAACCAACTGAAGAAGCGGAAGAAGAACACAAACCTACCGAAGCAGAAGAGGAACACAAACCTACGGAAGCAGAAGAGGAATACAAACCATCAGAAAGTGAAGAGGCTGTTACTGAAAAGGAAGAAGATGTTGAACACAAACCTACTGAAGTTCAAGAAGCTGTTGAGTCAACTGAACCAAGCGCAGATGATAAAGAGAAGCCTACAGACCGTGCACCAACGGTACCTGAAAAAGAAGAAGGCGAACCAACAGAAGCTGAAGCAGGTATACCTACCGAGCCAAGCAAAGAGGAAGAGTACAAACCCACTGATAGAGCACCAAGTGTACCCGAAAAAGAAGAAGATAAGACCACTGAGCCAAGTGAAGAAAGCAAACCAACTGAAGCTTATGACGAAGAAAAACCGGAACATGGAGTTATGTCAGAAGATGTTGAACCCGAGGAACCAGAGGAACCCGAACAACCTGCTACATCAAGACCAATTCCAGGTGAAGATGTTACTGCTCCTCCTCATGAAGTTGTTACTGAAGAGTATGTCACTGAAGTTGCCAAACCACAAACTGAAGAAGCCGTTGTAACTGTAACTGCAGTACCGGCTGGCGCTGAAGTAACAGAAGGCAAGCCAGAAGAAGTACCAGAAGGACCAGTTGAGCCATCTGCTACTGAAGAAGCAGTTACATCACCACCCGAAAAAGATATTGGAGAACCAACTAAAGAAGAAGAGGTAGAGAAACCAGAAAGCAGTACTCAAGTACCATCGGTAGAAGGTGCACCAGTGACTGAAGAAGAAGAAGAAGATGTTTTCACTTCAACAACAATTCAGGATATGCTCACTAAATCGTCGCCGTTGCCGTTTACGACAACGACAATCTTGCCTAGTCACGAGCAGCTACCCGACACTTCCGACTACCCGGTGCAAGGCCAGGTACCAGATGACGAATATGACGACGAAGAGCCAAGTGCTTTCGGACCTGGCACATGTCGCTATGGTGGCAAAGTCTACGTGTCTGCCCAGCAGATACCACGAGACGATCCTTGCGACTTCTGCTTCTGCTTCCGCAGCGACATCATCTGTCTGCAACAAAGCTGTCCACCGCCTATACCACGCTGCCACGAAGAACCCATTCGAGGATTCTGTTGTCCTCGATACGAATGCCCCGTCTCCATGGCCACAACGGTCAACATTACCACAACCACTACGACCACCACTACAACGCTACCTCCTCACTTCTTATCACATGCATACAAGGGTCGTGCCACTCGTACGGGTTGTCTCATACAGGGACAATCTTACAAGGTGGGCGAAACCATTCGATCCGCTTCTGGACCATGCCTGCACTGCGTGTAAGTACAACTACAACAAACCAAACAATACTACAAATGTAATGTTTTGACTTAAAATTGTATTTTTTTGTTATTTAGATGCGGCGGCGATGGTCAAATGAAATGTGATCCCAAAGTGTGTAGTCCCGAACCGATGTTGCGGCAAATGATTGCAGCAGCGGCGTCGCGACGAAGAAGATGAGCCCAACACTAGTTGCCCACGCACTATAAAGACAGAACACAAAAAATGAAAATTTAAAGTGAATGAACTTAAGTGTAAACGTAAGCGAAACCACGATACTCTTAAACAGCATGAAAATCGAGCAGACCAACTAGACAACTAGAAGGAATCGGGAGGCGAACCATAACGGAAGTCAGCGCAGTATTTTGTGCGAAGTGATAGAAAGGACAATTTTATGCAATTTTTTCTATATTTTCAACGGATAGCGATCGGCTTCAAGTCGCGCGCAAAACTCGATAAATTAAGTACATAAGCATAAATATTAAAGTAAATACATTGATAAGCATTCTCGGGTGCCAAAATGAACTAAGACTAGGTATTATACACGTGCCTTCAATACAGAATTGAGAGGGTGGATCAAGTCGAACGCGAATGAGAGAAACAAACCGGAAGCACATGAAATGAAAGTCATGTTCACGTAACACACACATATGCATTTTACTGTAGAGCAGAGCTTCGTTCCACAACGAGCAAACATCGCATTTTAATGATCTATATATATGCGTCATCTAGCAATCCCTTCAAACCTCGTTTTTATATGAATATTAATGTTTTATTTTGTTTATTTAATTGGAAAAATGGAAGATTTTTGTTTGTGCGTGTGTGTATTATATGCCCAAACTTGCACGCGCCGTGATTTATTCGTATACTCTTTTAAAAACCTCTTAGTAGATACTTGTATTTATATAATGGATAAAATTTAACATGAACAAAAAAACTCTTGCAAAATGCGAAAATCAACTACAACAAAAAAACGATTGCAAAAAGTATAAAATATTAATATATCGACGACTGATAATCAGAAAATTTTTGTAAACTATGTAGGAATTTTCGAACGTAATTAATTATTATTTAATGCTATAGATATTTGTCGTTTGTACAAATAAGAGAACACAAATAGAGACGAAAAAGCCATTTGATGAAATCCCAGTTTAGGGCTCGTTTATTACTTGAAACTTTTTTTGTAACGATTTATATAATTATTATGGTTTATATATATTTATATACATATTTATATATTGATATATAAATACTAATATATAAATATATATATATGTTTGTGTATTGCGTATTCCGAACGCACGTCTAGGTTGTTTGACTGGTAGAAATTGCACACAATTTTTCTCTATTTCTTCGTCATTTGTATGTTTTAAACAAATATCTCTTTACAATATGATATATATGTAGTTAGTTATACAGTGTAATAAGGACGATGGCCGATGATACGTTTATGCTATTTAAATTGATATCTTAAACGAGATTTCTACTACTTGAACGCCTAGACTTGATATTCATATTTGTATATTAACGGATGCTCAATATTATACGTTAAATTAGTACATGTAGTATTTATCACTAATTAATAAATGAATAAATAATGTAAATGAATACTTTTACTGTTTTGTATTTTTATTTCATCCCTGGCTACCAGGCTTAGTAACATCGGTCAACACGTTAATTGTTGAGCTGATAATACTCAAGCCAAAAATTATCAATATTTTCCAGGAAGAAAGTACCAAGGACACCTTTACTATTGTTGACCACCTGTAACTATTTGATTTTATCAAAACTGAATCCTTTACAAACTCCAAATGTTAAAATAATAGCAGAGAAGCAAATATGTTTAAATTTAGACACCGGTTAAATATAGAAAATGCGCGTTTGATTCTCTGGTCACATGGCACACATAATGCCGGCTAGTCAAAACTGACCAGGAAGCTCCAACACATCTTATCCCAACTTACATAATTTCTACTTTAATACCATATTGTTAAAACAATGGCGACTAAAAATGAAATGGGTATGCGTATAACTATAAACAGATTACTTTTATTAAGTGAATCCTTTATAGGTAGAAAGTTCAAAGACCAACTGCATCAATTTTCTACAAAGCAATGGACACAGGATTACCAAACACGAAATACTTCTAATAAAGCTTTGATGAATTGTGATGTGGCTCCGAAAAAGACACGTCGTAAATATGTGACACACTGGGCGAATCTGCCAGACATTTTGCTGGAAAGAATCTTTTCACATCTGACAATCCGAGAACGTTTTTACGCTAGTTTGGTATGTAAAACATGGAATAGAGCTTTTTACTTGCCGAATGTTTGGTCACGATTTGTTCTTGAAGATACCACATTAACAAGAGCAAGATTTAATTACTATCAAGGATGGCAGGTAAGTAAAATGATGATTTATGTAGTTTTTAAATTGAATTTTGGATTATTTAGTATGTTTTAGATCATGTACGAACGCAATTGTGTCTCACCCAGATTGGCAGCTATATTCGTTGTTTAATCTTTGCGCCAATGTTAAACTTTTTCAACCTGTATGAATTTATTAAACTGTTATCATGGTACATTGAACAAGGAGATAATCCACTTTTAAATAGCTTTGGGATAGGCTCAAGGATTCGTACATTAAAGTTCACCTTTCCTTGCAATATGGACAATAGGATAAGAGACGAGGATGAAATTACAAAACTTTATGGAACCGGTGGACAGATTCTTGGTACATTGAAACGTCTCATGACAAATTTGCCTGAACTACAACAATTAGAATTAATTGATCTTATGTTGGAAATCAAAGAAGCTCAGCATCTTCTTGATGGAGTCTGTAATATTTGTTGCACGTCAATGCGCACTTTAGTGTTGATTAACACAACAAGATATCAATATCCTTTGCTTCACGTTGGTGTATTTTTAAATTTAAAAGTAAGTATTGATTCTTTGTTGGTAATTTTATTACATAAGATATTAATTAGGTACTAGTGATCAGTCCGCAAAATTTAGGGGATGATGTCTTAGAACTTTTGGGTTCTACCCAATTGCAACACCTTCATATTCATCAAAATGTCTACACACCAGACTATGTTATGAATTATACAACTGTACGAGCGTGGAAGAATTGTAAACGGGATAATCCTTATTTACAAGTGCATCTTGAAATGGAAAATCTTAAAGAAAAGAGATTGCTTCTGTGGCCTGCTGCGCCTGTTACCAGTATTATCTATGATTCTCCACATATCGGTGTAGGAAGTTTTATGATAACAAATAGAGCACAATTTTTAATGTTAAATATTATAGGTACAATTGGCTGAAGTAATGAATATGGTTGAACATTATAAAGATAGTTTACGTGTGTATGGTCATAAAAGTTTACCACGTGGTTACAGATCAAAGAAATTCTATGATCGCATTGATGAATCTCTTGTACTTTTGGGTCGTGGTTGTCCAAAACTACAAACATTGGTGAGATTATATATTAAATCATTACTTAAAAAAGAATAATTGATACTTTTATTTTAGATCATCACTGAAAGGGTGTCTACTGCTACTCTGCTATTGATTGCAACCACGTGCAAAAACTTGCAAAACTTGTATGTTCGTCGCAACGCTGTGATAAAAAAATTCGACTGGCAAGTGAATCCAAACTGGAGTGATGAATATGCTGAGTGGTTGAAATGTGCAGCCCATGATTATAGTCGAATTGAAAATGAAATTTCTCAGATTTTAGGGTACAAATGGTGTATGATGAGTGATCGAGCGTTTGGGAAGTTACAACTTGATTTTGACGAATTAAACTGATGTATCTACCAAAATAAAAACAAATTATTACATATATAATTTTCTAGACACGATCCAAGTGAATATTTTGAGACTTATTGTGTATTTTATTATTTTTATCTATAAAACCAGTAATCCATAATAGAAGCAGGCATATTTCACAAGTTCAATTTCAAATCATCAGTCATTTTGGTGTAAGCAACTTTTTATACTCGACAGCAGCGCCGCGTGTTAGAGTTAGTTGTAACCTACGAGAATACGTTGCACGAGTAATGCGGGTGAGCGATTTCTCTTCCTTTTGTACATTCGCTACATTCGTGTTTTGGTGCGGTGCACGGTTTGCACCTTGTATCATTGTTTATAAATAGATCGCACCTTCATCGGGGCTGATTGCACAGTTGAAATATTTAACATAAGCACTACCTATCAGATTAATAACCGCATGCCAACGAGTGAACAACGCAAATAGTGAACAGTGCGATACAATGACCTCATCCTCGCACTGAAGATGCACCCAGTGCGCGAACCGCGAAGTAAATTATTACCTGTGCTATAGTTATGTGAATGTCCCTACAGCAAGTATTAAAGTGCGGATCAAATAATGGAATCAGATGATGGCGAGCTGGATCCCCGCATACAAATCGAACTGGAAAACCTAAATCGAGCCACCGACGAAATCAATAAACTGGAAATTGAATTAGATGTAAGTTCAAATGTAATTCATTATGAATGAGAAACATTGTGTGTGTTTTACAGGAAGCGAATACGACATTTCGTATGCTACTTAATGAATCTACTAGAAGACTCAAGTTGCTCTCTAAGAAGCTTGGTGCTTGCATTGAGAAAGCAAGACCCTATTATGACAGTCTTGAGGTAGCAAAAAAGGCACAGTTTGAGTGCCAGAAAGCAGCAGTTGCCTTTCAGAGATCCAATGGTAACAACAACATTGCAAAACATTAAAGTAGCACATAGATAGCATCTATTATGTTTTAGAATTTCATGCAGCTGCCAAGGAGACAGTAGCACTGGCTGAACAACAGTTCATGAACAATCAACATGAGTGGCAATTTGATAATGCCTGGCAGGAGATGCTTAATCATGCCACAATGAAGGTGAGTAATGAATGTAAATAAGTACACACAATGTGTGTTTGAACACTTTGTATGTGTGAGTGCTGTGTGTGTGAATAATTGTTATACATACAATGGTGTAATTGATGTGCTAATATGCATAAATGGAAACTTTCTAGGTAATGGATGCAGAAAATCAAAAAGCAGAAAATGGAAGGGAACATCAAAAGCGTGCTACTTTGTTTCACGCAGCGGAACAAAAAGTAACAATGACATTCGCTTATTTTAATTTTAATAACACAATTAAATGTTATTATCCACAGGTACAGCAACTAGAAGATCGCTTAAGAAGACATATAATTAAATCACGGCATTATTTCGATGAGAAAACGCTCTGTCAGGAACAACTCACCACACAAAAGAGCCGAATTGAAACTTTAAAAACTGAAATAGCCGCTGCTAAAACCTCATATGCGCAATCCCTTAAAACTCTCGAGCAAATCTCCAACGAAATTCACATGAAACGAAAAGGATTCGCGGAAAGTGATTATCCTCGGGGTCCACGCGAACCTGGAGTTGGTGCCGAGCTAGAAGAACCATCATCAAGCCATCGCCAGGCTAGCCTACCTGATTTCCAACTAGAATTAGACCGTTGCGAGGTACGCAGCATGGGTTCCTATAGTGGTACAACCAGTTCAGCGGTAAGCGAAAAAGATGAAACCGAAACATTCGACGATCAAGATCACTACGACCATGAATACATGGACGAGTTGAAGTTAAAGGTAAAAGAGTTGGCAATTCGTCCGATAGACGGCGGTGAAGGTCGTAGTACTGATAATGTTTGGGAGAGTGAATTGAAGAACACCGTTGATAAGTTGGATCATATGATGATGCTGAAAGAGTGCGAACAAGATCTGAATAAGTTGAAGAAGCAAACGCCTAGTGCGACTGCGTCTACAGCCAGTAACAATACAGGAAAAAGTTTTTAGGATATGTGACAGGTTTTAACACCTGTGATGGTTTATGTTCAAAGTTTATTTTGTATAAGTTTATATTTTCGCTCGTGCTTTTAAAGCGCAGGTACAATTCCAGTGCATTTGATGCACATACCATTGCAGATCTTTTATTCCATTTATTTTTTTATATTCATTTAAAGTTTGCAATTTATGTACAAGTTTACACGTTTTGTTTACATTTATTTATGCTGCTGTGCAGATTGATGAAGCTTTATGTATATTTATGTGGTTTATATAGATATATACACGCATCAAATGAGTAACAATAAATATTCGATCGTTAACAAGTTAAATACGGTCATGTATTGATTGTAAACAAAGTTTCTAAGGCAATTCTATTTGTTGTGAACAAAACACGTTTTTTGTTTTGTTTTTATGCTTGTCAGGTGCGTATGTCATAAAAACAAAATGTTTTGTCAACATGATACGTATTTGTGTATGCGAATTAGAACAATGCTTTTATCTGACAGCAAGACAATATGTCTAAGTATTTAAATTACCGTGAATTGTAAAATTTTTCCTAATTTCAATGATTTCGAGCGTGAGGAGAAGGAAACTTACATTACGAGTTTGGGCGACATTCTGTGGCGAGTGGATAAAGTACGCGATGACCCTTGTTCCAACCTCAAACATGACGTTGGCCAGCTATTTATAGAACGAAACACGCAGGCAAAATTCATCCCACATACCACCGCACCGCACATTTTCTACTTGGCAGTCGGTACGTTAGGACGTGTCCGGTGGCAATCGCGCACGGCGACCGAGAGCATCCAGTAATTAAATTTTGTGTTGCAGGCAGACAAGAACCAAGTAAAACTGGATAAACCGCGGCCAGCCAGGTTTCTCTAGGACGGATTTTCTGTTTTTACAGTACAGTAAGTGCGACTTTCATTACAATTCTCGTTCGGGCGGTGAGTGGAGCGCAAAGTTGCGCTGGCATTTCTGAAGGCGCACACGGGCAGGCGGCGGATATCGGACGCATGGTAGTTGACACGTCGACTGCGTGCTTCGTGTGGCATGCCTCACTTTTTCGCGTTTCACGCGCAACTCACACAGAATACGATGCCGTTCAATTAATTACCAATCAACACTTTATCGGAATTAAAGATCTTGTGCGTTGTGAGTTGTACCATATGTTAATCGTGCCTCGTTGACATGCTGTGCGTACTTTTAACGCCGACAAACAGGCGAAGTGAAGTTGCCACATAGACACATGCTCGTCACGGCAAATATTATCTTAATCGTTAACGCGTTGACGATTTTATCAATATTTGGTCGAAACATAATGGGATTTATATAAGTTGGATGCCACATCACGAAAAAAATGTGATGCACTTTGATGATGTGTTGGCTAGTGGCTCGACATATGCTGATCGTGCAAATACAGCGTGCTGATAAGACGATTTTCGTTTGATTTTGCAGTGTTACTGTAACGACTTTGGCGCGACACAGGACATCCCAAAATGCAGCAAGCAGTGATTGAAGAGGCAGCGGCTTTTGAGCCGTCTGTACGTAGTTACGATGACTTATTCCCAGCATTACCTGAATCAGCACCCACCCAGCACAACAACACCGCTTGGGTCCATTCATCTCAGAACAACAAGATGAAAGTGGGCTCATCTGTAGTCACCCAAGTGTTTCGGTAAGTCGTTTGAGAAATAATCATAAAACACTTTCATTCAATCCTCATTTGTTGACTTGTAGTGTACCATATGAAGAACGCAAATTAGACAGTGATAAATTCGGCGAGAACGAATCAAAACATTTATGTGCCAACATCATGAAAGAAACCGGCGCCCATTTAGAAATTTCCACCGGCAAAGACCTTTCCCTCACTTTCCTCGTCAGCGGCAAACAGCATGAGGTGATGGAAGCGCGCAGGAAAATCCTGTCCAACTTCCAAACCCAGGCGAGCAGACAAATCAGCATCCCTAAGGACCACCATCGTTGGATCCTCGGCAAAAGGAGATCGCCTCAAGGAGTTAGAAAAGTCGACGGCGACCAAGATTACGGTGCCGCCCATGAACAACCCGTCTGAGATCATCGAGATCGTCGGGCCGAAGGAGGGTATTGAAAAGGCGGAGCATGAAATCCGCGTCACCTCTGACGAGCAATCTAAGAAAGCTTTTGAACGCATCAACGTGCCTAAAATGTTCCACCCGTTCATTGTGGGCGCTTTCAACGAGAAGCTCAACGCGATGATTGCTGAAACAGGCGCACGCATTAATGTCCCTCCACCCTCTGTAATGAAGGATGAAATTGTCATCGCCGGTGACAAGGATGGCGTAGCGGCAGCCAAGAGCAAAATCGAGGCTATACACAACCAGATGCAGAAGTGCTGCAGCACTGTGCAGGTGGAAGTCCCCAAGTCGCAGCACAAGTACGTAATTGGTCCACGTGGAGGCACCATCGCTGAGATTCTCAAAGAGACTGAAGTTAGCGTGGAGATGCCGCCAAGCGACTCAACCACCGACACTATTACCCTGCGTGGTCCACACGCAAATCTTGGCCAGGCGCTGAGTAAAGTCTACGAGAAGGCGAACTCTGTGCGCACCAGTGATGTAGCCGCTCCATCCTGGATCCACAAATACATTATTGGTCGTAAAGGCGCAAGCATCAAAGAGATCACCAGCAACCTTCCAAAGGTGCATGTTGAATTCAACGTAAAAGAAAATAAGATTAAGATTGAAGGCCCACCAGAAGAAGTGGACAAAGCACATGAAAAACTCGAGGCCATCGCAAAAGATTACATCAACAAGTACATCTTTCTTGATATGACCGTAGACCCGAAGTTCTATAAGCATATCATCGGCAAGTCTGGAACTAATGTCAACCGCATCAAGGAGGAGACTGGAGTGGTGATTAACATCGAAGAAAACGGTCAGATTCGCATCGAAGGCACCAAGCAAGGTGTGCAGAAGGCGCAGAGCGAACTGGAGGAGATGGTTAAGAAGCTCGAGAATGAGAAGGAGCGCGATATTATTATCGAGCAGCGCCATTATCGTACTATTATTGGGCAAAAGGGTGATAACATCAAGGAAATACGCGACAAGTTTAATCAGGTGCAAATCACCTTCCCTGGCCCAGCTGATAAGCGCGACATTGTTAAACTACGTGGACCCAAGACTGATGTCGATCAGTGCTACAAACATCTGCAGAAGGTCGTCAAAGATTTGAGCGAGTCATCGTTCCAGATCGAAGTACCCATCTACAAGCAGTTCCACAAGTACATTATCGGCAAAGGCGGCGTGAATATTCGTAAGATTCGTGAGGAAACTCAAACCAAGATTGATTTGCCATCAGAGGGTGATAATAATGATGTGATTACCATCACTGGCAAGAAGGAAAACGTTGAAGAAGCCAGAGAGAAAATCCGTATGATTGAAGGTGAATTGGAGAATATTGTCTCCGAGGAGATTACAATTGATCCCAAATTCTACAATTCTTTGATTGGCGCTCGCGGAAAATTAATTCATTCCGTTATGGAGGATTGCGGTGGTGTTGCCATTAAGTTCCCCTCGCCAGAGAGCAAGAGCGACAAGGTGACGATACGAGGACCTAAAGATGACGTGGATCGTGCCAAACAACAGTTGCTGGATTTGGCTAATGAAAGGCAAATGTCTAGTTTTACGGCTGAAGTAAGTTTTGGTGTATTTTTGTATTTAAAAGATTGATACTAATTGAAAATGTGATAGGTTCGTGCCAAAGCTCAGCATCACAAGTTCCTCATTGGTAAAAATGGTGGCAACATTAAGAAAATCCGCGAGTCGACAGGTGCTCGCGTTGTTTTCCCATCGAACCAAGACGACGATCGTGAATTGATTACTATTATTGGTAAGAAAGAAGCCGTCCTCCAGGCTAAGACTCAATTGGAAGCCACTATTAAAGAAATTGTAAGTTACTTTTAAAATTCATCAAATAATCAGTTAATATTAATAAATTATTTCCTGTTTATAGGATAATATTATCGAAGATGAGATGGTTGTTGATCCACGCCACCACAAGCACTTTGTTGCTCGACGTGGTGAAAACTTAAACAAAATTATCGATGACTGTGGCGGTGTGTCCATTAGTTTTCCCCGATCGGGTGTGCAGAGCGACAAGGTGACCCTGAAAGGTTCCAAGGACTGCATTGAGGCAGCTAAGGCGCGTATCAACGAGCAAATTGCTGACCTAGAAGCGCAGGTGACGATCGAGTGTATCATTCCGCAACACATGCATCGCACCGTCATGGGCGCCAAGGGCTACAAAGTGCAGGGTATCACCTCTGAGTTTGATGTCAAAATTAAGTTCCCTGACAAGAATAACACTGACGAGTACATCAATCACGATGGGCAGTTGAACGGCGACGCTAACGCTGAGCCAGTGCGTCATTGCGATGTTATTCGTATCACCGGCCGCGATGAGAACTGTCTGAAGGCGAAGCAGGCGTTGATTGATCTCAAGCCAGTCACTATCGATGTCGATGTTCCTATGGAGCTGCACAGATCTATCATTGGCAAGAACGGACGCGATGTGCGTGTGCTCATGGACGATCATGATGTGCATATTGTTCTTTCGCCGCCTGAACAGAAGGAAGATAAGATTAAAATCACTGGTACACCTGCAAATTGCGAGAGGGCGCGAGAGGCTGTTCTTGAACGCGTCAAAGTCATTGAGGCAGACCGTGCGGATCGCGAGCTGAAGAGCTATGCTCTGCAGATTGAAGTGAATCCGGACTTCCATCCTAAGATTATTGGCAAGAAAGGTGCCATTATTAGTAAGATTCGTGCCGATCACGATGTCCAGATTAATTTCCCCAAACGTGGCGATCCAGAGGAGCATATTATCACTATCACTGGATATGAAGATGCTACACAGAAGGCTCGCGATGATATTATGAAGATTGTCAATGAGCTCAACGATATGGTCAAGGAAGAGATTACTATTGATTCAAAAGTGCACTCTCGTCTTATCGGCGCTCGTGGTCGTAATATTCGTAAAATTATGGACGACTTTAAGGTGGATGTTAAATTCCCACGTACAGAGGACTCCGATCCCAACTTGGTTACAATCACCGGCGCAGCTGAAAATGTTGCTGACGCTAAGGAACACTTGCTCAACCTGGAGGAAGAATACGTATGTTTCTCGCTTCTTTGTTTTCGTCATCAGAACTTAAATTATCTAATGTGTGATTCGTTTTTCAGTTGCAAGATTTCACCGATCAGGAAATGCTCAACAGTTATCGCGCCCCATCGAGCGGCCACTCCATGGACTCGCCGACACGCGCCGGAAACAACGGGTTCATGGTCTCCGGTGGACCTTGGGAGCAGCAGGCACCCAACACTGAGAGCGTGACCGAATTCCCATCGTTCGGCGGACGCCCCACCGAACCACCGCAGGTGTCTCCTATCTCGGGCGCCTGGGGCAACCGCCGCTAAACACAAAACAATCGAAATCGAATCCGACGCCACTCAGTCCACAAGAACACTTGAAATCCCGATATAAACAAACACCACCGTTTTGCCGACGAATTGCGACGAATAATCGAACACAAATATTTGAAAGCAACACAAACAGCGTAACTGCAAGACGGAACACACTGCCAATTTTAAGAAATTATTTTAGAATATACTGAAGCATGGACTGGGTGCTCTTTTATAATGTATTCCATACAAAACTTATGGAAGTGAAACACACAAACACATAAAATGAAACTAATTTAAGAGAACATAGGTTCGTTTCTTAGAAAACCTAAAGAAATACTTGCGAACTAAGAGCAAGATCGAAACAAAAACCACAAATGTAACGACAAAACCTCTTCCTCACTATTTGCTGCATTAATTGATAGGCCTGGCATACGACAATGGACACTGACTTTAACGGATCTGAATTCACACTCGACGCATTTCGATAACAAACAAAAAATACATACACTGATTTATATATTAATATATAAAATACGAAAAGAAAAAATATGAAGAAGTTTATAGTCTCGATGGCGCAACGCGACGCGGTGCTCGCTATCGATTATATTTCATTTTTAAAAAGAACTACGTTAAGAAGCCGTGTCGCAAGCGACACGTGATAAACGACGGCCTATTGAATTTAGAACGGCGGCTCTAAAACGAACTCAACGTATACACATATTAAACAAATGCTGCGACAAAAGTGCAGCCAAACAAAGTAAAGCGGTTATTTTAGCAATGCATGTGTACATTTCTTTTATTTTGTTTTATCAGGTTAGAGATAAAATCGTCTTTATTAGTTTACGATGCAAATGAAAGATATATTGTACCTATTATGAAAGAAATAGTTTAAATGTCCTCGTGGCTACTATATATTATTATCGATTTTAATTATAAGTTGTTTATTGATTGTATGAGCTACGTTATCTTTCATATCAATTCATGATTTCTTTTATTGATATTTTTGATAATTATTAACAATATTGCGATCTATATATGTGCTCTAGTATAAAATGATTATACTATAAAGTTGTTACATTTTGCCGCAGGTTCGAACGCGCGTCGTGTAATATATACGGACGGTCGAAAGACGGCCGAATTTTAAGTTGGTTTTAAATTGATAATCGTTTCGTATTTCAAGTTTCAGTCCACTGGTTTACGGAATTATTTGCTCAGTTCTTCGGTTTGACAAGAGACAAAATAAAAATGCGAAAACAAATGATGCAAACGACGAAACAATGAAGAAATTCGCTGATTGTGATAAATGAACTTGTTTATGATGAAACAAAATCGACATTTATTGATGCTATACTATATTAACTGATAATTTGTAAACGAAGTCGGGAGTCGAGCATCAAGCGATATTGAAAAAACGGATTGATATAAAATAGTAGTCGATGGGATGGTGGAAATGCTCATTTTCTTTTAGTGGGTCTTTTTGTAAGTCACGGAATGTGTCATAAATACTTGATCATTTTTCTAAATAAACTAACAAAATAAAACAGCATACATTGTTCTAGAATTTCACTATATTATATATATAATTATGACAAAACAGTAGTGATATACATTTTTTATAAGAAAAATATTATAATGAGAAGCATATAGAATTTGGAAACCAGACCACGCTATTGTTTGTTTTACGCCAAGTGCATACAATCGTTAATTTTTGTTAAAATTTGCGTAGGGCGGCAAATGCATTTATGTAATACATATTTATGTTAAAATTCGTGTATGACTGCGACATGAATTTTATTATGTACTATGTTTATTTCTATTCAGGTAAATGGATTTTTTTCGTGTTATTTATGCAAATATTATTTAATTGTAAACGTTATTTAAATGCAGTGAAAGTGCAGATTGAAAAGGACTTGAAAAACTAATTAAAATGAATAAAAATCTAAAAAATTGAATAAGTGCACGGAAAATGATTGCAACAATGATAAGCATTATCAATTTTTTGAACTGACGGCTTTATAAAACAAAAATTAAAAATGTAATGATACTGTTGGTTTGATTGTACGCGTAGGTTGCCTACAATCACGTGAGCTGAACAAAAACTGTAGTGGGTCAAATAACCTTCAAAAATATTTGTGTTCTTGACGTTGACAGTTGTTGCGGCCGCCTCGCACAATATTTTTCCATTCAGATCAGGTTGTAAGCGAATTACATTTTGAGAATAGTGCAACAAAAACTGAAGGGCTAACAATAAATTTGAATTGCAGTACAACGTCGACGATGGCACGCGAGATAAATATGCTGCGGGTAGCGAAAGGCTGCTTCGGGCAGGTGCGTACACTTTGCAAATGTTATATAACTGTGTCCTGCTATCATATGTTACATATTTTGTTGATGCGTTAGATTCGGCATTTGAGCACAACGCGTGCTTTGCTCGACAAGCAAGTGGAACCTCGTATAAAGACTTTTGCGATCTACCGATGGAATCCCGACGAGCCGAACAAGAAGCCGTTCATGCAGGAGTACAAAGTAGATTTGAATTCTTGTGCACCCATGGTGCTGGATGCCTTGATCAGAATCAAGGACTACATGGATCCTACCCTTACCTTCCGGCGTTCATGCCGTGAAGGTATTTGTGGTTCATGTGCTATGAATATTGGTGGAATAAACACGTTAGCTTGTATTAGGTAATTATTAAAGTTTAAAAAAAATAATTCTAAATTCAAAAAATATAACTTAATTTTATGTTGGTAGCAAAATTGATACTAATCTTAGTAAGAAGTCATACATCTACCCACTACCTCACATGTATGTCATCAAGGATCTGGTGCCTGATATGAACCACTTCTACAGGCAGTACAAGACTATTAAGCCTTGGTTACAACGCAGGTAATCGTCCGTTTCCTGGCGATCGCATGAGATAATTTTATAGAATTAACTTTAAATTGTAATTTAATAGGAACGAACCAAAAGTGGGCGAAGCGCAGTACTTGCAGAGCGTGGAAGATCGTGAAAAGATCGACGGTTTGTATGAGTGTATTTTATGCGCGTGCTGCTCGACGTCATGCCCCAGCTACTGGTGGAACAGCGATCGCTATCTTGGCCCTGCTGTACTTATGCAGGCTTATAGATGGATGATTGATTCACGAGATGAATTGACACCGGAACGCCTGGAGAAGCTGAAGGATACGCACTCTGTTTTCAGGTGCCATACGATCATGAACTGCACTAAAACTTGCCCGAAGGTAATAATTTTTAAATATTTTAATAAATAATACATTTATGAAATGATTCTTAGGGTTTGAATCCTGCACGTGCTATTGCGCACATCAAAATGCTCCTCAGTGGGCTGGAGTCAAAGAAGGCGCCGACGATGAACACTACAGCACTGCACCAGGCCTAACCGCCTTCACCACCATGGCCGAATACTTAAAAAAACGAACCAAGGAAAATTCATCTATAAATTCGATTTGTGCACGATTTTGATTTTACCACAGTCTATATTAATTTTATTGGATATCCTATCTTTTGATTTAATTATTTATATAATTATTTATTTTGCGCGTAACTACGTTTAGCCGCAATATAGCCAATCTTAGGGAGGGCCTTGCTGTCCGACGACGCCGCCAAAGTCACTTACCATATTTATCGTAAACGTACGTAACTGTTTTTGACAACGTGAACCGTGAAATCAGTATTTATGATGGTTGTTTCTTTAACTTAAATTTTAAATCTTAAGTGTTGAAAAAAGGCGCATTTACATCTTGCGCGTGTTTGTTTTTGTTGTGTACGGATGTGCTGACAATTTGAATAAAATTTGGTTGTGGATTTGAGTTAGTCTGGCAATATTCAAATATTGCACATGTATTTGCATTACATTTGCGTCGTGTAATCGACTTTTGTAAATAACGCGCAATAAATGGTTGATACAGCAGCATAAAACTAATCCGACACGTGGGTACCAATAAAGTTAATTAAAATTAGATTTGGATAATCATGTTGGCATTAAATTGCATTCTTAAAGATCATTTCTCGAATGAATTTGCATTTAAATACAGGGTATTGAAAGAACTGCATCACAAAATGGCCGCGACCAAACTTGAAGCAAACGTAAGACCAAAGGGAATGGAGAGGAAGCTAAAGAGGACCTGCGACTGGACTACTGGATGGCTCAGACACGACTTAGCCTTTGGCTTACTGCGCGCTGCCCTTTTATACCTGTGGACAACCAGTAAAAAGTGGTGGGGGTACGCCTAGCCTACGTGATTAGTCGGACGTTAGGGTACGCGGTTCAGGTACTTAAGAAACCGGTTTTAGTAGTGGGGCAAGAGTAATGAACCCTTTGCACTCCTGCCTTGCGTCCAAAGTCTCAGGGGTTCGTAGATAATAACAAAATAAATCAAACATTGTAGAATTTAACAAAGAAAAACTCTCTTTTGTCTGTTTAAATGTTTGCTTGTTTATTCAAGTATTCTACTAAATTTTAATTACCAAGAAACAATCAAACATTTAATCATTATCAGTAAAAGTGTAAACAGATAATTCAAAGAAATTAATTGAAGTATTACAGGAATAAATTTAGGTGACGTGATAAGTACGATACTAAAAGGTATAAATACATTGTATGCAAGTAAAGTAATTGACAGATCATATTTCACATTGTGAGTGGAAATTTTTGCCGGGCCGGTAAGCCCAGCGGTGTGCAATAGGTAGGAATCGGAGGTATTGAGTTGTTGTGTTGCGAGCAAGGAGAGCGCAGGAGGGAAGTTGAAGTCGCGCGTTGACGCGCGCACATTTCGAACTCGTTCGTTCGCAGCGCGTGAACAACTTCCACGCTCTCTGTTCTCACTCGACGATCAGTTTGCGCGGCGTGTAAACACCGAAGTGCTCAAAGTGCTCCACGCGCGCACTTGTTAATCGGGAAGCAACGAGAGTAGAGAACAAACGTGACAGGCGTGTGACGATTTATTTCTTTGAAAAGTTTTCTAAACTTAATAAAGCCAAGATGAGTAGCGGCGCCTGCTGCGTGGACGTCCTCAGCGGTTCGTTGCGCGTACGCAATAGCAGCACCTGCTCTGCAACATATGATTACTGCAAGGCAACCGAGGTGCGCTCCTGCCCCAGCGTGATGTCGCCAACCACCAAGCGATTGCTGCCCCCGAATACCGAAACCGTGCAGACAAAGCCCTTCCCGATTAGAGGTATGTGCAGTAGTAAATAGTAAACTTGCGCTCAAGTTTAAATCTTGCGCAAAGCGCCAACTTGTGTTTGAAACTAGTCTATTATTAGCGAGTATTCTACACTTCGGTGTTGATCGGCGAGCAACAACCTTACACGCGGCGGTGGCGTGATGTGCGCACGCGAAATTTATACTTATATCAATGTAAACAGCGTTGCCGCAGGAACAGCAGGAGCAGTACGCCCTTCATTACTCATCGCGTGTGCGTTCTGCGTATGCAACTTTTCGAACAGGACGTTGGTGTTTGCATATTGTATCGCACGTGTCTATTTTGTCTTTGTTTGCTAATATTTCACGCAAACTGCGTTTAATTTGTTACGTACTCTTCAAACACTTCAATATTTACACGCGTAATGACAATAGTAAACGTCTAATGACGTTAGTGTTAATTAATTAATTATCGAGTGGTTTTCTGTTTATGACTAGTCTCATTTGTCATTGACCGAGAATGCGTTTAATTTGTTTGATTCCAACTTGTGCAACTTCAATAAACAAAAAGACTTGTTGCTTAAACATTGTGAAAACATTTATGGAGCTTGGATTCGATGTGCGAACAATTTGACGCATTTAATTTCATAATCGATGTGAAAATCTCACATAGAAACAGCAAATTAAAAATCAATCTGTCAATATTTACTAACTACCAATATTTATTACTCATATAGACAAACACAAAAAATGTTACTCGAGATAAGTGGAAACAAAAGTATTTGGAATAAATATTGATTAAGATATGAATGAAAATATTTATTCAGACAAATTTAGGAACAATGGACAACTGGGGTTAAAATAAGCCGTGTTGATTATAAATTGTATTTTAATTGGAGTTAATTAATCAAGTTCTAAATATCTGTTGGAATTTGTACTTGATTTTCTTGTTTCTTGAACAATCAACACACTTCTGTCAAATGTCAATAAATTCAAAGGTTTTTTTTCAACGGTTGATATTTTAATCGCTGTGTTGCTGACTGAAAGTAAACCACGAATCACTTAAAAGCGCTTTATGATAATTTTTCAGTCGTTACCATTCTTCAAATAAATTAGTAATCAGTTAATTATTGCACGCTCTGTTAGCGTGATAATGCTCATAAAAAAGTGCGCAAATAGTAGCAGCACGTGCTCATAATATTTGAATAATCAGTTATGAGTTGCAATTTGCACGCAGTTTAAAACGACAAATTAAAACAATCAACTTTTTCTACGTGATATAAATATAAGTTGTATATAAATAACTTTTATGAGCAATCAATCAGCGCCGGTTTAAAATTTCGACTTTGTACCCAGTGTCCCCCATTTTATACTTACTTACCTATTAGAACATGGTAGTAATGATAAGTCAACTGGTTTTATTATTATAATAATATGTAATCATATTGGAAATGAGAATTAAACACAAAGTTCATAAACCTTACATCTGATTTATTAATAATCGAGTTGCGTGATGTACAATAATTCATAATTTGAGTTTAAACATTGATTCATCACGCAAACAAGTCATTTGTGATGGTTTAATTAAAAAATTTTCAATTGATGTGAAAATGAATAACAAATCAATTGGAATTTGGAGGTTAGGAAATCCTAACCGATTTCGCCAATATTTGCGTTAAATGAAAGTGACATTCAGAAGTTAAACAATATAGTTTATTACCGGCTTTATTACATAAATGTGGGTCAATGTCGTGCACTCTTTATCAAGTGATAATCAAAACACTCCATAAATACTAAAGTATAAGTGTTTTAAACCTTAGAATATACGAAAACAAATTGTTTGCATTAATTCCCCGAAATTCTCAGTAAATAAGTATTTCCCGCGAAGTAAAAGTTAAAATTACCTAATGCGCATGCGCGCTGTACTTAAAGGCGTATATATAGCGCTCGTTTAGATTATATTGTTTCTGTTATCGATATAATAGTAGTTTTAAAAGCGTGTGAATGCGTAATATAACACGTTATGCAAATAATTATTTAATAAAGCCTTTGCACGCTCACATATGGTGCACCATGCATGCACACGGAAATTTACAAAGTCGTTAGTTGCGCGTTTTACGTTCCATGGACAGGTCGCACGCTTTTTCGAGCCGCAAAAGAGACAAAAACTAAATCAACCTGCGCCCTTGAAACCGGTGCCTCGAATTGTTTTCAAAATAAACGTAATTCGAATGATTTCCAGTGCGAATTGCCACAAACAACAATTCAAATTTGTGTTTAAGTTTACGTTTAAACGTCGCACGTTTTGAATGGAACACAGGTGGTGTGCGTGATCGGTGTATTCAGGTGCGCTACTGGATTCACAACGCGAAAGGTTATCGATTCCGGGGTCCGGTTTTCGTACGTTTCCATTAACTCTCAACTGCATAACCTTGCTTCTATTCGCCTATACCACGAGGCAGCGCAACGCAAACAAAAGTATCGGTTGTAATTTTTTTGCGGCGAGAAACAGTGGCCGCTTTTTAAACGCAAACATTTTTTGTCAGCGTATTTTGCGGCGCGCTCACGTGAACACCGCCCGCGTTGTCATCGTGTGTCACGTGCGCACCGCGCTCGAAACGGGAATCTTGTCGGCCCACCGAAAACGTGTCCGATTCGCGTGACGCTTTACAATGTGTAACTAAACACACAAGTACTATTTATCGACATTAGTGCGCGAATCATTTGATATTATCTGAGAGTGGTACGTGCTTGTACTTTTTGTTTTATCATGGAAGAAGAGCCGATGAAGGAAATACTGCGCAGGTCATCCGGATGGAAGTTTTTGAATAAAGAAACTTTTGAAGTTGGTAAGGTAACACAGAAAAATTTACATTTATGGAAATTTTATTCATATTTATTGCAATATTTGCGCAAATAGTGATATATACGCACTGATAAGGATATTATTCACACTTTTGTGTTTTACAAGTGTCAGAATATCAGTAATTCTGCGAAAATTGATTAAGCGTACAAAATTTATGAAAACGAAACGTTTTTGTGTTTCAATGTGACCCTACTCACCTAAATGACAGCTCTGGTTTATTTTCTTGTGGAAAATTCCATTTCTCCATGTCTGCGCTTGTGTCTGAAGACTTAAGTAATGGAAAATATTCGAAACTGAACAAAACAAATACCGGGAATCTCCAGTTGGACTTTGTCGTCAAGAGTTTGCCCCTAAATGACGTTTATCTGATTCGAAAACAATGAGTAATGCGTAATTTCAATTCCAGCGTGCATTCAATGCACTCGAAACACTTTTAACGTAGATATATGAGTAGTAGCTATTGTATTCAATCAAAATCCAATGTTCCAGTATTACAGTTTACAGTTCATTGTTCGCTTTAATTCAAAAGCGTCCAATTGATCGGTGCAATTGGCAACAATACAAAAATCAATCGAACGAATTTTAATACCAAGAGTGACAAAAATATTTAAAAACATGATTTATTACTATAATAACAAAAGAAATATAACTTATAATATTTTATCTTCTGTCGTATATTCATAATGACAGTTTGCACAGAAGGAAATATTAAATGTATAAATAAACATGGAAAAGTATTTCAAAACCGATCGGATGACGATCGCTTGTTATCTCCGCGCAAGTCGAACTCAATCAAATACGTCGTTGAGATATATTAATAACATTTAACTCTCGAAGTGCGCGCGACCGACCGAATCATATGCATGCATGTACACACAAACGATCAATTAACCAAATGGGCAAACTGATAATGACCCACCACTGCCAATCGACGCGTATTAAAAGGATACTCGTTTCGGAACGGCATTAGTTATATTGCGTCGATGCGCCTCGCGTGTACGTAGCGCGATTAGTGATAAAGTTCAGTTGCGTTCAAGTTCCGCCAGCGCGCAATTCGCAAAGTGCACTCGCATTCAATTCAAACATTCCGGGCACAGACAAACACGCTATAATTATATCAAATCACAAGGTGTTTACGCTCTCAAGTACAGCATTACTAGTGATTCAAGATGACGAGCAAGAACGGCACGAAGTACTTGTCCGAGCATCATTACTATCAAGATAATGAGGATAGTTTTCTTGAAGAATTGCTGCAGAAACGACGCGCGACATTCCAACGCGCCACGTCGATACGCATAGGTTGTTTACACCAAAATTTTCATTACGTAGCATAGATATTTATCAAATTAATCATTTTCATATGCATATTATGCTTATAGTTATTAATTTGTCTATGATTTACAACATATTGATTGATTTATTGATGTTTATATTTCAGGGGAACGTGCTAATTATGTCAACAGTCCGCATGTTATTGCAATGGTTGGTTTGCCAGCCAGAGGCAAAACTTACATCTCAAAGAAACTATCCAGATATCTAAACTGGATTGGCATCAATACAAGAGGTAATTTTTGTGGTTTTATTTTATGCAATTATTTAATAACTAAATATCTTTCCAGTGTTCAATTTGGGTGAATATAGAAGACATGCAACCTCCGCATATAAGAGTCATGAGTTCTTCAGGCAGGATAATACTGAAGCGATGGCGATTCGTGCACAATGCGCTGTGGAAGCTCTGCAAGATGTCTGCCAATGGCTGGAAAATGGCGGTGAAGTGGCTGTGTTCGACGCGACTAACTCGACGATGGATAGACGTAAAGTTATCCATGATATTGTCGTGGAAAAGATGGGTTTTAAGCTCTTTTTCGTGGAGAGCGTCTGTGATGATCCGAGCATCATCGAGCAAAACATCATGGAGGTGAAGGTCAGCAGCCCTGACTACACGAATATGAACAAGGATGCTGCCTTGGCCGACTTTGTCAAGCGCATTGAGCATTATCAGGAGCGTTATCAGCCCCTTGATGAAGTGCAAGAGAAAAAGGTGTCGTTTATGAAGATTTACAATACTGGAGAGAAGTGCGTTGTGCACAAACACGAAGGGCACGTGCAAGCGAGGATTGTTTATTACTTGATGAATATTCATATTACACCGAGGACTATTTATTTGACAAGAGTAAGTGTTATTATTCTCTTAATAGAGATTTTAAATAATAATTTTTTAAATATTTCCAATAGCATGGTGAATCTGAGCAAAATCTTCTTGGAAGAATCGGCGGTGATTCAAATCTGAGCAGTAGAGGCTTTTTATACGCGAATGCTCTATCAAAGTATATCAAGGAGCAGACGATTGAAGGACTTCGAGTGTGGACTTCGTGGTTAAAGAGGACTATTCAAACTGTTCAGGGTGTAACAGCACCACAAGAACGTTGGAAGGCTTTGAATGAAATAGATGCTGTAAGTTTATCTTCTACTCCTCGCAATTTCATCATTTTAGTACCGAATTCATTTGTGTTTATAGGGCATCTGTGAGGAAATGACATATGAAGAAATCAATGAGAAATATCCAGAAGACTTCAAAGCGCGTGATCAAAACAAATTCGCGTATCGCTATCCGCGTGGCGAGAGCTATGAGGATTTAGTCGCGCGGTTAGAACCGGTGATAATGGAACTTGAACGTCAAGGAAATGTCTTGGTGGTTTCACATCAAGCTGTTATCCGTTGTCTATTGGCGTACTTTTTAGATAAATCTGCTGGTAAGTTTTTATTTATTCACTAAAATCGCATTAAATAATTTTATTTTCTATGTTTTTAAAGACGAATTGCCTTATTTACGAGTGCCTTTGCATACAATCATCAAGTTAACACCGGTTGCCTATGGTTGTCGTGTGGAACACATCAAACTGCCAATCGAAGCCGTTGATACCCACAGATCGAAACCGAAGGTAAGCGAAATTTGATTACTACTTAAATAAACATAATTAAAACATAATATGCACGGATTGGATTGTGTTGTCGCTTAATTTAATATAGATTGTTCCTTAATCGCACAGCATAGATAATTTGCACACAACAAATACAGAAATTCATTTTCTTTGATTTTCGAAGTACGTGACGGACATTCCTTACATTCTATACAATATCGACTTTTATATGACAATCCAGCAATAATCTTATGCTTGTGTCTTCAAAATTGTTTCAGGAGCCCGGACAGATAGCTGACGCTGACCAAGTTTGACAGAATACAATAAAAAAAACTTACTTAAATGTTTAGCTGCTAATGTTTTATGTTTTACATAACGTACACGCGTTTGCATAGGTTGCAATATGGCGATGTTTACATATAAATTAAATTTTGTTCTAATCTGGAACGAAAAATTAATAGATTATTGCTTGTTTTTTGTTTTTCATTGATGATAAGTGTTACGACACGTGAATTGAATTTTGGGATTAAACTAACACATAGGAATATGCTGTACTCATAGAATTGTTGTTTATTTTTAAGGTCCCCGGCGAATTGGAGGATAAGTTCTTATCGGCAAACATATTAAAGTATCAGAACGGCTATAACTGAAAAGTGTATAGAATGGATCTTTTTATACAACCTCATATTCTCTCTCTATGTAACTGCTTGCGTCCAGCGTATATGTACACGTGACTGAAGAGTAAACTATACAGGGTGTACCGATAACCGACCAGAATTTTATAAGTGATTATACACAAATTATTATGATAGGTAACGATTTATAAATACTTTTTATTAAGTTATAAGCAACAAAGTGTCGATAACATACATTGTGACTATATATTTTATGTAATTTTATCTAGTTTAGTGAATATATATATTCGTTTACAAGAATATTAATTGATTTTTAGCATTCTTACTATATGCAACCAGTTAAACAAATTTTGCATATTTTTAAATTAAATTGTATTTAGCGTTTATTAAATGATTAGTACCAATATTTGTGAATAAACTCTTGTGTGTGCTCGTGTACTGCAGCTCAAAACCCGGGTACTTGCTGTTCACGCTGCTCCGAGCGTAATAATCGATTTATGAGGATGCCTACCGAATGCGCCATGCGTCGGGAGAGGAACGGGACGCACGGGACTACACAGGACAGTGGCACACTGTGACGTCGTCATAAATATGTGGCGGCGGCTGCCAGAGTGCCCGGTTGGGAAGCGGCGAGCGCGGAGATGGATGGATGTGTTGCGCGGCCGCATGTACAAATCCATACAAACGGGCTCCGGCACAGCACCGCGGCCCAAAACGAATCCATAATACTCGACAAACCCCGGTGCCCCGGCCGTTTCCGTCGTTATCGATTAAAAACTCCGATTGCCATATCGGTACGAGTATTAGCATTCATTGGGCATGGACGAGTGCCCAGGAAAAAAATACGTTCAAATATGTTTGAAAAGTTTTGCATTCGTGATTGTTTGCGCGGGATCAAAGTTTAACGACAATTTCATTACGGATGCCAAGTTGCAGGACAAGTTGTTTAACTTCCTTCAAGTGTGTGCTAAAAATAAGAATGGTCGTGCTGTTTGTTTCTGATGATTCAAAAATGCTGAGCAAATATTAATGAAATAAACAGCAAACAAGTGCATTATTTCGAAATAGTACGTGAGGAAACGATGCGCTAGAGTGCGCTGTGAGCAGTGTAATGCGCATACTCGGCGTAGCGTGCACACCGATTGGTTGACGGCGCATTAAACGTTGTGTGGCGGATAAGCAGCCGTTTTGAAAAGCGCGATAATAAATTGCACGCAGTGTTTGCGAATTTCATTAAATAAACCGTGCACCGCCAGTGATTTCTTCATGCTAACGGGCTGCGCGCATGCCGTGCGAACAATGTGATGCAGCGCAACGGTTGCCATGAACGTGCTGGGCGTGTGAGCAGCGCATAAGTTGGCGAGACGCGCTCGCGGCCACCGCACACAGAGCGAGGCGCACGGACGGTCACAACACACGGCGGGAGAGAGAGTGTGTGCTCGGAAAGCAAACGAACTGGTCGGCTGCTGCTCGCAATGGCCGTTTGAGAAAGGCAAACGCTGCCACAGCAACCCACCGTTTGTTTCCAAATGCGTCGGGCGCGGCGACGCCATCGCCAGTGAGTGTGCAGTGCGTTCGTGAGTCTTCAGCAACGGTCGGCCATCGCGACGGCACCGAATGCAGCTCGATAACTAAACACGGTGCGGGCCGCGGGTGTTCCCGTTTGTGCGTGAAAAAGGCGAGCCGCTCGGCGATATATTGACGTGTCAGGTTTGCTAGGCGTGCGGTGTTCTACCCGGACGCTGAGGCCGCTCGCCGTCTTCACCTCGTCGGCTTCGGAGTGGAGTTATGCTATCGAGTTCAACCGCGCAGCGCCACGACAAGATTCGAGATGCTGCAGCCGACGCACCACGCCGCCTGAGAACAAGTAACTATTCAAACATTTAGCAGTCGACTGTACATTTACGCTCGCTCAGATCGAGTCGACGATATTTGTGTGCCCATGTATATGCGAACACATGACTGGCGGTTCGTTGTCGCTGTGAAATTCCGCCGCTCGGCTCGATTGGCGAAGCATCATAAAGTAAGCATTTCTGTATTTATTTATAGGCGCCGTTTCCCTTGTGCCGGGCCCTAAACCCCTAACAAAATACCGATTCTATTTGGACGTGAAAAATCACATCACCTCTGGCAAATTAGAGACGAAAATCAAGGACCTGGGAGGGGTGAGTGTGTGTTGTGATAATCTCTTTGAATCAGTTGTGTTTTTGTTTAAATTCAAGCGAGAGCGCTATTGAGCGGACAAAGTGCTAACCTCTACGTGACACCGTTCGCGCTCAAGGCGAACGTATAACGCCGTCCTATTCTAATCGGAATGTTGGGCACACACATGCAGCGCCGCGCTAATAACAAACTTTGTTTATGTTGCTCGGCGGCGTGCGCCCGCTATGCTTACATAATCGAAAGAAAATTTCGCCGCCAATGCAAGAGTCATTATTGACCCAATTATCAACTTTCTACGTAGTTTACGAGTACGTCTCTGCACGCCCGATTGCAATATCAGCAAACCGTCGACCATAGCGACACCGATAAGCGCGCGCGGTTACGAAAACATTTTTTTTTGCCCCTGCGGGTGATTTCTTTGTTTACGTCGGTGTCGGTGTGCGACGGCGTTCGAACGTGTCCGCGTTTTTGCCGCACCGCACGAACGAACGTTGCTTGCTGCTAGTTAAATCCGTCCTGCAAGTTGATGGTTTCTGTTAGGAGCCGTAGTCCGACGCTCGTTCGTCGACAGGGAATATGTACGCGTGTCGACGGGTACGGTGTGTGTGCGGCGCGGACCAGCTGCCACGGCTTCGTTTCTCTGTTGCATACATGTGGCAGGCCGCTTTGGGCAATTCGATCGTGAGCGTGTAGGTAAATGCCCGACCTGTGCGAACAGCTAACGCTGCCGCACACACGCAGCGGCTGAGTGCCGGCGAGTCGTGTTATACTCGCGCGAGCTGCACAGCACACCTCCCCCTCTGAAACGGTATCGTCGCGTTCGCGTAAATACCGAATGTATCAAAGCAACAAAATACATGCGCAACGCCATCCGAATGTTCAAAATGCTCCATATCGTTATTCTGTATGTGACAAGTAGTGTATGGATGTTTTTAAATTCAATTTTATTTACTGAATTTGGTTGAAAATCAATAAATGTTTATTTGTTTTCGGTATTACACTCGGTACACGTGAGTCCCGTGCAATGTTGCCGCCGCGTTTCTCACAGAGTTGCCAAACCATTCAAACACTGAGTGGTGCACTAAAGGTTTATTACGCAAATATCATAAATTTCAATAATTTCTTGGACAAAGTTCTGTGTCACATTACATGCGGGATCTTGGGATGTTATTCTACGATGCTAGAGTAATTTGAATGGTGAATATTTAGATTTTATGCCTTTAGTTTGTTTTGTAAACTTGCTGAAGTTATTTCTTACCCACTGCCCATGAAGTTTCGTTCGGAGCACATCAATCCCAAGATGCCAAGGGCACGTTTGCACGGCCTAAACGGTTACCGTAGAAACACAAAGAAAAACGTTCGGTGTGGTTCTACGCTTCGTACAAATACGATATGTTTTGACTATATTTGTCCGCTGCTACGCGACCGACCACTCACGATCAGTTTGTTACCATGGCAACGCTTGCCCGGTTTTGTAATTTTTAATTAAAATTTTGCGCTGTACGTAGTTTTTATTCACAACATCGATTTAAAAACATTGCATTGTTGGTGTTTTTTTGATTGCATCTTTATTTATATGGCAAATGTTTGTAGGTTTTGGAATTATTTCTGGTGAAAGAAGTCACACACGTGGTCACTGACAGGGAGGAATGTTTGAGCGGCGCTAGGGGGGTTGGGTCGAACCCAAGGACCCCCCGCACTCCGCAGAAGCCGCAGGATGCGTCGCTGGGCGACTGCCACCAGCAACAACACGGCAGCAGCAGTAGCAGCACACCGGCGCGAGGGCGCCCGAAGACGCGCGCCGATGCGATGCTGGAGCGTGCCCGCAGCAATACGCCCACGCAGCCATACGCAGCTCAACTCAGGGACACGTTTAAACAGGCAAAAGCTTGGGGCATCCCTGTTTGGTCAATAGATAGAGTATGTGTTAATTCCGACAATAATGTCCGTTGACATGCGGGGTATAATTAACAATTCTTGTTTTTGTAGGCGTTAGTTTGGTTGGAGAAGGTTGCGAGCGGTGTAACTGCTGAAAAGCAAAAGCCGCGTCGCAAGTGTAAGCTTATTGAGCTGAAAGCGCCGTACGTTAAGTTTGAAGCGTTCGATCGCCGCCATCGGCCCGTGTTTAAGGAAATTCGCAATTGGCCTAGCTTTGACTTGACGGCATCGGCTGGCAGCGCCGCCGTTTCGCACAAGCCGGCCGGTGAGCAGCGGATAATGACAAAGTCGCGCGCTCCCCCGCAACGTAACAAAGTGAGGAGCGCACCCGTCCAATCCGGCTATTGCGAGCTCTGCCGCGAGGAATATTCGAATCTCGTCGAGCATCTCGAGTCCAAGAAGCACTTGGCGTTCATCAAGGATAACGACAATTTCTTAGAGCTTGATTCGCTTATTCAGAATGGCACTGATTTGAATTCATTCCTTAAGATTACTGCTGGTACGTGCAAAATCGCTAATTGCAATGGTGATTTTGATGAAAATGCAATGTTTATTTGTCGCAGCTACAAAGTGTGATGGAACCGTAGACAGTCCGAGTAATTGCAATCGTTTATCGCACAAGATGCCCAGGACAAGAACCTCGTCAATTACTGATTGCATTGTGAATAAAGTGAAGAACGCACCAGTGTCGCCCACAGGCAGTGAGTCTGGCCATAGACTACGCACGCGAAAATCGAACATGACATATATTGGACTGACCGCTCAGGAACAAGAAGAGCAAGTTAAGCCGGAAGGCGCCCGCGAAGTTCGAGAGACTCGCGAATTAAGATCGGCTAATAAAGTTTCACCAGTGGTAAATTAAATAACTTAACTTTTTTTCTATCTTGATTTAAATATTTTCATATTTCAGAAAATTGAATCTGATACCTGGGGCTCCGGACGACCTAAACGCAATTGTCTGCGACAGAAACGTAATTCGTTTCTGGACGAGACCGGTTTGCAGGTGGAAAATCGTGGCTACTACAGGGTTGAAATGACGCCCAAACTTCGAAGCAGCGCAGTGGGCGCAACGTTCAAAGACTACAAGGAGGTCGACATTAAGGAGTCTCCAATAACCGAAGAAATCGAATCGGAGCAGTTTATGGACGACAAATCACTCCTGGTAAAGTTTCGACGGTTGCGGACGTCGGAACTACAACGACTGAACAACGAAGCCGAGAACTTCCTATTTCCAAGAAAAGATGAAACTAGCAGCGAGGAGGATATTGATGCCGATGGTCGTGACACGACTGTCGAAACTGCTCCAGGCGATAGTATTGTGATATCGAGTGAGACGGACACTGAGGTAAAAAATGAAGACAGTCTTCACAACGACTCTCACGATGAGGAATGTTGTGATAAAGCTGGAGTTACCGAGTGTCGAAGGAAAAAACGGTCGCAAGCCGAGGCGTTTATCGAAGACAACAAAAAGTATTACAAGTTTGAAACCCCAGGTAGTAGGTTACGATATCACGGGACGACGTTGACTAGCGGAACAGTGACGTCGCCCAAGAAAAATCGACTCAATGGTGATTTGTGTAACGCAGCCAACAATGAGATTGAATTAACCACTGATAAACCTGACAAATTTGATTGTGATAATGAAGTGAGCAAGAAGAACGACTTGAAGTTCACATTGGATGAGCTCAAGTTTTCTTTCGAGACGATACCTAAAAGCGAACCGTGGTACGAGACATTTTCCCGCCAAGATCAAGGGGGTGAATTCTACACGTGTTTTAGCGATTCGGGCTATTGGAAACCTTTCTTATTGCCCTACCAAATGGATCGCATTCAACCTCTGGATCCAAAAGTGTGTATCCAGACGTATTCGCAAATCAAAAAATTGCTGCAGACTGAAGGATCGTCTGGTACCAATTCCACTCAGTCTTGCACACCTGATTGTTCAGCGCAGGGATCACCAGCGCCGGATATCGATGAAAATTCCAAGGCGAGTGAGGATTCAGCGCTTAGTCATAAGTCGGATCAGCCGAAGCAATTGTTGCAGGGTCGGCGAAGGCGAAAGAAGGGAATTTTACTGCCGTCGAAAAATCCTCGAAAATCTCCTCGTCAACATGCGTCTACGCTTGCAATTCTCAGTAGTTTAATTCAGCATCGTAAAAAACGGAAAAGCGAGAGTCCCAATAACACGCTGGATTCTATTCCGGAGGCATCAGAGTCCCAGGACGAGAGCACAAAAGAAGAAAAACCTGAAGATGAAATCAACAAAGTCGTCGAATCCATAGATGATATGTTGACGAATGCATTCGGAGAGATGGAACAAGTTGAGATGTCATTTCGGGAAGATATGGACATGCTCGACTTCAGTTGTAAATCGGATGCCATCGAAATCTTGGAAGATTACGAGAATTATAAACATGTGGAGAGGAAAACGGGGCTTATTGGACAGGTTCGTCGCAGTTACTCGCCAGGTAAGAAACCGGGGCGAAAAAAGAAAAAGAATCGCACGGGGTGGCCGAAAAACAACATCCGCAAAACAAATTTAAATACGGTTATCAATAAAACATTAGATTTGGAGCGGGACGAAGGCTCGGCCGACGTTTCGAGCCAGGATAATGACTGTAATGACTTGACGGTGTGCGTGAATGTGAGTGTAAATAGTAATTCAATTAGTGATGGTGCGAATGACAGGGTTGATCAGTTGGAGATGGACATGAGTGGTGTAAGCAGCGTGGATCTCGATAAGTGGGAGAATGCTGAGAAGGTACTTTCAGCGAAAATTACCAACGACGCGAACAAGGAGCCGATGGCGGAGGACGCAACTGTCGAAACAAAGGACGGCAAACGGCGACTTCGGAGCAGTTCGTCGCCGCCACGCGCGCATAACAAAGGTGCGAAACGTGCACGTCGTATGCCAGCATCGCCAAAATCGCCGCGAGTGCTGCGCAAGCCGCGTGGTCGTTGGTATCGGGAGAGATGAGAACTAGTAGCGCTTGTGCTAGCAAGTAACAAAAGTAATATATAAACAAAAGTGAACATTGAACTCAAAACACAGAGAGAACTGTATATCGATATATTTTGTCTTATTCTAACTTTATTTTAACCGCGCAAAAGTGCAAAAGCGAGTTGAAGCTCACGACCGCAGCGAAGATAGGTGTATAAACAAAAGATGAGCAATTGGTACATTTTGCCCCCCATTTTTCTTAAATATTTATTAATTTAATTATAACATTCGTTCAGCTCGTTTGTTAGTTGAATTTTGCCAAAAAGTATAACAAGGAAATCCCGTTGCAAAGAGTACAATTGAAGCACAACTTGTCCTCTCGACAGTATTGCGCTGTCGAATGGTGCATGGTTGTGTAAAATCCTAGGGATTTTCCCACTTTACGACTGATTTTTTAAATATAATATAAATAAGAACGATTACAATCGGAAAGATAATTTTATGTTCTCGTTTACTTTTGTCACTGCGAAACTTATCATTCATTCTTTGTATTATAGTTAAATAGTCTTTGTTTTCCTTTTTGTAATGTCAAATCACTCCTTGTTTTTCTTTTTCTTTACCAAATGAAGATCTATTGGCAATTGTTGAACTCGAATTTACATTGCATTGTAAACGTTGATGTGTTAAATGGTATAACTTTGTTTTTCTTTTGAAGTAACAGTGAAATTTCGGCATTGTATGGCCATGATATTAATTTATCAAAAAAGCATGGCAACTGGAAACAAAAGAGAGATGGATTACAAATTCAAGCAAAATAATCAACAATTATGAAGAAATCGCGGAATTGTGCACCACTGAGTATTAATGTATTAATCGATTATTTATTATTTACATAGTTCAACCAATTTGAAATCATTCAGCTGTTGAACATGCTCATTACATTTTCCTACCATTTTTTCACGTTTCTCACATTTCTTATGTTCATCAGTTCATGAAAGTAATCGATAATAAGAATACATGCATAATTTTCTATATTATTCAAACAGCATTGTTTATTTAAATAAATTAAAGTGTTTTCTATTACTTCTTTTGCGTTGTATTCAACAAGGAAAAAGCTGAATATTGACGAAACAAATTAAGCTGCAAACGTAGCAAAGTAGATTTGAATAATTATACTTCATTGTGATTAATTTAATCGGGCACCTGATCCTTTTTTGTTTCGCACGAACTTTACTTGCTCGATTACACCCAGCATACCCATAAATTACTAAGTTTGTGCGTAATTAGTACGTTGGAAAAAGTTTGCACGACAACTGGGCAAAAGAAATAAGTTCCTTTGCAGTTCGCTTGATACGTGCAACTGTAACCCGTTTTTAGTTCGCTTAGATCAAGATGCTATTAACGCTATTAACTTTCGCGTGCGGTCGTTTCAAGCAATTTCAAGTGCGTTTATCAACGTTGTCCGTTGTTGCCGCCGAATGTGTTTGAAAAGTTACTGCTTTATAATTCATTGATTTCCTGCATATCATACACACACCCCTTTCATAAAATTAATCGGTTACGAAGCGTATAACTTTGTTTTGTTTGCTTTAACATTTAATTATCTAAAATTAGTTTATGAGCATCAATATTCTTTCACTGCGCATGCTTGCAATCACACAAAGGTGTTGTGAAGAAAACGGCAACATAGCAGCATAGTAAAAATGGCGGTCGTTTGGCCAAGGCAACGATTTACAGTCGTTGGTGTGACACGAAACGGAGCAGTCGTCGACAGATTTTCCCGATTTTAGTGCGGTTTCTAAAGGATAGGCGATCCGGAAGGCGCACCATTGGAACCACATTTAAACGCAGATTCTGAAACCGGTAAGTAAATTAGGATTTATCCCATCAATTAATAGAAATTCGACGATAAAGTCATAGTAAACGAATTCATCCATTTCGTTCTGCTTGCGTTTGGCACATGCGGGATGGGCGCATGCGTGACCGCACACTTCAACCAATCCCATCTGCTAAACAATGCGGTTTTTCATTACTAATTTATTTCGAATTTATTTCTCCGGTGACACTTCAATAAATTTTATTGTGTGTTAAATTATTAAAAACATAAATGCGACAATAATATTTTATTTGATGTTATATTTTAAACAAAAATTTAGTTTTAAAATGTTTTAAATGTTTTTAGAATGTGTTAAACCGAAGTTTTAAACAATGTCAACATTAACCGAATCTATTAAACCACACAAGTCCCATAAAAGAGGTCCCAACTTTATCTCTAATGGGCAGAAGAAATTTGTAAAGAGTCGTAAAAGATCGAAAAGTTTTACCGGCGGGGGATTGGGGAAAATTAAAACGTTCAAATCTGTACTACCAAGTAAATTTCTACTGGGAGGCAACATAAACGACCCGCTTAATTTGAACAGCCTTCAAGATGAAGAGATAAACCGCGCGATGAACGCAGTCACCCCAAAATCTTCGCCAATTCCAACCCCGCCTCGACGTAGAGGCCAAGTGGAAGTAATAATACCTCCAAATATTAATGATCCTTTAAATTTGATCGATTGCGCTGACGACGCCGAGTACGAACAACAATTATGCTCACCGATCAAGAAAGGACGGAAGAAAAAAGCACGGAAGCGGCGTACTACATCCGGCACGTTGTATTCCGACAGTGATATGAACGTGAGCGAAGCGCAAACTCCCGAAGCTAGTAAAGATTCTGCAAAAGTACCGGAAGCAACATGCAGCGCGACAGTTGTTAAAGAATCTACCAGCACCAATAAAGAGGGAAGGGATTTACAATTAGATTTTACCATTTCCCCCAAGAAGGACAAGCCGAAACGGAAAAGCGAAGATCACAAAGATAATGTTAAGAAATTAAAGTATGCGATGGATAAAATTGTCAGTCCGGTGGTCCCACAGCCGGGTGCATGGTTGAAGAGGAATACCAATAGGAATCAATGGCAGCATAAACATCGAAATCAGAACAAAGGTGCTGTACTAGTCATGCCAAAGTTTAAAGAAAAAGATAAACAGTATCAATATGGCAATTATAATAGGTAAATATGATTTGAAATTCTTAACTTCTTGATTTTAAATTCGAACATTTGTATTGTTTCAGATATTATGGATATCGAAACGCGCAGCATGATGTCGATGCGCGTTTGAAGTGTTTTGTCTCGAATCGTGACCTCTTTGAGAGGAAAGATATTCTAGATATAGGCTGTAATATCGGTCACATAACGCTGACGGTGGCGCGCGATTTTGGGGCCCGCAGCGTCGTTGGAATTGACATCGACAAAAATCTAATCGGCATCGCGCGGAAAAACATTAAGCACTACGTGAGCAGCGCGAATATCGGCGGGGATGCGACGTCGCCCCTATACGTCGACTATGGGCACGACGAGGGTGCGACGTCCACGGATCCCAGCAATTCGTGCCCCCGATCGAAAGTGGTGGCCTCGTGCAATTCGAGGGCGGTGCGTGAGCTCAAGCAAAAAAGTAGTGAGTTTTTCCCCATATCTATGCCTATATTATATGGGCCTATTGATATTCCAGGCTTCAGTGACAAGAGGAAGGGCAAAGGGTTTCCGCATAATGTTACTTTTGTACAGGTACGAAACAACGCCAGAAATATTGGAATAGTTGCAGAGTTTATTAATATTTATGTGTTTTTTTAACAATAGGGTAACTATGTACTGGAGGACGACGCGTTAATCAACACTGAACAGCCGCAATTTGACGTAATTTTATGTTTGAGCATCACGAAGTGGATACATTTGAACTGGGGTGACAAAGGGATTAAGCAGGCTTTTAGGCGAATGTATGCGCAGCTACGGCCTGGCGGAAAACTCGTTCTTGAACCCCAAAGTTGGACTAGTTATAAAACCAAAAAGAAATTGACTGTAAGTGAACATTTATTTTATTTTCAATTCACTTACTCAACTTGTTTTTCATTTGTAGGAAACAATATATAAAAATTACAACACGATACAGTTTTTCCCGGAAAATTTCACGCAATATTTGCTTTCCCCGGAAGTGGGATTTGCAAAGAGCGAAATTCTTGCTTTCCCACAACACCACTCGAAAGGATTTCAAAGGCCGGTGCAAGTTTATACCAAAAGTACGATGTTTCCAAGCGAGCGCGTTGAATGCACGCCGAGCACACGAGATGTGGAACGACCGGAAACGAGCACACGCCGCGTTTACGCGCCTTTACCTACCCCGGAGGATAATGAGCCCGAATATACATGTAATAATGAATCACGGTCGCCGTTGCGGAATAACACGGACAGTAATATGTCTAGTAGCGCTGGCGAGCAGGACCATCGTCCTGTGTCGGTTCAGGAGCAGGAGAATGTGTCATGTGATGGATGTGCAGACAATATGCAAACGACAACCCCGTCCAGTGCTACGAATGGTATTGCCGATGAAGCAAGCAGGGACGACATTGCGTTGATTAGTCCTGACTTAAGTTCGGATAAAACTTAAAACTGCTCTTTGCTATTGAACCTTGTTAAATAAATATTGTTCAGATCATTTTGTTGTTCGTTTAAGTAACTGTACTGATTTTTTTCGCTTTTTGATATACCTTTTTTGTATTTAATTTTTGATTTTTTTGATTTGTAAATATCTTTGAAGTAGTGTTTGTTCCACCAATGAAGACTTTCTTTTTGTAAATAATTGATGAAAAGATATTAAATTTAAAACTATTACTAAATAAATACTATACATAGTTAGAAGTGCAGAGATTTTCGAAACTCAATAAAGTCATTATTACTGATAATTTCTTTTCTTCCGACATTTTTGTTTAATAAGCATTAGAAATATTTTCGGTACGACGTTGTGTTGTGTGCAAGCAACGTTTTAAATTGCATTGTACAATATTGTAGCGTGTTTTAGATTACAACGCATGCGCGTCATCTGATTAGCTGCGTGGTCAGTGGCAGTCAGTGGGATTGTCAGTCAGTATGCGATGCTCAGTGGTTCAGTTCTGTTGCGGTTGTGCTGCTGTTATCGTCGGTAAGCGCTGGTGGCAATCTCTTGACTAATTTTTGCTTGTTTTAAGAATTTTGCACCTGAGTCTGACACCGTGGAAGGACCATTCTTGCATCAGATTGTAAGTATTGAATTTCTTTATCATCTTCATTAATAACTTTTGTGATTTTCTCACAAATTGATCTCCAAAATTGCATTTTTAAATTCTCAGGACTAATTTTGTGCCTGTTTTAGGAATTTTGCATCTGAGTCTGACATCGTAGAAGGACCATTCTTGCATCAGATTCTAAGTACTTAATTTCTTTATCATTTTCCTAAATAACTTTTGTGATTATCTCACAAAGTGACCCCCAAAATTGCATTTTTATGTTCGAAGGACAAATTTTTGCTTGTTTTAGAGATTTTGCACCTGAGTCTGACATCGTAGAAGGACCATTTTTGCATCAGATTGTAAGTATTTAATTTCTTTATCATTTTCTTTAATAACTTTTGTGATTATCTCACAAATTGACCCCCAAAATTGCATTTTTATGTTCGAAGGACTATTTTTTGATTGTTTTAGAGATTTTGCACCGGAGTCTGACATCCTAGAAGGACCATTCATCATTTTTGATTATAATTTGTGGGTTACCTCTTGGGAAGCCTACGAAAATGCCCTTTTTGTGTTTGTCAATCCTCTAATTTTTGTGTTTTAGGTGTCTAGCGGGCGAACGTGATGTCGTAGGACCACGTGTTTTTTCACCAAATTGTAGGTACTAACATTTTTATCATTTTTGTATATAACTTATGGGTTTATCTCTTGGGAAACCTACGAAAATGCCCTTTTTGTGTTCTTCGTTGTCTAATTTTTGCTGTTTTAGGGGTCTAGCGGCCGAACCTGATGTCGTAGGACAACGTTTCTTTCACCAAATTGTTGGTACTAATATTCTCTATCATCTTCGTATATAACTTGTGGGTTTGTCTCTTGGGAAACCTACGAAAATAATTTTTTTTGTGTTTTTTGTTGTCTAATTTTTGCAGTTTTAGGTGTCTAGCGGCCGAACCTGATATCGTAGGACAACGTTTTTTTCACCAAATTGTAGGTATCATTTTCATTTTCATCATTGTAGGTATCATATCGTGTCGATCATTTTCGTATATTATTTATGGGTTTAACCTTCGGGAAACCTACAAAATTAAAATAAAAGTACGGTAGTTTGATTGCTTCAAATCACATACTTTCTGTTATTGCGTTGCTGTTTTCAACTTACGAACATAGATTGTCGCCTCTCTAACTGTGGGTCGGTTATCAATTGTCGTTCTTGTTTAGTCTGGCCTAGTCGTTCGTGCGCCGTAGTGTGATGTACACGTGTTTTGTTCATCAAAATTCTTGACAATTGTTTGCGTTACTAAAGATTTTAATTCTGTAATTGAACTAGAATAGAACGACATTTAGTAATAATAGACCAGTAGGGTGGTTGTTTGTAGGACGTGCGTGGTGGCCGTCGGATAGGTATGTTCGCGTGGCTAAGAATATTTATTGTTCAAGTATTAAATTTATTTGATTTCTCGCTGCTGTATTTATCAATCGTGGATTCAGTTTTGTTTCACCTGTGCGCGCGTGTCCGTTGGCAATCAGTTATCGTTTCGCGCATAAGAATAACTTTGATGCCCAGACAAAAATTTTGTGAGTGCACGCATGGAGTTTGCAATATCTATAGCTGAAGTGTTGGAGATGCGAGTATTTTAAGGCAAGTTTTTCTACTTCCGAGTTTACTAGCTGTCGATATTTTTTTTTATTTAAAAAAATGTATCTATTATTATTGTTGTCAATAAAACATAATGTGAAATTATAATCTCATGCATATTTCTTTGTGGTATCCTCTTTGTCGTTTTCAGTATTGACGTCTTAAGTCATATTGCGCGTGGAGCGAGTGCAACATAGTTGAACTGTGTTGTTGTTTTTAAAAAGTCAAATAACATAAAAACATAAATAGAAGAATCAAATATTAATGATAAAAACACTCGGTGGTCGAGTGGAGACGTGCACCTGCTGGCATGCTGGCAGACACGGATCGAATCTCAGGTATAGAAGGCATTTTTCTCAAATATAAAAATATCAGGTGTAATTTGGGTTGCATATATGAATTGCAACGAAATATAAGAGAAATTGAAATACAAGTGAAGGCAATAAGAGAAAAGTAAGAAAGTAAGTAGAGAAATAGAAATAGAAGACGGAGAGTAGAGAAGAGAAGGTAGAAGGAAGAGTAGAGAAGAGGAGAAGATAGAAGAAAGAGAACAGGAGTGGATGAGATTTTTAAATTTTTTGGCACGTGTCGTTATAAGACAGTCACAGGTCGACTGCTTCGATGCATCAATTGCTCCCGGCCCAACCTACAGCTACGATGTCTCTGCGCTTCATCCCCGAAATTATCAGGCATATCAACAATTTTTATGGTGGGGGATCACCCCCAGAGAGAGGGAACTCCTTATAAGGACAATCCTTATAAGGTTTTGTAAAAATATTTCTAAGTTTTAAGTCGCCTCAAGAGAGGTGACACTTAAAAATATTCTTGCAAGTTCTGACCTGTAGCTGAAATGAAAGAAGGAGCACACAAATCACACAGGATACCTTAACAATTTTTATAGTGGGGATCATCCCCCGAGTAGGAGAACTCCTTATAAGAATTTGTAGAGATATTTCTAAGTGTCGACGCTCTCAGGACCGACCACAACACTAAGAAATACTTTACAAGTTGTAACCTGTACCTGAAATGATGGAAGGAAGGGGTGCACAAGTCATAAGACACAGCCATTGCCTTTAACATTTCTTTATTAACAAACTAAATACCATATAACTTCAGAATTTGCAATTTCAATACCTACAAAACACGTGACGTCATTTTAAAACATGTTTATCATCTGCGTAGCGGCCATATGCATGGCTATCAAATTACAAAATATAACACTAGAAAATAGCAAACTGCGCCCTGTTGTCACATGACATCAGTGGCAAATTATATACAGGGTGTTACCAAAAGAAAATCTTCACTTGAAAAAGAAAATGGCCCCAAAACAATATAATTATGCTCATTTTTCGCAGAGCATTAAGAAAAATTTATATACAGGGTGATACAAAATCAAAATTGAATGTTTTATTACCTGTTTTCTGCTGTTTACCTAGGGAAAGTGATAAGTACGTGAATAAAAACATAATAAATAATACAATTGCTAATAATTATAAATGTATTAAACACATTTTAAAGAAATATAAAATTCAGATCTCTTAAACACACAAATTAGTACAGACAGAATTATGAATACAAAAGCAAAAAGAAGGCACGAAAAAGTCCCGAATGAGAGTGAATGGGCAGCCGACGGAACGCGACAATATTCCAATACTTGTATTCCAAAGGTTAATATATGCAACCATGTGACGACTATGCAATGTATTAAAGTGTTAACTAATTTTTCGGATCGTTTTTCCTTATAAGGTTGGTAATTGTAATAGAATATAGTTTTTATGTTACATACTTTTTTACGTTTTTGCAGATGAAATATTCCATACGATGCACAAATGATGTTTATTCAAATTAATAATTAAATAAATACACGAAACAAACCTGAGTATTTCTTAGCCGACGGAAAACACGTGGTGCGTACGTTGTAAAACCAGGAAATTCTTGGTTCCACGTGCGATAACTCATTAACTATAGGTCGCACTTGTCTGTTAATTCTAAATCTTATCTTTGGTGACTGATTATTCAACTACCGGCTTAAAATCACAAGAAACGCGATAAGTCGCCATGAAGACCGCCGCGCAAGTAAACGCGTGCACACAACGCCGCAGCGCACGATCGACTAAGTAAGAAATGGAACAAACACTGCTGAGCGCATCGGATGCGCTGCAACGCAATAAAAACAAGTTGTTTGTGCACTAACACCGATAAGAGCCAAGAGTGCAAACTACGAGTATAAACTATTAATGTTGTGGGTACAGTTCAATACAATGGAAAGATTTTATATTCTGAACGTACCCTCTTATTCACATAAACAATGTATCCTACCGGAATTGAATGCAGTCTAATTGAAAAGGCAGTTTAGGAGATAATTGCAATTTAAAAATCTGGGAACAACAAGGCAAATCTCTTATCTTAGCTCCTTTAGCAACTATTCTTGAACTTTTACTTCACGTAATTAATATATTTCATTATCCTGTTCTATAAAGAATTTTTTTTAATCATTCGCATTTTATTCAATCGCGAATATCTCGTATCAAGCACCCCGATACTTTTTTTCGACGATTTTCAAAAATTAATATCTCTTAAACTAAAAGCGATAGCTACCAACGAATTGCTGATTATGAAAGATTGGAAAATTCTTTATCAGATAAAAATATAAAATAATTATATTTCCTACAGTAAAAGGTCGAAAAACGCGACTAAAAGTGCTAAAAAGTGACATTTATCAATTTTTGCCCATTTTATTCAATCGCGAATATCTCGTAAACTAAAAGAGATAAATTGAATCTGATCGCAGCGTCTGAATCTACGGACTAATCTCTATCAGATAAGATGGTTAAAACGGAAATCTGAGAGATGAAATTTTAATTCTTAAGAAAAAATTGCCAAGGGGGGGTGCTTGATACTTTTTTTCGACGATTTTCAAAAATTAATATCTCTTAAACTAAAAGCGATAGCTACCAACGAAATGTTGATTATGAAAGATTGGAAAATTCTTTATCAGATAAAAATATAAAATAATTATATTTCCTACAGTAAAAGGTCGAAAAACGCGACTAAAAGTGCTAAAAAGTGACATTTATCAATTTTTGCCCATTTTATTCAATCGCGAATATCTCGTAAACTAAAAGAGATAAATTGGATCTGATCGCAGCGTCTGAATCTACGGACTAATCTCTATCAGATAAGATAGTTAAAACGGATATCTGAGAGATGAAATTTTAATTCTTAAGAAAAAATTGCCAAGGGGGGGTGCTTGATACTTTTTTTCGACGATTTTCAAAAATTAATATCTCTTAAACTAAAAGCGATAGCTACCAACGAATTGTTGATTATGAAAGATTGGAAAATTCTTTATCAGATAAAAATATAAAATAATTATATTTCCTACAGTAAAAGGTCGAAAAACGCGACTAAAAGTGCTAAAAAGTGACATTTATCAATTTTTGCCCATTTTTTTCAATCGCGAATATCTCGTAAACTAAAAGAGATAAATTGAATCTGATCGCAGCGTCTGAATCTACGGACTAATCTCTATCAGATAAGATTGTTAAAACGGAAATCTGAGAGATGAAATTTTAATTCTTAAGAAAAAATTGCCAAGGGGGGGTGCTTGATACTTTTTTTCGACGATTTTCAAAAATTTATATTTCTTAAACTAAAAGCGATAGCTACCAACGAAATGTTGATTATGAAAGATTGGAAAATTCTTTATCAGATAAAAATATAAAATAATTATATTTCCTACAGTAAAAGGTCGAAAAACGCGACTAAAAGTGCTAAAAAGTGACATTTATCAATTTTTTCCCATTTTATTCAATCGCGAATATCTCGTAAACTAAAAGAGATAAATTGGATCTGATCGCAGCGTCTGAATCTACGGACTAATCTCTATCAGATAAGATAGTTAAAACGGAAATCTGAGAGATGAAATTTTAATTCTTAAGGAAAAAATTGCCAAGGGGGGGTGCTTGATACTTTTTTTCGACGATTTTCAAAAATTAATATCTCTTAAACTAAAAGCGATAGCTACCAACCAATTGTTGATTATGAAAGATTGGATAATTCTTTATCAGATAAAAATATAAAATAATTATATTTCTGTTGTTACGGAGTGGTTTATTAGAACATGCGTTCAACGTACAAGCAAGTAAGAAAGTGAATATAAAAATACATTCTACGTTCAATTGTTAATTCGTATATATCAGACGCACTCTAGATCGCGACTATCCTCGCACTCTTTTGTTACCCTTGACGACAGCCGTCGGAACGGACGCTACGATCGCAGTCGGCGCGCTTCAACAATTTCCTACAGTAAAAGGTCGAAAAACGCGACTAAAAGTGCTAAAAAGTGACATTTATCAATTTTTGCCCATTTTATTCAATCGCGAATATCTCGTAAACTAAAAGAGATAAATTGGATCTGATCGCAGCGTCTTAATCTACGCACTAGTCTCTATCAGATAAGATAATTAAAACGGAAATCTGAGAGATGAAATTTTAATTCTTATCGTATCAAGGGGTGCTTGATACTTTTTTTCGACGATTTTCAAAAATTAATATCTCTTAAACTAAAAGAGATAACTACCAACTAATTGTGGATTATGAAAGATTGGAAATTTCTCTATTAGATAACGGTATAAAATAATTATATTTCCTAAAGTAAAAGGTCGAAAAGCGCGACTAAAAGTGCTAAAAAGTGACATTTATCAATTTTTGCCCATTTTATTCAATCGCGAATATCTCGTAAACTAAAAGAGGTAAATACGAATAGATTTCAAATTTTTAATCTACGGAAAATTTTCTATAAGATACGTTCATTAAAATTCATATATAAAAGATGAAATTTTAATTCATAGGAAAAAATGGGCAAATGGGAGTCAGCTATTCAGTCATCCACGTGCGGTGCCCTGAACACGAGTCACTTGTACCGCTGCCCTTGTACGGTGCTCTGAACACGAGTCACTTTTACCGGCACCCTATCACTTTTATCGACATCATGCTACGGTAAACCGAATCAGGCTCAACTGTACAATTCCACTTAATTGCAATATAACTAAATAAACAAGGAAAAATCAACGTTTTTAACATATTCAATCAATAAATAGTGCAATAAAGGTCCAATTTTTCTTTTTTGAAAATTGTGTCCGACCGTGCTGGTCGTCTAGTGTGTGTCACCGGTAGGCAGGGCAGTCGAGAGCCAGCGCGGGCAATCGTTAATTTTTTTGCTAATTTTGTTGTGCTTGCAATTTAAGAAGAAAAAGCCGGGCCCCGGGGAATTTACCCCAGTTGACCCCCCTCTCATCGGCCCTAGAGGTAGGTAGTACGTGATAAATAGAAAACTTGTTTATAAACAGCAAATGTAAATTTGACCGAAAAAGATAATTGAATTATAAACTTACCAGTGTACAGATTATCGGACTGCCAGGCTCAACGAATGCTGTAACTATACGAAAACAAAAATTAAAACAAAAATATTTCATACAATTGAATTATATTATAATTAACAATCAACGCAAAATAAACAATCTGTGCTGTTTAGTTAAAAATTACTTACACGATTTTGATGGATCGTTCTTAATGATGAGAATCAACATGGGCGCGGTATATATCCGATTAATTTAGTAACCGACACCAAACACAATGCCGAGTGAAGAATGTTATCAAATCCACTATCACGTGACTTGTAATAAACATAACAAACGCGATCAAAAACCGGCATTTCCGAACATTAAACAAATTACTATAGTCGCAAAGTACAAATATATAGCCGACTGATCTTCGAGTATAACACAAAGTTAAAATTTTGAAGTCCGAATAAACGATATAAGTCTCTCAAAACACGACTGGATTAACCAGCAACCGGCACGAAACTGGCTGCAATCCACCGATAGTGCATGCCGAAACTGCGTAAACAACGCCGGGACAGTATTTGATAAGAAAGCAAGAGGTGCGCAAAGCCGGCGCGTCGACGTCACGCGACCTTGCGCGCGAATTTGCAATAGGCACCTTACCTGTGATCTAAACTAAACTAGACTTCGCTGCATGCAGCAAGTTGTTGCGGCGCTTGGAACATTGTATACACAACTATTCTCGTGCCCATGTTTCTGGATAAATATTAGTCAATGACAATCTTGACTATTATTTTCAATAATTACATATTGTCAATTAACATGTAGAGCGTCTCTTAAACTATAACATGGCCTTTAGAAACTCACAAAATGTGTATTAGTTCAGGAGATGCAGACTGTTATCTATGCTAAGTTTTTGAAATGTGAAAATAATGTCGATTTGTAAACTATTTTAAAGACACTTGTAGAGTGTGATTGTAGAGTGTGATTTGCTCCATTGGTACAAGATATATGGTGTGTTTTCCCGACAAAGTGATATTTCCTTCCATGATCAACTTTTACACAAAATTAACACATTGTCAAGAGTCTAGGACGTATTATAATAATTAAAACCCTCATTGTGATAGAGATACAGAGGAACGAATCGCAGGTTCTTTATCTACGAATCATTCTCTATAAAATAAGACAGTAAAATTGGAAATCTAAGTGATGAAATGCTTGATAATTTTTATCGACGATTATCGATAACGAATATCTTCCAAACTAAAAGAGATATATACGAACAGATTTCAAATTCTTAATCTGCGGAAAATATATATATATAAGATAAGCTGATTAAAATGCATATATAAGAAATGAAATTTAAATTCATAAGACAAAATAGGCAAATGGGAGTCAGCTATACAGTCATCCACGTACGGTGAAAAGGTCACTCTTTTATGTAAATTTTTGCGGGTTGCAGGTCAAATTCTTGCAACAAACAAATATCACCCGACAGAGAATTTAATTCCGCATCTCTAAACGCCGCGCAGAAATTATTGAGCCGCTAAGGTCGCGTGCAAACCCAAAGAAATACAAACATTTCACGAATAAGTGTGAAAAAATCACCCTATTCTACAAATTTTCGCTAACTTCGTAAGGTGCTTCGAATCGAGTCACTTCTACCGCTAGGCTCGTAAGGTGCCCTGACTCGAGTCACTTCTATCGCTAGCCTCGTAAGGTGCCCCGAATTAAGTCACTTCTACCGCTAGCCTCGTAAGGTGCCCTGAATCGAGTCACTTCTACCGCTAGCTTTGTAAGGTGCCCCGAATCGAGTCATTTCTACCGCTAGCCTCGTAAGGTGCCCCGAATCGAATCATTTCTACCGCTAGCCTCGTAAGGTGCCCTTTTTAAACTAAAAGCGATAGCGACCAACTGATTGAAAGTTATGGAAGATGATTATGAAAGAGCACTTGGCTTAAGTTGCTAGAGTGAGAATTACGCGAATGTTATAAAGGGCCACTTTAACTACCACAAGAAAGGGAACCAGGACAATTTATTCAGCGCGACTGAGGCCAGCGATAGAATATGCACTATGAGGAAGCACACAAACTTGATGTATAATGATATTTGTACAAAACAATGCACTTATATACTTAATAAATTTATTTCTGATCTTCAATTCACACATATATTTATATTACCGACTATGTAAGGCAATTAAGAATCAGGTTTGATCTCCTATTTTTTTAGTAATATAAGTTTTTATTTGAATATGTTTTATTGATATGTTTCTATTTGAATTGGCTAAAATATTTTCAAGATCAACAATTATTTAACTTTGATAAAATTTGCCTCCAACGTTCTAAATATATAACCGTAACTAAACATTTGCTTCAATCACCAACTAATGTATATATTTTCTTTTAAAAACTATGACTTTTAAATTGACTATGTATATAATATATATAAAATATAATAATCATAATTACATTAATTTGCTTAATAAATAAAGCAAAATATCTTTCGAAGCGTATTGATAGCGGTTGACTACGAAATAAGCTCTATGTGGCTCACATTGAAATAAGTAAAATGTTTTGAAATAATATCTTCATTTACTGGTATACTAATGTCTGTAAATCTTATATGCAATATTATATCGTTTTAAATATGATATAGTTCATTAGAACCTACAATTGTATTCAAAGTTAAATCATTTAACCACAGTGCAAACCACATCATCGAAATGTGTTTCACAATTTTACAAGACCAATAAATATTTTGTAACCTTTCGAATCATGAGAGTTGCATTGTCATTAAATATCAAATTTATAAAACTAAGATAACCTATTGGCAGTTTTGTTTTATTTTATTTTCTCGTACGTTGACTATTTCTATTATATTCATTTGAAATACATCATTGATTTAAACTGGAAGTAAAATTGGAAGTAATTGGAAGATATTATTCTCATTTTTTCAATTTATATCTACGTGTACCTAAAATTTGTAGTTTGACTATCAAAAATGTTAAATTAGATTTGCATAAATTATATTAAACTATTTTCAGATAATGAATTAAAATATTAAAGTGATTGTATTTCAAGTGAATACTAAGAGGTGATGCGCTATGAAACTGCTTTAGACCAACAATTATAGAGAATATATAAAATTTACATTACCTTTTTGCTAGTTTCTGATAGTTTCTTATCGCCTTTATGTTGGTTATTCGTTATAAGTACTCATCAATTAAGATTTAGTGAAATTTAGAATATGGAACGCGGATTTGCATTTGAATTACTTCAATAAACCGTTGAACACGTTTGAAACGTTATTAATCCGCAAAATACATCTATTCTTGGTGCTACTTAGCTGTAATTACTTATTTAATTATGGCTGTTCTTGGTTTCTATTTTACGTCAGTGACAAATTGCAGAGGATGAAGTTGCACTTTTCTTGCCCACTTGATAACGTTTAGTTTAGTGATTCACATGGACTAAAACCTGTTGTTTACGTTGTTGACTTTTGTGTTGGTGTTACTGTACCAGTGCACAATCGGATGTAACTTGGAGTGTAAGCAAGATTAATTCGCATCGTGGTTTCAGCCGTGGCAATCAAGTTGAAGCACTTCGAATGGCGCATCCAAATCGGAATCAAGGTCGGAGTCCTGCGCGGGGACGAAACGAGTTGGACGCTGCGTCACGGGCGGACTGTAGTAGACGGGTGCCGATGTCGATGCGATGGCCGTTTGCTATTCTTCAGTTAACTCCCACAACATTAGACCGGCATCAGTACCGCCAACGGTGACAATGTTGCGATCGTTATACAAAAAGCGAGCACATGCAACCTGTCCACTGTATGACTTTTCTTCATTATACTCTGCTTTGGTACTGATGCATGGATAACTGTTGAAGCAATAATTAAGAAAATTAAAATTTAATTTATTGACTCTTTTGTAATTATTAAACATACCGGAACAATCGCAAATAACCATCTGTATCTCCACTAACAAGTAAATCATGCGCTGCTGATCGACATGCTGTGCTGATTATGGATGTCATTGGGTAGAATCGATTGTTCCATATTCCTTTAAATTAACAGATTTTATGTGTTTATATTTAATTGATATCTTTACTAAGAATAACTAAGCTTACCTGAAACTAAGAATCCAACAGTAGCGTTATGCGAGTGCCATTTTACATCCTTCATGGCAATGGGACTCTTTTCAGGAGACAAAGATTTTACGTCCCCTAGAATAAAAATAACAGAGTGATTGTAAATCTTTACACAGAAATTAATATAACTTACAGAATGACAAATCATAATCAGCGGTGACCGTTTGCACATAATTTCCATCGGTACTCCAATCCATTTGCATCAATGGTTGCGATCCACGAATTTTGTTCGATTTTTTGTACGAGAATCCATCCCGACTTACTCTGAATAAATAAACACTGCCGTTTTGTGATGAAATTGCTATCATATCACCAGCTGGATTATATCCAACACAATTCAAAGGAGATCCACATACTCTTAGCGTTGCCATCGCAGCGCCGGTTTCAGCATTCAAGATAATTAAATGTCCTTCAGTGCTACCAGCTGCCAAAGCAACACCGAATGGATGGAATGCCAGTGAGATACATTCATATGCTACTTGTGTAGTCCAAATTAATTTGTTTTTACGCCACAAAGCAATGTTTTTATCGTGACCTGCCGTTGCAAACAACTCATCATCGGGATGTACTGCAAGTCCCCACAACTGACGTCCATGACCAAAAACTACTTGATTGAAACGTCGTTGCAACGATCCTTCAAGGATGTTATTTTTCGTCGTGCCAACATAAATATTCCCGTCATTACGCCCTGGCCTCTGTGGGTAAATCGACCGGACACCACCAGCAGATTCAGGCAGTTTAGTATCAGTAATGCGTTTGTAGTTCTGTAATGAATCCCATGCAGCAATTTTGCGGTCCTTCTCACCACCTGATAATAAAGTTCCTTCGCTTAGCATGACCAAAGAAGAAACACCTTTATTATGTGCTTCGAATTCCATGCGGACAAAGTATGCGCCATCGCTGTCCACACTATAAATTGTGATGAATCCATCACTGTCGGCAGTTATAACGTCGCCATCTTGTTCAAATTGAAGGCTTGTAATTAATGTTCTTGATGGCTGAAATATAGTCATTGTTCATGCCTTTGTTTCAATAAAGTAGATGAATCACCTACCGGTTTGATGATGTCGGTGCGTTCAAAGAACCCATCCTTTCGGCGATTCCAGAAGGTCAAATGTCCTTTTCCATGTGTGATTAACAAATTATCGTCTAATGGATGAAATACGGCACCGGTAAGTTCTTCTTGCAACGTCTGGAATTAATCATGTTCATTGCTAAGTTGTTGTTTATCGATCGACACTGCTACGTTGTATTTAGTGGAGTATTTTGATGAAATGAGTCACAGAATAATGAATGAAATTCTTTCATCGATTTCTTAGAACTACGTCTCGAAAATAAGAAAATATTTGTTCGTGCGATTATGAAAAGTCAACATAAGTTAAGTAAATAATACTTTATTACTTAAATGTTTTTGATATCAATTGATATCAGAATTTGGCGAAAAGTATCACGTTTTGTTTTTGTGTCAAATGAATCGATCGAGTGGTTGAGTCTGCTGGGCCGAATGTACGAAAAGTTATGTGTTATTGTATGGAGTAGCTCCTTCAAGGTTGCTACTGATTTTTGTGAGAACCTCCAGAAATTCCGAACGCAATGAAAGCAAAGTTGGCCAGCCGCGTTCCGTTCTACGCGATAAGTAATGCATGTACGTAAATTTCGCGCCGGTCGAGGAGTTTATTATTTATTATATGCATGAAAACGTCACGAAACGGCCGGTCGACTCTATGTGCGAGGTGTACTTATGCAAATTTTGTGATCTACATGAATTAGCCCTATCGTGCCGAGCCAGTTTTATTCACTGGCGTGCAACAAACGCAAAATGCTTTTTCGGCAATTTTCCAAGGAGGCATCTGCACATAAAATATTCATTGCGTCAGCAATGTACCTACCTTCGTCAAAAGTCTAATCGATTTTCAAAATTCGGCACTTTGCCATATTCACCATCACCAAAAATAAAATGTAATAATGAATTACTCACCGCAACTTTACCAAGAAGATGTCCCCACTGCCATTGCCACACAGATAGTATACTTTCACGACCACCATCAACAGCTAACACATAAATACCACCATTCTAAAACAAAACATATAATTTATTCTTTTCGATTTTTTTAATTGCATAAAAATGTGTACATACCAGCTGAGAAAATGCCACTGCTGCAACTCCTATTTCCAATTCGCCCATGCCAAAAACATACAAAGTTTGCAAAGTATCAGTGCTCCAGATTCGGATATGTGCTTGTGTCTTCCTATTTCTGCCTGCCTTTTGTCCCGAAGCAACCAATTCCCTCGATGGGTGCAAATCCATACATTGAATGTCTTCAGTATGGCCTGTATAATGCCTCTGTGTTTCCTCATCGCGATCATACATAACAGCAACAGCAGCGACAAAATATAACAATTCACCAGATGGCAGTACCCATAAATTGCGCCTGGAATCGGTACCCCGATAACCATAGACCCATTCAAGTTGCATTTTCTTTTCCGGTGGAGTGTTATCCATCGGAGCATGATGGATCGGCGGGTAAAAGGTGCGCCGCAGTCCACGGATTGTAACACGCACAGGTTCTTCTTTAAGAACTTCCAATAAAGTATAATCTATTCGGTAAATATTAATATAAAACATAAAAAGAATTATTGGGTGGTCTACATACCATTTGTACGAATGATTTCACTTTCCGGTGCGTATAATGCCCGAGGTCTTGATTTGCTTCTTGCCCGTCTTTGTTTGCTCAAATCTTCTACCACAGCAGCAGGAGGAGCTCGTGAACGTGATCTTCTGACGGGTGATAACATTACTCCTGCACCAACAGGTCCAACTCCCAAGTAAAATGTATCCACGTCTGCGAATTCATTTCTTAATTGTGAGAAACTTCGTACTTCTTGGCCAGCAACGGTGTACATTCGCTTGGCACCGCTCATCTTTAAAACTTGGCCTAGGTCTTCCAGAACTTCTTCGAATGGTTGGGATGTGCGGAGATTCAATAATACACGACACTAGTAAAGAAATACTCATTGATTCCAACAGTAAGTTAGGTAAATATGTAAAAATTACTTGAACTGTATGGTCCATGTTGTTTACAATTCGAATCACTCGACCAGAACTTGGTTTGATGCCTGCGCCGCCTCCAGGTGGTGGAATGTCTGTTTCGACGATTGATGCTTTGCGACTTGGCCCTTTGCTCCATCCTTGGCCACCCGGAGAGGCGTACCATATTCCGTTTTTCTTTCCGTAACTGGCAGCCTAGAAACAATAACAAGTTGTTTTATGACTATTGTGTAAAAACTTTATTGAACCTAGTTAACTTGTACTTATTAAATTCCTTTTTATTTGTGCGCATTTAAAAAACGCAAAATAAAAAAGTAAATCAATTAGAAGTCGACAAGCAACTTCCAGTGGTGGATTGGCGACCATGCTGGAATGGCTGGTAAAAGCACACTACGAGATTATTTTCTGAGATTACAAAGGCATGAACTGGCGAGCGCTGAGAAAGAAAGTCGCATATTTAGCTGAAGCTGAAAGAGGTAACTGGTCGCTATTGATTGTTGTTCGGAAAGAAAAAGCCAAATAAGTTAGCAACGTCACAATTTGTCGTGTATTATGCACGAATCGTGCATGCCATACTGGTTGTTTACATTAGTAACTTTAATTACTAAAAAAGTCGTTAATATCATATAAATTACCACTTATTTAAGTATTTAGTTAAATTGTTTTTGTAAATTAAATAAATATACTATAAATGTTATATGTAATGTTTCCCCAGTTTATGGTAAATACAGAAGTTTTCAAATAATTATATAGAAAAAACACCCTGTGAGTGTAATTGCAAGCTGTTATGACGCAAATTGTCGCCGCATGTAATGCCATTAAATATGCAATTTGGCAAAAGTGTAGAAACTTATAATGAAAGTAATAATACGTTTGATAAAATTATGTCCCTCAATAGCTGCCAATGTTAGAAGAAAGTTTCCTTTGTTTTTATTTGCAAAATAAAACAAGTAAAAGTTTTTAAACGAAAGCTCACCATTGAAGGAACTGTAACGACAGCAAACGGTGTATCTTCGTCGATTTCAAAATCAATCATTACTTAGCACAATACAATTATAATAATTATTAAATATTTCGAAGTGTTTTGTTCTTGATTCACTAGACTTGTGTTATTGGTAGCACATGCCGCTCACGATTGACATCCGACACCGAATGCAAAAGCTCGACTGATAAAAACGCAATTCGCGCCTATCTCGTTCGCCCGCGAATGATTTGTGCTGCAAAGGGTGCCGAAGCGGAGGCAATTTGTCCGCCGCCGCGCGACGGTGGCGCACGATTATGGTGGGGGCGGTTCGTCCAAGGTTATCAGGTCTCGGTAACGCGATGCCTCTGCGCCACCATTTGCTACCCATTGCGCTCCACCCTTACGATGGACGTTTGAATGACGTGACATAATGTGCTTGACCCGAAGGCGACCCACCTCACATGTTTCATGTTGCCTTTTCGGCACAGCCACAACTCAAACAGAACTGTGTTTAACAAGTGCGATTGCCACTTTCACGAACAGATCGACAAACTATGAAGGACAACATTTACATATGTCTCCCTGCGTTTGCAAAGTGTAATGTCAGTTTGTGACTAATTGTGGACCAAAAATTCAATGTCAATTGGTGTACACGCGGCACTTTGACGCTGAAGTAATTGGAACAAACAAACACGCAAAAAAACATTGGTCCTGATTTATAACAGATTTCACCGGCAATAAAAAAGGTTTTACTGCAATTTGGGCGCACGACTTGTCTCACTTTGTATTCGTATTCCAGTCATTATTTACAATAATGAGCATATAATAAACACTAATAAAATAGTATTAGACCAATTTTCTTTTAGTTCCTTGGAACTCATATAAGGTTTTTTTATGAAACATATAACTATCCAATAAAATAAAACAAAAGAAAATCGTTAAAGTTATTCTTTGTAACAATGCAATGTGTAATCGAATGTGCGAAGTTTTAAAGTTTGATTATATTGTTGTAAATATTATTTATGTATATGGGACGTTGGAATGTAATTAACCCTAGCACGGCCTCATTTCGATCCTCTGTTAAACGTTGTGCTCAGGGGCTGCATGCTACATGTTTGTTAATATGGCAAAACTGCTTGCATAAGCATTACTGATATATAAGTTCTGTGGTTTATATTTTAAGAAAATGGCACGACTGCATTTTTCTTGCACACACACGCCCCCGCCGGTCTCGTTCGTGTCAATATTTTCACGTGATTTCAGTTCATTACGTGCGTTATTAATTTAATCGCGCTGTTAAGGATCGGAAAGTGAATTTGATTCAAGGGCTAAAAGTACATCAGAACTCAATTTAGGTAAGGTGCAGGTCAAACCTTTTCACTTAATTTTAAATGATGTGTTTTAATTTTACATAATAGCTCAAATTTGCATGCTTTATGTGGAAAGATTTTTTCTCAATTTGCGAAAATAATGAGGTGGAATATTGATAAAGAAACTAAAACAAATTAGCAAATATAATTATAGATATATATCAGTAATATATGATTAATAACGATAAATATATAAAGTTAAATGAAAAAAGTTACTGAGAAAGGTTTCTCTATCAGGAAAAAATAATAGACATAAAGAATGGTTTAAAAATGTGATTATAAACTTAAAAACTAATAAAGTTATCAAAAAATTTAAGGGTGTGTAAATTTTTCTAGATATGTAATATACTTATTTTGATAATGTATTAGCGTGTTAAGGAAACCACCGAAAATCCAATAACCCTTAATCTATTTAAAAGAACGTAGGTAATTTGATCAAAATTTGATTGATGATATGCAAAACCCAATAATCGAGGTAGTAATATCCAAAATTGCCAAAAATTGATCTATTGGACTATAAAAACGGTACCCCATCTACTATTATTATATTAAACAACATAATAAACGTTAAAATTAATCTTGAAATCAAGGATAAACAAGTTTAAAACCAAATTTTCATAATTTATGAGTAGTTATATAGGTAAAAAGTGCTTTAATCCAACCCACCTAAACTGATATACTTGAAAATATTAAAACACCATACGATAAAGATCTTTCTCTCTTGATATAAGTTAGCTGGTAGCGAAGGTCTCGCCGATGTGAACGAACGAATAACGCCACTAGCCAAATAACCACTAAAGCCTTGCTCGTAAATATATTTAGTTAACATAATATTTTGGAGGTCATCTCGACAATTTACTCATTTTCGCATTCACATTAGCCACTCGCGTATTCGTCCGGAGCTGTGATTGTGATGTAGTATGCATAAAACGTCCATTAAACCCTGCCATTGTTTTATATTTCTATGCCTGCCGTGCCAGGGGAAATTCGTGCGTGCTGGCGGCTAAGTTCCAAACAATAGAAGCAATTGGAAAAATCAAAGCATGAAGAGATGGCCTCGACGCATAGCAATAGGGTGAAAAAGTTTGCACTCAACGAACAACAAAGAGTGTGTGGAAATATGTACACACGATTAATACTAGAAGAAAATAAACGTAAAACAATATTGATGACCTTGGAATCTTATCATTTTTACAAAATTTAGAATGCATTACGTTGATGTATTATGAATTATGTGATGGATGTTGAAAAAAAAATCATCGTCTATTAGATTTATGTATTTAAGGTGGTTTGCTTGAAAATCGCATGTCAACTCTCAGTAAAATATCGAATTCTGTTGACCAGTCGACCGCTTCGACCACCCTCTTAACTGTAGGTAATAGTGAGGAAAAGTGTTGTTTATGTTCAGGCCCGCATCAAATATAAAAATTCAAAATTAATAATTTTTCATTTTTAAAGTAAATTTTATAAATCTGTAGAAAATTAATTTTTGTTGTTATAAATCATGAATAAATTAAATTTTATAAAATCCTAAGACGTTCCTGGTTTATTCAAATCAGTTTCGATATCAGTATGTTAGTAGGCATACACTGGACTGAAAATCTTTACCCGTTTACTGAATTCAAAAGATTTGTTTACTTCCATTGTGAATATCCAACTCGTTTGCCAATGGACTTGATTGTAGATATACATATCTACTATTTTCTTATCATATTATAGGGGTGCATTGTGTCCACTTCATTGAACGTCTTAAAGTCATTGCACGTTTGAATGTTTGTGCATGCAAAACCGTATGAATATGCATGCGATGGAAAATGACCTCAACCACTCCCATGACCGACGCGCATATTGTGCAATCGTGGAAAATGCCGCCGGGCGGCGGCGACAAACAAGTGAAAGCTTTCCGGCTTTACCTACCGGCATTTTAAGCTTCTAATGAAAGTAAAACGAACATAACATTCCTGAAATTGTTTACTTAATAAAAAATGAATGCGAATCAAATCCACACATAAAAAATTGGTTCTATAAATACAAATAAATGTTTAATAATGTATGGTTTGATATTTTTGGACGTAATCGAACAGGACCTTGATCCTTTTATTTTTCATTCGAGAAACTAAAGCCTATGTTTTGTTTTTTGAGCAGGCAAGAAAATAGCAAGCCATATTTTATTGTGTAATTAAGGACTCAAGTCTAAACCTAAACTGTGTACCATTTTATTGAGGTTATGTATACAGGACGATCAAATATTGAAGTGTTTTCTTCAATAACTGCTCAAATCTTTAACTAAAAACATCAAAACATTCATATATGTTCCAAAAATAATTTAACATAGAAAATTAACTAATCAGTTGTTAATTTTCATAAATTTCCACATTTTTGTTGACTGTATTGTACCAGCCATAGTAAAGTCTACGCTAAGTTTATAAAAATAGCTTTCATTGGGCATTTCGTTAGATCTCCACAAAGATTGTGCCCACGAGTTAAACACATATTAAGTAGGAGTAGTATTTATAAAATACAGGGTGTACTACATTTCTTATAGGTCCCATAACATGCAATTATAAAAAAAGTGAAAATATGAATAGTTTTTTATATGTTAAACATCAAATTATTCATATAATGTTCTAACAAGTCATTTGTTACTCTTAATGCAGCAATTAATGAATATTTAACACTGTCCTTGAATTTTCGACTGAAACCGTTCTTGAACTCAGAACGTACATGCCAAAAATTTTCTACAAATGTCCTTCATTTAGTTTTCCGGTGGCCTTGAAACGCATGAATTGCAAATTCTTTTCGGATTTCATTTATCAGCGATAACAGGAATTTGCGCATAAATATTCATCAAATTTTTTCGTACGAATGTAATCTGTCTCTGTATAATGGCATAAATTAACTATACTCAAAACAACAGCAGCAAATCATCAATATATGAATCAGCACTGTAACAGCATTAGTAATGCTTGTTAAAGTTTTGAAACAACAGAAGAAAGTGGTTATTAAATGTAATTATTGTTTCCAGGAACTTATAAAAGAAAACTTGTCGCCATAAAGCAAAAAATAAATAAAAATCAACGCTGATAAGTTGAATTAAGATAAGTTAATGTTGATTTATATATCATCTGAGCATTCGCGATAAAATTAATGCATTGAAAGGCGTTTAAAAGTAATGTGTTGAAGTAGTGAACAGAGTTTAGCGAATAAACAATCGTGCATGCAAATCATGCAACTAAATAAGAGCATAGGTGTAAGTAATGTGACCTAATTTCGTATTGTGTGCATAAAGAAAGTAAACATACATTTAACACACACATAATTAGAAATAATGTTGATAAACTTGCACTTATGAATAAAATTCCCTATGTTCATCATTTACACTAAGATAATATCAAACTATATCTGTTATGTTAGCAAAAAATGCAAAAAACTGTTTTCTTATCACCAGACAAAATCAAAACACAGTTAACTTTTAATTGGTCTCAAGAAATAGAAATGCACCAACAATTAGTATGCTAATTTATAAGTATGGTTGAAATATGTCACACAATTTCTGCACTTCTCAAGAAAAACAATTTTTGACAAAAAAATCAGAAATAATTTCACTAATGCAAATATAACGCATCGAATATATTGCAGGAAATAAGGTGTGGTAATTGCCGTTTGCCATGATCAATGCCCCATTGCAATCGATTTGATTATACACACAAAACAGGAATTCAAACAAGAAATGAAACAAAACATCGAAGCTTTTAAACGAATTAAAGAATACTCAATAATGCAAAATTGGGCACTACTTAACCCACTTTAACCCCTACCACACGTTGTGATTGTGAGTAATAGTAACACATCATTTTGAAACATATCAAAATATTTGTTTTCTTGGCATTTTGACGTGTCCTGAATTTTCTTTAACGGCCATTCGATACAAATTAATATCCCGCCGTCATACTGCAACATGTATATAATATATAACGACTTCCAGTTTCATGCAATTTGCATAGCACATTTAATATACATATTTCATGCATACCACTGAAAATATAAAATGTAAGTGAATATGTGTTACATCTCGACATCGCCACATTTGCAAGTCAAAAATATGTAGGCAGTAAATATGTTTTCTTCGTTTTATTTAACGACCAAAAAAACTTGCATAATCAGACACGAAAAAAAGAAGCAAAAATTTCTGATTCACGTATATCAAGAAACGCCCAGCATGGAAAGTAACAAGTGGGGTGGAAATATGAGGTCTAATTAAAACGGTGTAGTTACACGACCTCTGTTTTAATATCTTTTGCATGCAGAATTAATTACTGCCTTTGTAAATATTAGGACAAATTAATAAACGCTTGTGGTATATTATTTCGAAAGTATCACACGTGCCGGGTTATTATAACGTGTTCGTTTTATGATACTTTGTGTAATGTTGGTTGTATATCATGATTATATCAGAATTTTTAATTTTCAGTTGAAAAATCAAGATATAAATTGGGTTAAGAGTAATATTACGAAGAAACTAAGAGATTTAAACGTTTTCTAGTCTATTTCAATATGCAATGTTAATATGTCAACGTTTAACAAGCATTTACAGCTACTCAAGTGGTCAAAATGGCGTTGATGATTCTTCTATTGCAACGCCATCTGTCAATATAAATATGAACATATTTTAAAGTAACCCTAGTTATGAGTTACAGCTTAAATTTGTATTTCACGCATGTTAAACTTGCGTAAAGATAAATGTTAACCATTTGGAGTGGGCCGGTTTGTTAAAAACGAAGGTCTCAAGAAATGAAACCATAGTCGCAATAAAACCAGCGCGTTTCTTAAATACGTTCAAGTATAAGAGGGAGCTCGTAGGGTGCGTGCTGCCGGCGTTCTTATCTCGTATCTAAAAGTTAAATGGAGGTCACGTGGCATGGTAGGGTGGTCGGCGACAACTGCACCACTACCACGGGGTGTGTAGAGCGTGTGTACACAATACAAATCACATTCGGCGATCGCCACACGCCGTGAACACCATGAAAATCAGTGTAGGTTAGTTTCTCTCCACTTGCCGCGCGCAGGAAACGGACATGAATTACGATTGGACTACTTTTGTTTTGGTTCACGTATAAGCACATCTCGGAAGAATTTTATAGACTTTTATCGAGTTTAATGAATGTAAACTTACCTTAAATGTTTTATAACTTGACACAACGTATGAAGCACCATCTTCTAACTCATCCAATCGGAATTTTCTATCGCCGTCCATTGAAAAGATGTACCTTGCTCCTCGGGGTAGATCCATGCGTAATGATAGTTTGTCCATGAGCGTCTCCAGAGTACCAATGTCCCGGCCTGGTTTAAACCGGAACTCGATGCCGGGGAAGAATGGGTCGCCATTTTTATAGAAGATAAACCGTCGCGCGCGCCAGTAACTAAGATTGCTGTATCGTGATGTGGCTAGATCGACACGACTCTTGGATCGTGGAGGCGGCGCCGCCGGCAGCATGGAGGACGCCTCGCTGGCGTTGTCTGCCATGGTTACGGCGCCGGGCGACGACGGCCGACTGGCAACGCCGTGCCGCCAGTAGCCGCCGTTTGCTGGCGCGGCGAGGCCGTGCCGCGCGCCGACCGCTGCCGGCTGTTGCGGTGGCGGCGGCGGCCCCGACGCCAAATCGTAGTCGTCCTCGTCCGTCTCCGTGCTCTTCTCGCGATTATTGTTGTTGTTGTTGTGACGGCGGCGCGAGTGGCGGTTCATCAAGGGGCCGTCGTGCGGCGCCACCGCCTCGACGTCGTCGTCCTCCTCTTCCTCCTCCTCTTCCTCGTCGTCGTCGTCTTCGTCGGCGCCGTTGGCAAGCACGGCAACGCCGCCGTTCGTTGTTGAAGTCAGCGCCTCTTCGCCCGGCTTCGTTCCGCCGCCTCCGGCTGCCGCTGCCAACGCTGCTTGCTGCTGTGACTCGTCGTCGCCGCCCGTCTCGTCATACTGCTGCAAGCGACTGCTAGCGCGTGATGGGGCGCGCGAGGCCTGCGGACAAAAGCGTGCACGGTCACAACCACCTCCACTGCCACCCCACATGCAATATGACATGTATGTTGAGGCATACCGGAAAAGCTCGCCTATTATCGTGTCATCTTCCCTCTCCACAAACATATAACCCAACCCTTATCAACCAACCCTTAACAAATCAAACACCAATAGAATGATGACTTAAATGACTTAACTTTAACTTAAAATGACTCACATGAATGATTCATTGCTTTGCAATAATAAATTTCTAGAAAATCCGGTAGATTATTATAATACACCCCCGAAAACTCTTTCGGAGAATAACTAGATGGCGCAACAACACGCTTTTCCATAATTTATATTTTGCATTGCACAACGACATAAGAAAGTGTTCCATGTATGAAAAAGAAAATGTAGGTTGCTCGTGCTAATAGCATGCCGTGTAGAATGTACGGTCACGAACGGTGCGATCGCAAGGATCGGAATTATTTTAACAAAAAAAAACTTCCTAAGTATCAAACAACGTACTAAACTAGCACAAAAATGTCTTTTATGATAGGTGAAAGGTAGACATTTTCTAAATGTTTTCTTCAAGCCGTTAAAATCGCATAATCGTTTATTTATTGCTAAATATTTCTATGTATTAATTCCTTGCATTATTGAAATGATTGTTTCATTTTTATATTGCATTTTTAGTTATGTTAGGTTATGCTGACATATATTTATAAGTATGTGACCAACTGTACTTTCAATGTTAATTCACCAATTGCACAAAAACTTGCACAAAAGTTTAGTTAACGATTGGTTGCAGTTTTACCTGCATTGGCATCAAGATTGAATATAATCGTCTTATTTCCGTAGTGTAATTATTTTATTTTGTGTGTGGTAGACATTTTTGTTTTGGTTTGGATACAAAGAAACATTGCGTGCAATAAAAGTGACCGTAAGCATGCCGTAAAAGACTGGCGCCTCCACCAAACAAAAGAAAACAGTATTACGTTGTTTAATAACAACTTATTTTAATGATATATTGAAAAGTGCATGTATTAATAATATTTAAATATAAATATTTAATAATTTTGAAAGTACCTTTTTTAATAATGAATTTAAGTCAATTTTTATAGCATTTCTTTTAAAATAAACCAAATTTAAATAAAATCACAACAATTTTCAAGATAAAGATAAAAAACAAAGAATTTAAGTTGATTGACAATTGAATAATTAATAAATATCTACAGAGATTGAAAATGTAAATATAAAATTTTGAATAATGATTGTAATGCAATAATGCATCATGTAGCGTGACCTTATTTATGAATCCATGCGGTTTTGAGCAATTTAGCCTTCAGAATTTTCATAAAATTTCACATCTGACTATTTATTATTCGTTACCTTGCTCGGTCTTCGTAATTCGTAATTCAACCAACAAAATTTATGGATTTTCTATGTCTCGTGTAGGTATTTGCGGTAATAACTATAAATTTTAATATTAAGCTTGACGTTGATGCCTTGAGAATGAGAAGCTCACGTATCATTAATATATAACCCAAGTAACCCACGAATCAATAATAATTTAAATTAAAATTAAATTATTTCAAATAATAAATCTAAATAGTTACCATTCTTTTTTCGGAAGTCTGACTTTTCTTGAAATAAGATAAACACACTCTGTTTTTATGTAAACAGGTCCTATTAGCAACTTTTTGTCAAACAATGTTAACTGGGAGCTTTTCACAGAGCTTTATAATTGGTTAAACGTTTTATAAGGTCATCACTTCCGGTGTAACGACCCCAACTGCAACTTGCACTGCATCAGTTGATTATTTAAGTCCATTGTTTACATTTGTTGATTTTTGAATTAAAATCACTCACTTTTGATAAAACTGTTTATGTTGTGGATATGGAGAGCTTTGAGGAAGCGTCTCTCTAAAAGTACGTGCGTATCGCGTTTCTAACCAAGTGGCAATGTGTCTATGCCGCGCTGGAGAGACTCCGAGTCGGATACCGGCGAGCGAAAAAGTGTGTTAAGTCGGCGGCGGCGGCAACTCACGGCATCAGTCCGTTACCCCTTCGCCGTGCGAGTATTACGAACTGATTGGAATAGTCGCCACCGGCCGCACAAAATGCCACGGTAAACTTGTTGCGTTTGGTTAACGAAAGAGCAAGCGTAGCACCCAAGCCGAGAAAAACCTGCAGAGTATTGGAAGGAGTATTGACTTCGTTTCTCCCTGACTTTCGTTGGGCTAAAAGCCCTCGGACTTGCATGTTACAACGGTCAAACGAATACCAAGTGTTTTCAACATGCATTAATCATGTAACATCAGATTATATTAACATAATCAATATTTGACTATTTTTACTCACTTGAAATTACAGTTTTGTTTTCAAAACTTAAAATTGGTGATGTTATTTGCATTTTAATCAATTATTATTGACATGTTGTTTGTTAAACACTCAATAAATAGTATAAACGGTTTGAAATACTTCTTTTGAACGCCCATTGGACGATAACACCGCGACGCTTGGCAATTTTAGCCAATCAGGGGACGACGCCCTCAATTCGCCTGGCGTCCCGACGCTGTTCACGCCGGTTATGAAACGCGTTCATAAAACACTGTTTTACCAATTGCACCACGCAGCTACACAAAGAACGCACGTGGAGAAAGCAGAAAACTGAAAAAAGGCCGAAAATCATAAATCAACTCGTTCGAAAATAAAGCCAACAGCTTTAGTTGCCATTAATACTAATTAGTGATTTACTGCGTTTACTTCCTTCCGCAATAACTACTTACTTCTATCAGATGTATTAATAACACGACAATCTTTAACAAAATTTTCCTATGTTTTCCTTCCAATCGATTTGTGAGGCGTGTGAGAAGGATACTACAGTTACTATGGTAACAAACTCAACAAGGGGATGAAACTCTGAAATTCTCTAAGGGATGAAGAGCGTGTGCGCAAAAACAGGAATCGTATTGGTCGTCAACCTGTCGTGCAATTGGACGCGTCGTTTTGACGCGCACATGAAATTATAGTGTCATCGTCGTTTCCTGACATCGACCAAACAATGCGGGTATTATGTGGGTGGCAGCTCATATAAAGGACGAACCAATGGCGTTTGTCATTTCGATGTAAACACTCCAAACGGACTTATTTTTCTTTTATCGCTGGTTTTACAAGCCGCAAACATAGAACATTGGGAAAACTAAAAATGTGGTATTTTCATGCCAAAAAGGAAGTCAATTAGATTCAGTTCACGCTTGTAATTTGTAAATTCTGAATCAAATTGACCTTGATTGCTTTATTATGATATGGGTTACGCTAGATTTTCTGCCAAATTTTACGATATACACGACTAAATCTTAACACAACCCTGTGTTCCAATTTTTATTTCAAACATAGTCTCTTCTATTCATAAAACTTGTAATTGCAAGTTTGTAATTGTAGAATACTGCGAAATAAAAGGAACACCGTAATTTGTCACGTAATCACCCTTTTGCAATGGTCTGCGAAATTGCAAAGAAAGTTTACGCTCGCGATTTATACGAGAAAGAAAGCAATCACGGCCGCTATTGTTGGACTATAATAAAACTAAAAGGCGAACGCACGAACTATTAGGATAAGTATGAGGTGGCGATTGTATGCCGCCATAGTGCCACCAAGTTACAAAAGCGCGCAAACGGTCAACTTTATTCGTCATTATTTGCTGATGTGTGCGTCAGCATAATCAAAACTCAAACCCAAACCCACTTTTGGACCATAGTTACACTTACAACCCATGAGCAGAAGTATGTGGTGGGTTAGTCACCACTCACAAGTCACCATATTTTGTGTCCCAGTTTTTTTTTTCAGAAATAATTGCTCGCTTATTTATTTTCCTTGCTTTCTTTACAAACGTTCAAAGTGTATCATACCCAGTTACCAAACAAAAAAGAAACAAACACACTACTTATGATTATTATTTATTAAGTTAAATAAAAAAAATGTCGTAAAAGTAATTGTGCCTATTTGGGTCAATTTTCCGCAAACAGGTCAACGTTGTGGTCAAATTATATCAATATCCAAATATTTTCCAGAAGCTCTCTAAGTATATACCTAATGCATATTTAATATCACATGCCTACCTCTACACATTTTGCACTGACGTGTCTCCAATCGATTTCAGTGCTACCACTGAAATAAAAACAAAGCAAATTAAATTCGACAAATGCTGTGGGTGAGCAATCCTAAAAGTCCTTTAGATGATTAACTACTTGTAGTTTTTAGACGTCTGGCACATGTATTTAAAGTGACTAATCAAAACTAACTAGAAAAGAAATTAAGAAGAGTTAACGCATTTCTTTATTTCTTTATGTGATTCTACATGTTCATTGTTCAAATAATTTTCAACCAAATAGTAATTTGCCAACAAAAAAAGTAGAGCAATATGTGCATGATTTATGAGCGATATAAATTGAATCAACATTCAAATTGAAATATTAATAACAAAGAGTTCTAAATAAAATAACAACCCATTAAATTCCTTGTAAATAATTCGTGATAAAGAATTTGTAGACACCTGATGAACTATCAGCGTAAAATTAACATTTTCTGTGAAAAATCTAGGTCATATTTGTGACCACGCAAGCCATGGGCGAAATTTTAACTGTCAAACACGCAATAAAGCGTTTCCAAAACTTGTAACAAGCATAAGACGTTCGAGAAAATTGTTACAAGAGAATTAATGGCTTAAGTGATAGAAGTAGGTAACGTAAAATGTTTCATTATACTGAAGCCACCCTTGGCTCCGGCGCCCACTTGCGGCGAAGTCCGGAACGCCCACAACATCCGCGACCTACAACCCCCAGCGGAAGAGGCCGCATCCCAAGCCGACGAGCCACGAACACCGCCGACCAGACCGCGCTGAGGCAAGGGATGCTGAGCGACTCGGTCTCTTTACCATCAACATCGCTCGACGCCGCACGCACTTCTCGACCTCTTTCGAGCATCATCAACAACTAAGTACAACCTACGCATCAATACTTTAATATTCGTTTTATTTAAAGTGTCTTAAAACGTAGCAAATCAACATCGAAACCTCGTGGAGACGAATTTTATCAGTTATAAAAACTTGTTTTGGTTTTGATCGCGTTGAGTTTGTGGTGATATCGAATTAAAACGAAACCATAGACATGAAGTGCCATCTCTCGTCTTAAAAGACAGGTTTTAAAAATCGGTTGAGATGCTCGGCTGACGTGACGGTTGGTTCCGTTTGTCAATTCCAAACTCACATCACGATTGCCGGTTGAATTTTGGCCGTTTGTGACCGCTGGATTTGATATAAATTTATATATTTATTCGATTATACTTTAAAAATTTTGTTTCACACAAAGATCTGGCTATAGGTTATTAATAGTGAGTGATCGTCAATCAAGATTCATCATGAAGAGAGCTCGATGTAAGTATAATTCCAATCAAAATAATTGTCAATTTTGTTTATTTTGTATAAATTAGTTCAGAATATTTTAATTATGTCTTGATATTTTGTTTTACATTATTTTTAACTAATATATGTTTGTATTTAGTTGTAGGTGGACCAAGATCTGCAGATAAATCAGCTGATGGTATGTAATGTTTATTGTATCAACTATATTTTAAAGTACACTATGTATTAATGCAATTTAATATAATTATTATTAAGAAATCTTAATTCTGTGATCTATTGTTTCACATTTGAATATTTAGCATCTCTGTCTGCCAGAGATAGAGCAAGGCAGAAACTACTTCGAGAAGAACAGGCAAAATTGGATATTGAAATGAAGAAATGGCAGCAATTTAAACTTAAATTTCAAAATTGTGAGTTTATAATAATATGAACTTCAGATTTGAATGGTATAATACAATATAAACTTTCTACAGCTAATAACACTGGCAGTGATAACATTAGCCCAAAACCGCAAAAGAAAGAAGTAGCAAAAGAAACAAATATTGCCAAAATCTGGTCAAATCCAAAGAAAACGTTCAGTGGTAGGTGCTAAATTTATTTATTTTCATTTGTTATCATGATATGATATATGTATGGTTTTAGCTGAAAAATATCAATGTAAAAGTGCAGAAAAAAATCTACAAAGCATGACAGAATGTTCATCAAGCCGTCTTATGTCCAGCTTGAAAAAACCTTCTGGTTCCTCAACCTCCAAGAAAGTACACTTTTCAGGTACATGCTATTTCTAACATATGTCTATTAATCAAATTTATCAAATTATTTATTATTCGCTTATCACAGATGCAGCAAAGAAAAATTCAGCAGAGAAACCCCCGAAAAACATAAAACGAAATCTATTTGCTGAAGGCAACAACTCAGGAGGTAAACATATGAATTATTATTAAGAATAATACAACTAAATACGTTAATTTCTTACATTCTTAGTCAAAGAAAACATTCCCGCTTTTGTTGAGACCTATGATCCTGATGGAAGCATATTGAATTATTCCAATGAAAGCAACACAAACGCAAATGATTCCAATGCTGAATTTAATCAATATGAAAGTCTCTGCGAGTCTCCAGTGCCAGCATCTTCCCAACCTTCACACAATAGTGATGTATTTACTGATTTTAAAAAATTCATTGAAGAACAAAACGAACTTTTGCGTGAAAAGATAAATGTTTTGATAGAGGCAAATAATGATGCGATATTTGCAAAATTCGAAGAACTTCAACAAAAAAGTACTCAAAGTTCGAAAGATATTATTGGAACAGAAAGGTTACCACTAAAGAGAAAATCAGATAATCTTCGTGTGAATCTAATGAAGAAATCGTTCAAATCAAAATGCCCAGATACTCCAGGAACCAGAATGAAGATGAAAAAAGCAATCGATATGTATAACAGTGTACGTCAAAACTTGGACTCGCCTCTTCGGGAATCCAGCTCATTGCAACGAACATCAAGTACAAAAGTAGCGCCTAAAAGTGCCCTGTCCTTGATTTTACAGAAACAATGTTTTGATTTACTGGACTAAAGTTAGTCATTTTATTATATTCTACGTGTTTTTAAATAAATATCTACAAGATTAACATTTATTCAATGTTTTCACATTTCGAAGAATATCTTCCGTATGGTGACTTGTGTCGTGGAGTAAATTTGTAAATACCTTTTACATTTTTAGGCATATGATGTCCGAATATCACTGGGTTACTAAAGTTTTGATTATCAAATGATTCTGATTCAAATCCTCTGATAGCACAGGATTTTATCGACTCTATGTAATATTCTCGTGAAATAATATGACTGCAACCAACTAAAACATAATATCCAAAGATATAATCTTGTTTGAAGGTTGTTCTAAGTCACTTACTGTTTATTTCATTGATGCAACCTGCTTGTATGCCGCTTCCATATGGAGATTCCGCATAAAAATCAACTGTTCCCAATGGTTCTGGTGTACCAATGATCACAGTCGTGTGTAATACATCCACAATAACTGCATCTGCCTCATTTAATGTAAGGTCAGTGCTGTAAGTGAATGGTTTCGCAAATAATGGCCCGGCTGGATCAAGACCAGTAATACGGTGAATAGATTGATTTGTTTGTTCGTTTACTATCTTTCCAGCTACGCCACTTACATGCGCCCCTAATGAATGTCCTATAAGGTGTATTTTATCCAATGTTGTGTAATTCTGATTCACTGCACTAATAATAAACTCAGCAAGTGCCTTTCCTGATAAATATATACAAATTTTTGTTTCTTTTAAGAAATAAAGTACTATTTTTACTTACCTGCTGCTACAACCATTTGTATTGCACAATTGTAAAACTTCCGCGTCCATTTTGAATAATCCATTAATAACACATTGCTATTTTCATGTTTTGCTAGTGTTCTTGCGAGTTTAAGATTTAACTGTTTTGTTGGCCACTCTCTCCAGCCGTGCACTATTATGAATGTTGTCAGATTTGGATCCAGTTGTTCGCCGTTATCGATAACACTCAACTCGGTAATGTTTGGAGTTAGGCGAAGATGCATGAAACGAGTACTGGGTTCAGGCACATCACAATCGAAAGAATCTAATAATATAACATAATAATAAAATTTAGACTATAATGCAAATTACTTGTGGTAATATTACTTTGTGCTATTATAAGATGCAATATTTTAAGAAAACATAAGATATGAATAATAAATAGCCCCATTTTATTAATTTAAAAAATAAAAATTATAGTGTAATTCTTTTACTTTCTTTATTGTCAAGAAATTTAAGAGAATGTGACTTATATTCAAATTTTTATCTGTACCACTGCAGAAATTATCTTTTGTATATTTATACTTACTTGCTATAATTGCTGAATTGTATAATTGTCAAACATATTTAAGTAAAAGAATATAAACCTTATAAACTGCGCCAAAATGTCACCTGAAATAATCAACGCTAAGTATTTTATTAGTATTATTTGATATTATCTCACCAAGATTTTCAACAATTCAATCTTCAGTCGAATGAAATCTGTAAGCCATATCATGGCCGTGACCCAAAACCACATTTTAAATGTTTTATTGGATAGCGGATAAAATAATCCTATACATCAATGAAAAAGGTCGTGAAATTAAAGGTAAGTGAAGTTATAAAAGTATAACTTACCTTGAACATGACAATTGAGTGTAAATTCATTTAAAAATTGGGTTAATTGAGGTATATTTAAACTTTACTGCAATTAGCACTGAATTTGGAATGACTCTACATGATATTGCCATAATATGTAATTGTTTTTGTTTACCCGACAAGTGTAATGCGGTGGAGTGTAATGATAGTCACAGATCATAAATTATTGTTCAATTGCTTATTGTAATTGTAATTTAATTGCAACAGAGAAGAAAGATGCAATATCGTTATAAAAATATGGACAAAATATCCGAAAAAGGAAAAAAAAACTGTAAAATTTTTTTCAAGTAGCAAGTTAAAATAATACCTATAAAATATTAATTTGATTTCTTTCTTTACCTAAATTACTTATTTATTACTTATGTTGATAAAATAAAATAGAATATCAAAATTATTTGCTTTGTATACACACAAGATTTTTGTTTATCGCCAATAACTCGTGAGAAATAGATAAAAACGAAATCGAACGCGCGACAAGTTACAGTCCAAACGTACTTGTATTTAATTGTGAAAACTGTGTGTGCACTGCCATCTGCCAGCAGAAAATAGAAGGATATATGCAATTCATTTATTAAATAGCACCAAATTACATTTAATTAACATTCCTTCACGCCTTTTCCATAAGGTTCCTTTGTATTCATAGAAAATTCATACGTGCCTGTCGCATTTAAAGGCATATGAAAACCGTATACAACCTTATCACGCGAATTGAGAATATTCGATCCAACTATAGCACATGAAGTAATTGACTCCCTGAACAGAGTTTTACTCAACCAATGATTGCAGAATACTAAAACACACAAAGTATTATATAATAATTACATAAAGTCAATTTCGGAATAAATACATACTGTTTGTATTAAAGTAACATGCGATGTGCAATGTTGGCAAACCCAATATTCCTCTAGCATAAAAATCAACAGTGCCAATACGTTCAACCGTTCCAAATAATATCGAAGTATGTAATACATCCACAACGTCAGCATCGCTAGCTGACAAGCTAACATATGGTATTGGTACAACAACAAGTGAAAACAAAGGTCCTGCAGGATCCAATGCACTTATCCGTTTAATTGTTGTGTTTGTTTTTGCTTTCACTTCGCGTCCAACATATCCCGAAACCTGCCCTCCCAACGAATGACCAATTATATGAATTCGACTGGGATGCATTGTTCCAGCAGTGGTTTCATTTGCAATGAAGGCAGTAATAACATCACCTGTAAAAATAGTCACTAGGGATAGGTAATTCATGCAATTTGATACCTTACCAACTTGTTGAACGATTGACCAAGCACAAGTGCCGTAAAATCGAGCAGCAAGTTGCTTATAATCAACGAGAATTGCATTTCCTTGAGTTTCTTCAATTAGATCCTGAGCAATACGTAAATATTCAGCGTGTGTTGAGTCTTCATTCCACCCATGAATCACGAAATAAGTTGTAGAATCAGGATCAGAGTTTAAAGTAGAGCCGTTTGTAATTAATTGTTTCTCGGTGGCAGTTACTTGATAAAAAACAGCTTTTGGTCCATCAGTTGTGCAAGCTAATTTAAAAATCACAAATTATGTAATTTATTTATAATTTATTTAAGTATTACTTACTTAATTGTGCTGAAACTAAGCCAGCCGCAAATGAAAGAAGCAAAAGTTTAAAATAAATCATTGTATTTTAAACGTTACAAAATTGTGCAGATGTATTTGCAAAAATTACCATTATATATCGCATAGAACAATGAATATGCATAGAAGATTCCATTTATTTAAAATATTCGACGGAAATATAAAAATAGTAATGAATTTAGATAATCATAACAAGTAGGTTGAATTTTTGCTAGTTCATGAATTTTAATTAGTGTTATACTTGTATTCTGAGAACAAACAAAAAAATGTTGTACTTAACACACAGGGCACCATATGGGGGTGAATGCAGGTGACTCTTATTCAGCGCACCGTACCTGGATAAAGTAGTAATAAAAATGTATTTTCTTTTGCATTTTCAGTCCGCATATTTTTGGTAGACCTAGCCTAACTTAACCTAATTAGTTTGCACAGGTTATGTTTCCTGTTCCATAAGGTGGTTTAGCATTAGGAGAAAAATTATATATTCCACTAGCATTCAATGGCATATGAAATCCATACACAATTTTATCACTCCAATAAATCCAGTTACTTGCTATAATTCCACATGAACGAATTGATTCTCTAAATAAAAATTTACTTAATGAATGATTGCATATCAGAGAAAATATTCCACAAGGCGCTGAAAGAGTCGGCAAACCAAATATGCCTCTAACAAAAAAGTCAACTTTTCCAACTCTTCTTAAAGTACCCATAAACATAGACGTATGAATAGCATCAACCACCTCAGCGTCCCTAGCCGTAAGACTTATGAATGGCAAAGGTAGTACCAGAAAGGAGAACATTGGTCCTGCTGTATCCAATGCACTGATACGTTTTATTTTAATATTTGTTTTGTCTTTCACTTTTCTACCGACGTATCCACCGATTTCTGCACCTAAAGAATGACCAATTATATGAATGTTATTTTGATGCATATCGCCATTTTGAATGCGTTCAAGAACGAATTGAGTTAGGTATTCTCCAACATCAATTACCATAATCCATGCACACGTATAAAATTCATGAGAGAGTTCTCTATAATCCACTAGGATAATATTTCCTTGTGTTTCCAAATACAAATCCCTTGTCATCTCAGGATACTCTTCTTTTGTAGAATCTTCAATCCAACCATGTATTATGAAGAATGTCGGTTTGGTTTTATCAAATTTTGTATCATTTGTCACTAATGTTGTTTCAGTATCTGTTCCTTTGTATAAATTTGCCACAGGGCCACTAATTTTACAGTCAAAAGGACCTTTTAAAAAATATTAATTTTTAGGTTAGGTTTAAGTTTTTTTTAAATATCGTACCTAATTGAGCTAAACTTAAGCCAGAAAAAAAGTTAATACTTAAAACGATTACAAAAATGAAATTCATGGTCGTTTTTTATTTCTGTCAACCAAATTTGTCCTTATATACCACAATGTTAAATATTCTATTAGGCAATTGACAATGATAAGAATATTACGCTACTATATAGATTAAAACTGAAAATAGGTTATGTCTAGGCTATGAGGTTGATAATAAATACACAAAAATGCGATAAAAATATAATTTGTATTTATTCGTTGCAGTAGTTGTAGTTGTTAGTTGCCAATCTGTTTAATTTTTGAACAATCAGGATCTCCCTTACCATAAGGCGGCCCGAATGCCGGATAGATGTCATAGGTTCCAGTAGCAGTTATGGGCATATGAAAACCGTAAACAATTTTACGACTCCAATAAATCCAGTGATTTGCAATAATTCCACAGGAACGAATTGATTCTCTGAATAAAGTTACACTCAGAGCATGACTGCATGCGTCAACTGTAAAATTACATAAAATTTATAATTATTATTAATAAATCACCCCAATATATAAATTATGCATACGTGTTGAAAATAATCCACATGCCGCAGAAAGAATCGGCAATCCTAACAATCCCTTCACGTAGAAATCTATTGTACCGATTCGTGGAAGAGCCCCCAAAAGTAACGAAGTGTGTAATGCGTCTACTATTACAGCATCATCCGCTGATAAGCTAATATCAGGCAATGGAATTACAAGTACAGAAAACAAAGGACCAGCTGCATCTAAAGCACTGATACGATTAATTTTTATTTCAGTCTCATCGTAAACAGCTCTTCCAATGTATCCAGCGATTTGTCCACCCAGAGAATGACCAATCAGATGAATTTGACTGTGCTTAATTTGGCCAGCATCGATTCTCTTCACAATAAAGTCAGTTACAAAATCTCCTACTGTGTTAGAGATGATAAACGCGCAGGTACCATAGAATTTATGAGCAAACTCGTCGTAATCAACCATAACAACAGTTCCATTAGTTTCCAGATACAACTCAGCAGCAATGTCTTTGTATTCTACTCTGGTAGAGTTTTCATTCCAGCCGTGAATGATTACGAAGAAAGGCTTAGCGGGATCAAATGTAGTTTCAGGTGTTATTACAGTTTTTTCAGTGTCGGTTGCTAGGTATAGCGTTGCAGTTTCACCAGTTATTTCACATTCTAACGGATCTTTAAAGAATAACAAAAAGTAAATTAATTATAAAATAAAAAAATAAATAAATAAATAAATAATTTTAATATAAAAAATCAATTGCGCATTAAATTATTAAAATATATTACTTGAATCAGCAGCAGAGCTTAATCCAGCCAGAAGAATTAAACTACAGATTGATAAAAGAAGCGACGCCATCTTTGCAATAAGTATATCGCTACTTTAAATAAAATTAGCAAGAAATATTCTTTATATACTTGGATAATTCTAATTTTATCCATTTAAATCTCGTAAATTTGCATGTTATATGAAACATTTGAAATATACATAGATATTATTATCACATTAGTGTATTCATAATACTAATCAGTAGTGTTCAGGTGTATATTTGGGTGTATATTTGGCGTATAAATTATAATTATGTATAGATAAACTGTATAAGTGTGGATAAAATAAATTAGCAAAGAAATCTTTGCACAAATTTGCACAAATATGACTTTTATTCATGTAGTATTGATAATTTAATCATTTGTGGAAATATTCCTAGAGGACTTGATTAGTTTTTCCCTCAACTTTTCTTTTAAATCGTGTATTTTTGAATCACGCTGCGACAGCAAATTTTTATAATAATCAATTTGTTTTGCGAGAATTGCAGAAATCTGATTGTCTTCCTGGCAAGTTACTGAACGAGTTTGCAATGCGACATTTTCGCATTGCAGTTGGTTGTTTAATGTCGTTATTTGTTTAAGTTTAGTGTAACTTTCAGATAGTTGTTTTGTGAATTGTTTTTCTAAATCTTCTTTTTCAGTGGCAAATTTTTGCGGAAGATCTTGAAGTTTTATTTGTAACTCATTTTCTACAAAGCATGTTAAATAAAATTGAATGGTAATGAAATGATTATAAGTTATACTACCTTTTGTTTCAAAAGAAGAATCAAGGACCGTTAGCATACACGCGAATTTAGTTTCGCTGATATTGTTACTGTTTAGTAATTCCAGATATTCTTTGTTTAATTTGTCATATTTTTCTTTGAGTGTGCCATAAGATACTTTGTATTGAAGAGATGATGTCTCCAATTTTAAGTGATTAAGATACAAAGTATGAAAATGATCGCGTTCTTCTTCCAAAACTCTGAGTTGTTCTTTTAAACGTTGGTTAGGCTGCATAGTAATTCTTAACTGTGGCAGTTTACCTTCAAATTATAACCATAATTAAATATTGTAGGTTAGAACTTCAAAACTTTACCAAAACTATGAATAATAGCAGGAATTATATCTTAAACGATTATTAAAATGTACTTACTTTAACAAAAGAGATTCTTTGTAATTTTTCATAGAAAATATGGATTGTTACTTTAAAAACACTTTGAACTGTCGTTTTGTGGTTTAGGTAATCACCTCACATGAAATAAAAGTAGGCAACCCGTTTAGCATAATTTATGACCCAGACTTATTTTTTATTAGATGGCTGCGTTAATACCTCATCAATTACCAATTAATTAACCATCATTTATTTCTTTATTAATGCAATAAACAAGTAATTTCTATAATTATTTTAGTAAACATCACAAATAACGAGTTAATCAATAAAAATTGTTCATTTAGTAAAATGAATAAAGTAGAGAAACATCGCAAACTTTTATTTGTATTAGAGTTATTTTCATTTTCTTGGCCAATTAATCCAACACCCGGAATTATTTTATACACCACAGTCGCCGTTTTGTGGTGTGCAAGTTTTATATATTGGATGTTCAATTTTTTCTTTTTGTGGAAATCCACAATTGTCAATCTTATAGTGCAAATCAACGTGTCTGTGACATTTTTTGCTGGTATAACTGAATGGATAACTGGATTTAAGTACAATCAACGTATTGCAATAATATTTCGACAATTAGCACATGTCGATCGTGAATTACAACTGAAACATTCACCTAACAAACAAATTCTTGTATCAATATTTATTTGGACATTCCTGGTACTATGTGCAGTGTCAAACATCATATCAAATTTGAATTATTTAACTATCGTTAACAACGTACATATTGCTTTTTATACGGGATATTTTATTCCCATTTGTGCGATTTATTCCATTTTTACACTTTATACCAAATCTGGTGGAAACAATAAGAATTCGCTTTCAGTTTATTCTAGAAAACATACAAAAATTGAAGCAAGAATTTAATGATATTAAAAGAAATAGACAACTTATAATCCTACAATCTGCACATTCAGACATTTGTCATATTATTCACACAATTAATTCAACTTTTGGTATATCAATATTTGCAGTAATGGCAACAGTATTTATTCAAAATCTTACTGCTATTTATATGATCACATTCAATATAAAATGTCTTGGAATGGAATTGTTAATGGGAGATTACAAGAATATTGTACAAATGATGTATGCATGTCCAAACCTAATAATTACTGGTTATATCACGTATATATGCGAAAAAACTATTACTACGGTAAGATTATTCTAAATAATTCTTCTTGTTTTTATTGTAAACTAATAATTTTAGAGTTTGAAATGTGGAAAATGCGTTCAACAGATTCTTCTACAATTCAATGAAACACAGTCACATATTGAACTATTTTTGATGCAAATTCTACTTATTGACGCAAAATTCACAGCTGCTGACTTTTTTACCTTAAATCGAACACTTGTTTTCTCAATTATTGGTGGAATTTTTAGTTATTTGGTTATATTGATCCAATTAACCAATGAAAATAGTGTGTGTCACTTTCTAAAGCAAATGGAATAATTACTTATCATTTATTTGTATCATAAGTAATTATAAATAATGAAAAAGTCAAGAAATTAATGTTTGACGTTCGACGTTGTTGTAAAATAATTACCTACATCGCTTAATTGCACATCATTTTTGTATGATCAATAAAAATAAGAAATGGTAATACTCGTCTTTATTTAAAAACATGACTTCTTTGAACAACCATCAAAAAGTTTTATTATTTTTCGCTTTTTTCAGTTTCTCGTGGCCGTTTTCCAATAAAACATTAGGATTAACTTTAACAATATCTTTCGCAATTCTATGGATTGCAGGATATTTCTTTTGGATAACGAATTATTTTTTCGTATTTCCATCGCCAATCGTGAATTTATTATCACAATTCAACGTTCTTGTGATGTTTTTAGTTGGAATAGCTTTATGGGCAAGTGGATACAGAAACAATAATCGTATTAATATAATCTGGAAACGTTTAAGACGTGTTGATCGTATATTACGATGCCCTGCATCAAATAACAACCTCCAAATGTGTGCTTCAGTTTTCATTTGGTTTTCGTTTATTTTAAACGCATTTCTAAGCGTATTAGCTCATGCCGACACAAGTGGCATACATTTTATTTTCAACATAAGTTATTTTATATCATTATGTGCAAGTTATTCAGTGTTTGCTGGTTATGTAAATATTGTAAAAACAATAAGAACAAGATTTCAGATTATTTTCGAGAAAATTGAAGCATTAAAAGGGGAATTTAATGAAGTAAAACGAAAAAATCAACTTGTATTGTTGCAATGTGCACATTTAGATATGTGTCATATTATTGATATAATTAATTCTACATTTGGTGTCTCAATATTTGCAATTATATCCGCGTCTTTTATGCAAACATTGAGTGCAATGTACATGTTTTCATTTAGTGTGAAATGCCTTGGTATTAAAATATTATTTGGAAGTGCAATATTTAAACTATTATCCATAGTGCCAAATGTTATTATTATTGTGTATATTGCCATTATTTGTGAAATCACCACTAATATCGTAAGTATAAAATAAATTAACCTAAAAAAATAATATTTTAATCTGTAATTCATAAATTTGTAGAGTTTACGATGTGGAAAAAATATTCATGTGATATTTCTACAAAAGCCAGAAACACAATCACAAATTGAAGTTTTTTCTATGCAAATAACGTTTGCGGAGGCTAAATTTACAGCTGCTGATTTTTTTACATTAAACAAAATGTTAATATTTTTCGTTAACGGCGCACTTTTCACTTATTTAATTATATTGATTCAATTTACTAATGAAAGTGGTGTGTGTTATTTTTTTCAACATGCGTTGTAATTGTAATTAACTATAAATACATATATGATCATTGACTTGTTTGTTAATTAAAATTTACTTAGGTAATATAAAACAACAATATGAAACATAGATAATTATGAGTTATGAGTCAATTTCATTCGGTTTTTTGGTGGATATATAATATATAAGTGTAAGTAACAAATAATTATCACTTATTTAACAAAATGTTCGAAAGCAAAAAGCATCATGTATTTTTAATATTTTTGACGGCGTTATCTTTCACGTGGCGAATTGATAATAAGTTATTAAGCATAATTGTAACTATTGTAGTTGCCACTTTATGGATTTGTATTTATATCTATTGGACGCTAACTAGTTTCTTCATATGGCCATCTTCAATTCTTAATCTGATATCACAAATTAATATCTTTGTGTTTTTTATTACCGGTTTAACTCTTTGGATAACTGGATACAAGTATAATAATCGTATTTATGAAATAAAACGTCATTTAAAACATGTGGATCGTGAATTAAAAATGAAATCAAAATTTCAATTACAAATAGTACAATATGGATTCATTTGGTTATCGTTTATATGCTGTTCATTTGTAAGCCTTATTAGCAATTGGCGAACACAAGGAATTTTAAAATTCGAACATTATGGATTATTTTTTACATATTTTATACCTGTATGCGCATATTATTCATTATTTATTGTGTTTGTGAGTGTTGTGGAAGCAGTAAGACTGCGTTTGCTATACATTATAAACCAAATTGATAAATTGAACCGTGAATGTAATTATTTACAAAGAAATAGTAAATTGGTATCACTAAAATGTGCGCATTTAAAACTTTGTCATGTTGTAAATCTCATTAATGAAAAGTTTGGTGTTTCGATATTTGTTGTTGTGGCCGCCTTAACTGTTCAATTATTAACTTCGATTTATATATTTGCATTCAGTTTAAAATGTCTAGGATTTGAAGCTATATATAAACATGGTGTAATTGAATTATTGATTATGTTTCCAAAAGTGTTTATTCTTGGATATACTTCACGTATTTGTGAAATTACTACTAATACGGTATTTAATCATGCTTCATTTATATAGTACTAATTTATATAATATTAAATTTAAATTATTTGTGTTTTTTTTTGTAGAGTCAAAGTTGTGGAAAATCTATTCATGT